CTCGGCGTCCTGAGTCGAGGTCGACGTCGGCCCCTCCTTCGTCGACCACCAGGTCCAGTAGACCACTAACAGGTCGACCAGCAGTCCGTTAGCCGACCGTCGAAGTCGGCTTCCCCAAGTTGACGTCACCAAGTTGACGTCCTCCGCAGGTCGACTCCCAAGTCGACCTCTCTGAAGTCGGCGCCCGTGCAGTGGTCCCCCGTGCAGGTCGACCTCCTCGTCGACCAGCTCACCCACTGCTACAGGTCGGCTGCTCCCCTCACACCCGACCACGAAGTCGGCTCCGCCCAAGCGAGGACGGGGCCAATACCCAACTCCCGTTGACACGGAATGTGTGGTGACTTTGTGATCCACCCTGAGCTTTGCTTTGCTTTGCTTGACTGGTCTTGTGACCCCTTGCTCTCCCCCACTTTGCCTATGGGGGTGTGTCAGAACATTATAGCTTATGTTATTGTGTAGGCTATACTGGGTTATCCTATGGGGGGTACTGTCAGAGGTCCACTGGTGATCCCCGATTGATCCTAGGGAAGGGTTACAGGCATGTTGGCCTGGGGGGTTATGGGCGCACTGACCCGCTACTTAACAAGCCCTTTTATCCCAATGGTCTAGTGGTTGGGATTCTGACATGGTATCAGAGCGAAGGTCTCGGGTTCGAATCCCGGTGTATGCACTTCGGGCATCCCAGTGCGGGGGGGTGTCAGAGGTCCACTGGTGATCCCCGATTGATCCTAGGGAAGGGTTACAGGCATGTTGGCCTGGGGGGTTATGGGCGCACTGACCCGCTACTTAACAAGCCCTTTTATCCCAATGGTCTAGTGGTTGGGATTCTGACAGGTACAACCCAACTAAGGTTTCATATTTGTACTCGCTTCATTCATAGTTTACATCATTCTCGTTCTAATTTCATCAGTGCACGCGTTCAAGGTTTGGCGGTGTTACCTGACTGGCGCCGACGTGACAGTACGGACAGACCACCGATCACTACAGTACCTACGCGCCCAACCGAATCTCAATCCACGACAGATTCGCTGGTCGGACTACCTCGAGTCCAACTTCCACTACACGATTACGTACAAGAGAGGCGCATCCAACATCGCCGACGCACTCACCCGCCCTACCGCCCAACTCCATGCCATCCTACTCGCCTAGACCAACCCACTTTTAACAGGCCTGTTTACCCACGGATACCGCACCGACCCATTCTTCACGACCGGAAATTCACAGCAACTGGCAGAAGCTAAAGGAGTTTATTACGTAAAAACAGGTACCAACCGCATCTGGGTACCCGCGTACTGACTACTGAGGGAGCTACTACTACAGGAGGCACACGACGGAATTACCTCGGGACATTTTGGGGTAGAAAAAACGCGACAGCAACTGCAGCGGTATTACTACTGGCCAAATCTTTTGACCGACGTACAGCAGCACGTGGGCTCGTGCCCCACGTGTCAGGTGATGAAGAGCTCAAGGAAGCGGAAGGCGGGTAAATTGCAGCCGATACCACCGCCCGAGCGCGCCTGGCAGCAGGTTACCATGGACTTCGTCACAGGGTTACCTTCGAACCCTGGGGGTAACGACGCGGTGATGGTCTTCGTTGACAGATTGACGAAGATGGCACGCTTCGCTGCGTGCAAAAAGTCGATCTCAACCCAGGAGACCGCTCGTCTGTTCATCGCGGCCGTTGTTCGCCTGCACGGGATACCAGCAGCGATTATCAGCGACAGGGACACGAAGTTCACCAGCAAATTCTGGAAGAACCTCTGGGAGCAGTTCGGAACCAGGCTACAGTTCAGTTCCTCGTACCACCCCGAGACCGACGGTCAAACGGAGTGGACGAATCAGACGATGGAGCAGTTGATTCGTGCCACGTGCGACGACCCTACGACTTGGGAGCTGCAGTTGCCGCTGATCGAGTTCGCGTACAATAATGCCACGTCAGCGATGACGCAGCAGTCCCCCTTCTACCTGAACTACGGGCAAAATCCTACAGTGCCTATGACGCCGAGTGCGGACAACCCAACACCACGAGCACAGCAATTTGCCAAAATTCTGCAAGCTGCCCGCACCAGAGCCGCAGAAGCAATTAAAAAAGCAAACGCCATCGCTAGGCGCAACGCTGACCGCCACCGCCGCCCAGTCACATACCAGTCAGGGGATTACGTCTTGCTCGACACGCAAAATCTGCGACTGCCCGACGTACCAAAACTTCGACTGGGCTACTGTGGCCCATTCCAAATCAGCCACATGATCACGCCAGTAACTGCGCACCTACTGTTACCGACCGACTGGTACATCAGTCCTTCGTTCCACGTCAGCTTGCTTCGCTCCTACATCCCAACCACAAGCCAACTGCCTCGCCACCGCCCGCCATCCATGACTCGCCCTGCATCAGAGCCGATCATTGAGCCCGAAAAAATCATGAGCCATCGGATTCGACACCCCACAGGACTCAAGAGGATTGAATTCCTCGTCCGCTGGAAGGATCGCACACCAACTGAGGACAGCTGGGTGCCCCTGGCCAACATCGAAAACCACCCTGCCCTGCAAGTGTACCTGAGGAGCCGGGGATTCCGCGATATACACGCACTCGCGTAGCGGAGGGGGCTTCTTGAGGGGGGGGGTAGTGTAAGGAATTTTCCCGGCATTCCTTACGGAGCCCGACTACATCGCGTACAGCAACAGCCGTTGTTCGCCCGTTACTGCTAACGGGGCTTCGCCTACTTCGCGCACACTGTTTTCACCAAACCTCGCACTGCTGGCATGGCCGTGTCGGCCTACGCTTCGGGACTAGCCCAAGCCTTGCTCCAGCGTAGCACTAGCTAAGCTCGCGCGCACCGCGTTACCGTTTGCATGTTTCGCGTATAAATGTTCGCTCATGCCTTCGCTCACATTTGGTACTCGTTTGACACCTTAGTGCAATTCTCGCTACTTCGATTCATTGCACCCGTAACACTTGGTATTCAGAGCCCTTTTCTTTCGGACCGCGCATCTCCGCACCTCAGGAAATCAACTTTTGATTTCTCACTCGAAGGGACTCACGTACCTTAGCACCTAGGAGCCGCTGTCCTCGCGTTCTCTCGTAAACGCGTGCAGCCACGACTGCGCCTAGACTAAGACGAGCCGACGCCCTTCGAAATGGCTGAACACATCGACGTCACGACTCTCACGCAGGAGTACTTGAACGATCTGCTGCGACAAATCCGCGAGAGCGCCGAGGAAATTGCGATGCTAACGGCAGAACGCTCGGCCCTGCAAAACGACCTCACACGAGCACAATCCCAAGCACCGGGCACTCCGATTCAGCCCGCACCACAGACATCACAGCACGGAAGTGTGGGGCAACCCGCGAGCGCCGCAAGTGATGGCGTCGTCCGCCATGACGGAGACGACGACCACGGCACGACACACCCCGACACGACGAATGCGGCCAGGACTCAACCCCGAGTCACGATTCCAGTGCCGGCCGGCGAATCAACTCTTCCGTCGCCGATGCCGCTAAAGCCGCAGCGTCTGCCATGCTTTGACCCAAGTCAACGGGGTGGTCCTACCGTTCAGGCGTGGCTCTTCACGTTGAACGCCTTCTTCGACGCGAACTACGTCTCGGAGGATACGGCGAAAATTCGCTACGCCGTGTCGTTGATGCGAGGACTCGCCATGGACTGGTGGCGCGTCATCGTCACGAAGCCGGTGGACTACGCGACTCTACCGACACGGGAAGGACAAACCGGACACTGGGCGCCGTCGTATTTCGTGGAGGTGCCCCAGTATCGCACGTGGGACGCGTGGTGCGCAGGTCTACGCGCTCGTTTCGAGCCAATCGCGGCTTCGATCGCGGCGCGGCAGAAGCTCCGCACTTGGCGCTAATTCGGTTCCGTCCAAGACTACACGAGCGGATTTCTGGCGCTATGCGAGCAGGTGGGATATATGCACGAGAGCGAGCGCATCGACCGCTACATCGGCGGCCTGAAGCAGGACATCGCTCAGGAAATCCAGCTTCGCGGCGTCACCGACTTTCAATAAATTCTCGCTATGGCGGAGAAACTCGATTTCTTCCGCCGACCGTGTCAGAATGTTATTCTCTAGCCTGTAGTGGGGTGTTTTATAGTGAGTACAACCCATTTAGGGTTTGCTATATGTATCCTCATTGCTGCTAGTGAAACCCCTCTTTGCCTAAACTTTCACTTGCCTACTTAGGACTTACCTAGCTATGGCTCCTAACTCTACCTACTACTCTCACATGGTTTCAGAGCACTCACGCTCCCGGCCTGTGGGCCCTACTGCTGCTTCCGCTGCCCTACTCTGTGTCGCGCGCCCCGTGGCGCGCTACCTCCAATTTTTCATGCGCGCGGCGGTTTTCTGCCCGCCGTGCGCCCCGGGGCGCGCGGCGGTGTCCTGCCATGGGGGAGCGCGCGCGCGCCCCGCTTGTCCGTCGCGGCGCCCTGAGGAGCCCGCGAGCGCCCCGCCCGTTCGTCGCGACGTCCTGAGGAGCCCGCGCGCGCCCCGCCTGTTCGTCGCGGCGCCCTCGGGAGCCTGCGCGCGCCCCGTCAGGCCGTCGCGGCGCCCTGGGGAGCCGCGCGCGCGTCCCTTCCGCCCGTCCGTCGCGGCGCCCTGGGGAGCAGCGCGCGCCACCCCCCTCCACCCGCCTAGCCCATCCGTTCTGGCGCCCTGGGGGTCTCGCGCTGTCCCCCCCCTCACCATCCCCCGCGTTCCTGCCCCTATCCCACGCGTTTTAGGGTTTTGGGGGTGAGGAGTGTGGGGGTGATGGTTGTGGGGGTGTCGGTTGTGCGCGCCGTCCCCTTCTCCTCCTCCTCCTTCGTCTCCCACTGCTGCAGCTGTCGCTGAGGGGGGTGGATGTGTGGGAGTCTGGGGTTTAGGGTTTAAGGGGGGGTACTGTGGGAGTGGAGCTAGAGTTTGAGCAATCAGACTCCAGTGTATTTAAACATGAAATAAGTGATTTTAGTATGTACACAGGCTTCCAGCACACACCCTCTAACATTACATCATCCACTAGATCCTTGTATTGATCCCTTCACATTCCACCAGAATCCGACCAGCGCCACCACAGTCAACACAAACAGGCGCACCCATGCAACCCAGTGCGTCTGCGCAAGCAAATACATGTTGACGCAGATGCCCATAAGTGGCACAAACGGGACCCACGGGCACGCGAAGCCAGATGCCGGCACGCCGTAGCGTTGAGCGAGGAACATTGGTGCAGATGATGCCAGCGATAAGAGGAAGAGAGGAGCAAGCATCAGCCAAGGTGCAGCGAACCTAGTGGCGAATCCCAAGGCAAGTACGGAGGCAACCAAGGCACAGACATACACCACAGCCTCGTGCCACTTGTCGCCACCCCATTGGGTAATCCAATGCGGTGGTGGAGGAACGTGTGTGTGCCCTGTCGCAGCCACACCACTGCCAGTCATACTGCTCCTGGTGGTGACTATACCCCCTTGTGCCAAAAGCGCATCATCCAATCTCTCCTCCCCTTCCTCCCCCGCACCAACACAGCCACTCCCCCCTCCATGATGTGACTCAACCCTTAGAGCCAGCACGCACATACACACTATAGAGTAACCCAGTAACACGCCCACCGACAGAATATGCGACAGCTTCCCCACGTCAAACATTGCCGCCATCGCCGCTGCCACTCCCCCCACCCACCACTGCGCATGCACCGGCACATGACTCCCCGCATTCACCTGTAGAAACCACACAGGCAGCATCCCATCCCTCGCCAAGGCCAGATACATGCGCGACTGCACATACAATCCGGTCAGGAGAGTTGTTGTCAGCCCCACTACAGCCCCAAGATCGATTATTCTCTCCATGAAATGCAGCCCGAGGGAGGCGAACGCAGTGGAGAGCGGTGCAGCGGGGTCGAGGAGCGTGTACGGGACCATGCCGGTGAGGACAAGGGAGACGGAGATGTAGAGGAGGGAGCAGGCGGCGAGGGCAAGAAGGAGACCTCGCGGCACGTCGCGGCGCGGGTGGAGTGACTCTTCGGCTGTGTTGGCGACTGCGTCAAAGCCGATGTAGGAGAAGAAGACGAGCGCTGATGCTGATAGCATCGCCTGCACGCCACCCATGCCGGTGTTGCTTGCAGCAGCAGATGCAGCAGCGGCGGCGGTAGCAGCAGCAGCAGCAGCAGCGGTGGCAGGGGCGGTGGCAGTGGCAGCGGCAGCAGCGGCTGCGGCAGCGGTGGCAGCAGCCGGGGCGAGGGCAGAGGCGGCAGCAGAGGCGGCAGCAGGAGCAGCAGAGCTCAGCAGGGAGTCGGGCGGTGGGGGGAAGAAGGGGAACCAGTTAGCGGGGTTCACGTGCCCTGCACCCACAGCCACCACCAGCACCACTATCGCCACCTTGACTGACGTCATCACGTCGTTCACCCGTGAGGTCTCCCGCACCCCCCGGCATAGCAGCCATGTGATGAGCAGCAGGACAGCTGGCGCGACGAGATTGATCGAGAGGTCCAGCGTGGGTACAGGTGGCGGGGGGGAGGGGAGCAATGGGAACGGGGAAGGGGGGAGAAGAGGAGGAGAAGGAGGAGAATGGGAAGAAGATAGAGAAGGGAATGCGGTGGGGTGGAAAAAGGAAACTGCTCCCGCTCCTGCTCCCCACCCCTGATTCCCCCTCACTTGCTCTCCCCCATTTTCTCCTCCTGACCACAAATGGCAGAACCACCAGAGGAGCCACGACGGGGAGAGGAATGGCAAGGGGATGGACACAGGCAGGCCTCCTGGTGCGAGCACGCCGGGTAGCCCTGTTCCAGATGCCACCTCCACCAGAGACGCCAAATAACTCGCCAGGCTCCTGGCGATCGCCGCCGCCCCCACGTGGTAGTCCAGCACCAGGTGGCAGAACAGGACAAACGACGCGAGCTGCCCGAGGCACGCGTGCGCGTAGAGGTACGCGCCGCCCACCCGGCCAGGGAACCGGGCGGCAAGGTCGGCGTAGCAGAGCGCGTTTAGGAGAGACGCCAGGCCGGCTAGGAGAAAAGACAGGGACACGGCCGGCCCGGCCAATCGCGCGGCGACACCTGTCACGACGAAGATCCCTGAGCCAATGGACGCGCCGATGCCGAGAAGGATAAGGTCGAGGAGGGAGAGAGAGCGCGTGAGCGCGGGGGGCTTGGGAGGTGGCGGCATAGGGAATGCCGATTGCTGGGCGGATGCTGATTGGTCGACACTATCTACGTGGGCAGGATGGTCGATGCTAGCTCCTCCTGCTTTCCCTGCGGTGTCTGCCTCATTCGACTCGCGGATTGGGTAGATTTCCGCCAGAAGCGGGTTGGTCTCGGTACTCCCAAGGCTCACGGGCTCGAAAGCGTGAGTTACCCTCGAACCTGCGCTGCTTCTGCTGCTACCTCCGCCGCCGCTTGTGGCGCCGCGAACGCCGCTTGTGGCGCCGCGAACGCCGCTCGCGCTGGCGCTGGTGCTCGCAGCAGCGGGAGGCGTGGCAGCGGCACCGCTGCCAGCTAGACCTGCCACGTCAGCGGTGGAGGGGATCTTGACGTGAACGGCTGCTTTTAAGAAATTCCGCCACCACGAGGACGAGGAGGGTGGGGAGGACACCTGCCACGTCACGCCACCGGATGAAGACGTGGCATCGTGTACGCTCTGCGCATCCCGCGCAAGTTGCGGTCGGCGCGGGTGCCGCAAATCTGTATCGAAATCCGCCATGGTGAGTAGCAACCCTAAGCTTCTAAACTACTTGCGGTGCGTAGCATTCGAATTCTAAGGCGGATCGAGAGTGTTTTGAGACGTCTCAAACCGATCCTAGACTACTCGCGGTGCGTAGCGTTCGAAATTCAAGTTCGGATCGAGCGTGCAATGACGGAGACTCGCCAGGTGGTGCGGATCCGAAGCTTGAAACTCCTTCCACAGCGGCGAAAGGCCAATAGCAAAGGATAGCAGGCGTATCCTTAGTGAGCGGAGGGTGACAACTTCAGGCTCAACAGCACCGAGGTTGGGAAACTTCAAGACGTTAAAATATAACAGCTAAAACATTATTCATAAAACGTTGCATTCCAGAATCTTGCATCCTGCAAGCCAAGCTCCTTGACAGGTTTAGTCATGAACTGTGTACATTCTTTTGATAATATAACACATACATACAGGAGCATAACAGGCGTGGAAATTACTGGTCAGGAGAGAACAGGCTACTGTCCTGGCCAATAATTTCAGCGCTTGTTGGAGCAAGCACCCATTCCCCCCAAACAAAAACCGGTGGAAATGGTTGGTTCTGAACGGAAAGGAATCCATTCAGTACCAACCACTCCTGCTAAAAAAGCAATTCACCACCTGCTCTTTCCATCCCATATTCTGATTTTATCCCTCCAGTCCTGTCGCCCGATCTCTATCACTGTACAAGGTGGGAAATGGAGGACGGAAGGACATGAATTAGATCGTGAAGATGCACGGAGGAAAAAAGCCCAGCAGGAGGTGTCACCGGAAGGACGCTCAGCATGACCTTAGGAGCGTGGTCCACAAACGACATGCTGCTGCTGCTGCTGCTGACAACAGTTGGCATCGCCATACCACCGCCAAGCGACGACAGGGCATCAGCCGTGCCTGTAGCAGCTGCTGCAGCAGCATCAGCAGCACCGGCACCAAAACTCCCACTCCCCACAGCCGACGTCAGCACATGGGAAGCACTGTACGCACCAGCAGCTGCTGCTTTCACACCCAGTTTCCCCCCTATAACCTTAGCTCCAGCCACCTTGGCTTTAAGCTTGAGCTTGAGCAGCAGGCTCTTGGCCTTGGTGGAGTAAAAGGGTACCTTGAGCTGAGATGCCACCAGGGAGTTGCTCAACTGTTCCACTGGAACTGGGGGAGCATTCTTGGCTGTTTCCTCCACATCTATCTCTGCCGCGGTCCCTGCAGCTGAGATTTTTTCTTGCACGCCACAGCTCCCATTATTGACATTGCTGCCCGTGCCACCGCTGCTGGCGCTGCTGCTATTGCTGGTATCAGAAGCAACAGCAGTGCCATGGCGTGACACGAGCGCCCACGCACCGGCATTCACAGCAGCTATCACAAGCCCAGCCACGCCCAGCCCTGCCTCTGGCACCTCCCCCTGCGCCAACGCCGCCAGCAACCCCCCCCAGCCGGGAATAGAGGTGAATATGAGCATGAGAGCGGGAGCTGGTAGGTCCTGCAGACAGTGCATTTCCATCCACGTGCCTAGCCCCGAGCACATAAGCCCGCTGTATATGAGCGGCAGCAGCGCTGCTCCGCTGGTTCCTGCCATGTGTGTGGCACTGGTGAGGGTTTCCGGTAGGATTCCGTGTGGGAAGGCTGAGGAGGAGGAGAGGAGGTGGAAGAGGAGGGAGGAGAGGAGGGAGAGGGAGGCGAGGGACGAGGTCTGGACAGCGGTGAGGGAGAGCGGGTTGAAGCGGGTGCAGTGGGCCTCGCAGCGGAGTAGTGCCACGAGGGAGAGCAGGCATGCGAGCACGGGCCATGGGGTTGACAGGGGCAGAGATTGCCCCAGGGTGGAGAGAAGGGCGGAAGGGCCTGCGGCGGCGGCGCTGCTTGTGGTGGTGGCTCCGCTGGCTGCAACGATCGCCAGCATTGCGATGAGGGCGGATACGAGCGGTGCGCGCGACGTGCGGGTGGTGCTGCTGTTGCTGTTGCTGGGCGAGTCGTTGGCTGGTTCATGGCGGAGACGGTCGGTGAGTTGGAGTACCGGGAGGATGAGGAGCTGCAGGGGGAGAGGAGATGAGAGAATAGCAGGAAGAAAGAGATTGATTATACTGAACGGGCGTGAGCAAGAAGCAACGGGATGAGAAAGCATGGGAGTGATGCGAATGCGAGGAGATTGATAGTCGTTGCTGCATTTGCAGGAAACGTTGGGTGCGGCAGGGAGAAAGCCCAAGGTAAGGATCATCACGTCACGTACCGAGAGCAGCAGAAGCATTGGAGTGGAGGCGGTATCGGCGTTTGTGAACTGCGAGAGCAGGTCTCCCAAGAAGCTATATGCCGCTAGCTCCAGCCCTGCCTTTACCACCGTCGAGGATTCCGACTCATGCTTGGATGTCGAGTTCCTTTCTTCCACCGGCGGCGAAGCATTCCCGTCACAGGCTGTCCCAGTGGAGTCCAGCACACGCTGTGACGCCGCGCCTTGGGAAGATGCGGTCGTCGCACGTCGCGCACCGTCGCCCACGCGACCTGCTGCGACTGCGAAGGTGCTGACGGCAGCAGGGGCGAACGGGAGGGCCGCTGCGGCGAATCGGATCGGCGAGGCAAAATCGGAGGGGACGTGATCCATGATGGTCGCGAGATGCGGCGCGAAATGCGGGGCGACGTCAGTGATATGAGAAGGCGCGGCTTCCGCCACGCGATTCACGGCGCACGCGGAGCCGTAAAGCACGGCGAGCCCGTTCGCGACGAGCAGCCCCTTCCGCCAGCGCCGCCTGCTGGGGGAGACAGCGGCGGAAGCCGCGCCGCCAGAGCCTGGGCGCGGGGAAAGAGGGACGCGAGGGCGCGGAGAAGGGGTCGGGGGTGGCCTTGGGGAGGGGGACGTGAAAGACGGCCACGTGGCAGCAGCACCGCCGCTGATTGGACTGCGCGCGGTCAACGTTGTATTCGACGGAGGCATGATGCGACGTCGTGACGACGCTGGTGATGGCTCGAGGAATGGTGAGTCAGTTGCGGCGCTGGTAGTAGTAGTAGTAGGGGCCGTCGCGGTAAGCGCAGAATTACAGCAGGATGCCGTGGAAGGGAATGATCTGGAAGAGGCCACTGATTGCGATAAAACGTGGCGATTGATGTTTGTAGTAATGCCGCCGAAGCTTGCCGGAGTGAAAGCGCGCCTAGTCGGAATGGAGATGGAGAGACCCGATCCAACGGCTGTGGCTGCTTGATAGGGAATTTGAGCCAATCCGACGGCACACGCCATTGCGCTGGATGGTAGCTCTGAGTCAGTGTTTCGCAATTTGGCCGCGAGTGCTTTGCAATTTGGTCTTCTAGGCGAAGTGTTTGAGCTGAATGTGGCCTCAGCCGAGTATGCTCGAATGGTACTCCTAGGCTGTCTTGCTCGACAGCAATGCGAAGGATAAGAAATGCTTCCTTGCTTCTTGAAGGAAGGAATTCGCACGCTGATGTTTGAGCAGCACGGGATCGGGATTTGGTTGTTTGTATTGCGAGATTGCTGAGAGAGACTGCAAATCTATTTATCAGTTGGCGAAGGGGAAGGTTGTGTGGGAGGGAGCAGCAGCAGCGCAGAACCTGCAAGAAGTTTGCGTAGAGATCTTCGATTCACTGTTCCTCCCCCCAATTCTCGAATTCCAAATGTGCGATTCGAGACCGAATACATGCGACGCGGCTCCGTGAAGAGTGCATTCTTCCCTGCCAAGCTGACCATGGCTGGCTCTGGTTGATTGGGGCTCCGTGACAAGCGGCGAGTTCGGGGCAAATTTTGCGAACAAATGGGAGGGTAGTCGGTGGCGTGTATGCGAGCCGTGAAACATTCAGAACCACAAACATAGCTGAGTCATGCCCTAGATCATGGAACAACACATTCTTCAAGCTTCACAAGCACAACCTCCTCCTGGGTTCCAGACTTTCGGGAGAAAAACTCACAGGATGCAGGAAGTGTCGATGAGAGGCTAATGCTTTCTTGGCAGGCGCACGTGTCAGTGTGTCATGCTGATCTGGGCCTTACATTTAGGCAGTCCAGCTGGCAGCTTGACGTGCAGGTTTGAACTTTTCCTGCCCCAGCTTACCTCGTGCGGCAAGAAGGTGTCATCAGGGGCAGGCTGCTCCGGCAGAAACTGCGCTGGAAGAAAGCAGGCGTGAGCTTCTGCGAAAGGAACATTTTGCAAGCTTCACCCCGTTGTTGCTGACGACCAGGTCAACGACCCAATCAAGCGTGTCTGTGCGGTCAAGAAATAATGGATCCGGTACAGACTGAATCAACTTATGTTTGTACTCTGTGTAACACAGCATATTTTTTCTGTAACTAGAGTGACACGTCATTACTGAAGAGGCGCCTTTGAAATAGTTTTACCAGATTTTGGAGGAAAGGGGCAAGATAATAAGTTATATTGTCAAAGCTAATGCTCTTATGACATGCGCCATCATTCTTTCGAGCAAAAGGCAACATCCCTAGATCTTAATTACACTTAGGACGCGGCACCTGTTTTTATTTTGCCAGGATCGATCGTGGGAGGGAATCTTGTACAGTGTATTGGCGACATCACTAATGCCTGGTATCCTTTTTTCGCTGAACGTCGAGAATGTACAGTAAACGGGTACCCAAATTGGTGGCACCTGCAACTCGCACGATCGATGTGCCGTGGTGCTTGGCGGGAGAGCATATCGCGCCACAGGTGACAGCCTCGATCGATCGGCGTCGCCCACAGTCGCAGGCCAAAAATTCTTGAGTCGCTGCGAATGGAATTGCTGGACGACCATCCACGCTCTGCCCTGATTGGCTGCGCGTTTAAGTGTAATGGCAGCTCCAACCTGCCCGAGCCTGCAATTTCGATCCTGGCACCTATAGCTCGATGTGTCTACCCCACTGCAAATTTGCAGTGTGGGCACATTAGTGTGCCGATCGATATTCCAGGATCGATGTGAGGCCATGATCCTTGTAAAATGAAAACAAGTAACGTTTAGTATACGGAACAGGTGTAAACAACCTTTCAAGAACTAAGTCGCTACTCTAGAATAGATGCGGTGAGCGTGGATCGAACACGCGACCTTCAGATCTTCAGTCTGACGCTCTCCCAACTGAGCTATCCCCGCACGTGTTTTGGAAATCTTCAAAATAGTTAAATCATTTTTAAAATGTGTTATTTTGTATTTTCTTTTTCACCTAGTTATGCATGGTTATGGCCGATGATGCCATGTGATGCTGCTTATAGCTCACAGCAACTGACAGCGACTGACATCCTAAACCAGCGAATCATGCCCTTTCGCTTTCTCGTCGCTTTGATTCCAAGAATTCACTCGTTAAAACTCGACCACTGCGTCCTCTACTCCACCGCCGTTCAGTGTTAGTCGTGCGCCATGGTACGCGCAACCAGCGGCTCAGATGGCAGATCCGCACAGCTTGCATCATCTGCGGCCGTCCATTTAAGCCGGTCGGTTCCAAATTTACAATCATCGCAGCCTTCCGCCTCCGCCGGTCCCGGTTCCGGCTTCATGACTCCCATCGCTTCCCCCGCCGCGCCCCATCTTCCCGCCTCTCACTCCGCCAGCCCCCTTGCGCCCCCGCCCCCTCCCGCGCCGTCCGCGGGCTTTGCGCCGCCGCGCAGCTCCCCCGCGCCGACCGCGCGGCTGTCGTTCGGCTCCGTGTGGCCCAAGGCGCGCGACGAGGCGATCGAGGTGGCAAAAGAATTCCCCAACGGCGACACATACTACGGCGGATGGTTACTCGTCGGAGGCGGGTTACCACACGGCCTCGGGTGTTACACCTGGGGCGACGGGAGCGTGTACGAGGGGGAGTGGGTGAAGGGGCAGAAAAACGGGCAGGGGATGTTTTTATGGCCGTCCGGGGCGAGGTATCAGGGGGAATGGAAAAAAGGGCAGATGCAGGGAGTGGGGACGTATTGGGGCGCGGACGGGTCTTTTTACACGGGCAACTGGGCAGCCGGAATAAAGCACGGGCTGGGCAGGAAAATTTACCCTAACGGGGATTCGTACGAGGGGTTCTGGAGCTGGGGCGCGGCGGAAGGTCCGGGGCGGTACAAGTGGCGCAACGGGAACGAGTACTTCGGGGAGTGGAAGGCCGGGACCATGAGCGGATTTGGCGCGTTTGCTTGGGCGAGTGGGGATAGGTTCGAAGGGGAGTGGGAGGGCGGGTATGAGCATGGGCCGGGGTCGTTTGTATGGGCGGATGGGAGTCGGTATGAGGGGACTTGGAGTCATGGGTTGAAGGATGGGAAAGGGGTGTTTTACCCTGCGGGGTATAGGTCCGAGGATGGAGTGCTTGGAGGGGGTAGATCGGGGGAAGAGGGGGCGGAAGGGGAGGCGGAGGTGGGGAGGTGGTCGAGTGGTGGGGAGAGGGAGTGTGCGCCGTGGGATGGTGAGGGGAGTGGGGATGAGGGGCAGAGGAGGGACGAGGAGGGAAGAGGAGGGGGAGAGAGAGGAGATGGAGGGAGAGAGGAGGAGGAAAGGAGGGGAAGGCAAAGCGAGGGCGGTGCAGGGGAGGGTTGGGAGCAAGAGAAGGTTCCTAGAGCTGTATCCCATGATAGCTATGTTAGCAGCAGCAAGAACCGAACCTCCAAGACAGGTTCGGCATTGGTCGGTGCCGCAGGCTTGGTGGAAGCCAGAGGCACGGCGGCTGCCCCGGCCGAAGCCGTGGCCCGTGGTTTGGCGGAGCAGGGGATAGGGCATGGCAGTGGTGGGAGTGGGAACGTTGAGGCGGGGAGTGGGAGGGTGGGGAGTGGGTGTGAAGCGGAGATGGGGTGGAAAGGGGGACAGCAGCAGGGGGAGCAGCAGCAGGGGGCTCAAGAGGAGCAGCAGGAGCAAGAGAGCCACCGCTCCCCCTGTGCTCTGCCCGTCAGTGTCTCAAGTCTCGCAGCCTCTGATACCACTCTCGCCACAACACAGGCACCGCGGCTCATCTCCTCGCCCCTCACTGCCCCTTTCCCTCCCGATGCTTCTGCTGCTGCTGGCATTACCGCCCTCCACAGCCCGAATACTGCTGCTGCTGCTGCTGCTGCTGCTGCCCCGGTTGCTGCGACTGCTGGCAATACCGCTCTTCTCACCGCGGTTGCAGAATCCATTCAGCGTAGCGGCAGCAGCATCAGTAGCAGCAACTGCAGCACCAGCGGCGCTGCTACTGGCATTAGCCGTCGCTCGTCACGTGCTAGCACTGGTGATGCCTCTTCTGCTGCCATTGCCTCGTCTACTAGGATCAACCCCTCTGCTGCCAATACCCCTTCTGTTGCCAATTCCGCTTCTGCTGTCAATACTCCAATCACTGCTAATACCGCTAATCGAGAGCTCCAAAGGAGGAGAAGCAGCAACGATGCCAGTATCGAGAGTGACACAAAGGAGGGGGGTTCAGGTGAATCTGTGAGGGGGTTAGCGGCTCACCGGAGGCTAAGCTCGGCTGAATCCTCCCTTCCCCACTCCACCTCCTTCCCTGAGCGTACGCCTACGGTTGCAACTGCTGGTACACCTACGGTTACATGTGCGGGTACACCTACAATTACAACTGCAGGCACACCGACGGTTACAACTGCGGGTACGCCTACGGTTACAACTCTGAGCACGCCGACGCAGCGGATAGCGGAGTGGGCGCGGCGAGTGAGCATAGAGAGGCAGCTTGTAGAGGGGACAAGGGCGCTAGACCAGGAGCTGGGGCAGCAGGCGGCACAGCAGGAGCAGCTTTGGAGCGGGCCGCTGCGAGCCCTGAGAATGCTACGCACTGGGAGCTACGGCCAGAGCCCCAGTGATGGTGGTAACGGTGTTGTTGTTAATGGTGGTGGTGGTGGTGAGGGTGATAATAACGAGGGCAACGGTGAGGGTGGTTGGGGTAGTGGCAGTGGTATCAGGAGGAGTGGGACGGACGGTGGTGCCATAGCTGGTGTTTTGGAGCCGGAGGGGTTGGCAGAAAGGAAAAGCACACCAGATGTGGGAGTGGGGAGAGTAAGGGGAGTAAGGGGAGTGAGGGGAGTGAGGGGAGTGGAGGGAGGGAGAGGGATTGCAGAGGAGAGGGGATTAAGCAGAGGTGGGTTGCCTTTGGCGGGTAAGAGTCTTAGCTTGAGGGATGACCGGCTGTTGAAACTCGAACCTGTTGACGCGAGGAAGGTTTGGGGGAGCTTCCGGACCGGGCGGGAGGCTCGGTCGGAGGCTCGGGTGGAGGGTCGGGCGGAGGCTCGGTCGGAGGTTCGGGTGGCGAGCGAGTGGGTGGAGAGTGTGTTGGGAGGGGAGGAGGATGGGGGGGAAGGTGGGGGTGGTTGGGGGACGAGAGGGAGGAGAGGGAGGGGAGGATTGGGTTGGATTAGTCACGGACGGATTCATGAGGATTCAAAGACAACTCGTACAGCAAGTAATGGAGCAGGGGATTGGGATGGTGTTATAGAGGAGGAGAGTGAGAGTGTGGGTGGTGGGGGTGATGCAGGGGGAGGAGTCGACGAGGAAGAGGATAATGGGGAGGAGGAAGGGGGGGAGGGGGGGGAGGGAGAGGATGAAGCGGAGGAGGAAGCATATGGGTCTGAAACAGAAGGGGAGGAGGAGGAGGAATCAGATGATTCTTCTGTTGAGCGTGACAATGAGGGAGAGGAGGGCCGAGAGCTGGTCAGGAGAGTTGCGGGCGAGAGGGGGGGGCAAGAGGAAGCGGAGGAGGGAGGCGAAGAGGAAGGGAAAGGCAAAGGAGGTTCAACAGCAGCAGCAGCAGCAGCTGGAACTGCGGAGGGAGGAGAAGCAGGGCTGGAAGTTGTTAGTACAGCTGCAGTTGCGGCAAAAGCACCACAAGCAGGCTTGCCAGCAGCAGCAGCAGCAGCACCAGCAACCGAAGCAGTAGCAACGGCACCCCAGGAGGTATCAGGGACGTCTAGCTCCGTGCCTGGCCTTGCCCCGCAGGCTCAGCAGCATGCAGTGCGCCCGCCGAGCCTGCAGGTGCCGAACCCAGGTTCTGCAAGCCTGACGCCGAGCCTAGTGTCTCCAGGCCACGTTCGGGATTTGGACGAAGCAGCAAGGAGGGAGAGGAGTCCTAGGGAGCCGTGGCAGCCTAACCACTCTGGCATGGGAGTGGCAGCAGGAGCAGCAGGAGCAGCAGCAGTGGCAGGTGCTGCAGCAACAGCTGTAGCAGCAGGCGCAGCCGCGGTGTTTACAACGGCTGCAGCTGCAGTGGCAGCAGCAGCAGGAGGAGCAGCAGTTAAAAGACAGCATGAGACAAGTAGGGAAACCCAGCCAGGGGCAAGTAGAGTTAATGAAGGGGTAAGGGATGAGGGTGTGGCGGGAGCATGCGCAGGGGGGTTAGGAACAGGGGGAATGATAAAAACAGAGGAGGGAGGGATGCAATCAGCAGAGGGGGTGAGTAAAGCAGGAGAGAGAGGGAGCACAGCAGCAGGCGCGGGGGTGACTGCAGCAGCTGGCTTGGGAGGGACCACGTCGAAGCAGCAGCACAAGATGGCGAGGTTGGTGACCATGGGCCCTGTGCCGGGGCGCAGTGTGGCTTACCATGAGCCGGGGCGGGGAGGGTCGGCATCTTCTGAGCCGGGGCGGGGAGGGTCGGCATCTTCTGAGCCGGGGCGGGGAGTGGTAGGGTGTCTTGAGCCAGGGAAAGGGGCAGCGAGTGAAGAGACGTCTCGATCGGGGCCGCTGGGCATCCGAATGGCTTCTGACACGGCTGGCGTGCGAGGTGAGCGGTGGTGTGCGGTGGGGCTGGGTGGGTGGGTGTGTTGTGGGGAGACACGGGGTACCAAGAGGTAGTGTTGGGGAGGGGTGGCGAGTGAAGAGGTGTCTCGATCGGGGCCGCTGTGCATCCGAGTTGCTTCTGATACTGCTGGCGTCCGAGGTGAGAGGTTGTGTGCGGTAGTGCTGGGTGTGTGTGTGTAGTGGGGAGGGATGGATTACCAAGAGCAGGGGGGAGGGGCAGCGAGTGAAGAGACGTCTCGATCGGGGCCGCTGGGCATCCGAGTTGCTTCTGACACTGCCGGCGTGCGAGGTGAGCGGTTGTGTGCGGTGGGGCTGGATGATTTGTCTACGCAGTAGGGCGAAAAGATGTGAAGGGGTGTGCGAGGTGACAGGGTGTGTGTGAGGTAGGGGGTGTGTGCGAGGTGAGGGTGTGTGTGTGCTGCGCGTCACCTAGGGATGAGCAAATGGCGAACTCGAACACGTTTGGGTTCGAGTTCGCCCGAACAACAACTTTCGCCGAACCGAACACAGTTCGGTTCGGCGAACAACTTAGGCTTCAGGACATGTTCGCCGTTCGCCCTTGGGGGCGAACATTTGTTATGTGTGGGCGAACTCGAACATGTTCGACCCGAACATGTTCGAGTTCGCCCAGGGCCACTTTCATTATAGTCACAACAGCTTGACACGGAACCTGGAGGGTTGGGAAGATAGATAGGGGGGTGGAGGGTGTGTATATAATCATGCAACGCACACTAGCATACGACACCATCATGTAGTGCTTATATAAAAGTCAAGTCACTGCTAAATTATCTCCTATCCTACGCATGCACACCACTGCTACTACCAACAACAGCATGCTCCGCGTCTGAGGTGTCGCCAGCACCCACCCCCACCTGCTCCTCCTCCCCCTCCTCCTCCTCCCACTCGTCGTCATCCTCCTCCCCCTTGCCTTCAATGGCGAACTCTGGTGGTGCCTCGCCCTTGGCACGGCGGCCCTCGCCTATCCTCTGTCCAGGGTGTGAGGTGTACCATGATCTGAGAATCATGGAAGCTCGCGTCCTTTGAGAGGCTAGGCGGTGCCGCTTCCAGGATATGAGGTTGCGGCCGAGGGAGAAGACGCGTTCGCTCGACGCGGACGTGGCAGGGATGGCAAGATAATCCCGGGCCATGCGCCTCAGCGTCTGCATGTTGGTGGCGCTGCGCCAATACTCCAACGCTGACACGTCGCACCGCACCCTCTCTGACAAGTACCTGCCAACCTCGTCATCCTGCACCATCCCACCCCTCCCCGCCTCCTGGCTCGCCGACAGACGCGCCGCAAGGCGTCGGCGACTAGGGAGAAACTCGGCGTCCTCGTCGTCATCCGCCTCCTCTCCCTCCTCCTCCGTCACTCGGGCAAGTGGGGTCGACTGAGGGGCAATCGCTGCAGCCCGGGCCTGGTACTCGGCCACGCGTTCGCGAACCAGCGAACCGACATACCAACACATAAAACAGCATACACAACACCTGGCGCACACACACACCTGTGTCTGGGCAAAGTAGACAGAGATGGGTTCCTGCAGAACCCCGGCTCGCTCGACCATGTCGTGTGTCGACCCCCAGCGTGTGAGACTGTCCTGCACCAGCTTCAATGCTGGCTTCGGTTTGGCGGGGTTGCCCTGCGCGTTCAGAGTCCGCTGAAGGCCCAAGAACTTCCCCGAGCGCTGCGGCGAGTATCCTATCCACGACGCCATCTCTCTCAGAATCTTCAGCAACTTGCGGATGGCGGTCACAGCGAGTGCCGCCTTCACCGCAAGGTTGATCACGTGTGCCAGGCATCTGCGCACGTCACAAAACATTCATGGCGGAGAGAAAGGGAAGTGTGAGTACACAACACATTGGCCCACCCGCCTGTACAACCACCACAACATGTTCACATCACAGGAACACTCCCTTTCGTACCGGAAGTGCATGCGCGAGTTGAAGAAGCACTGGCCACCACCCTCCTCCGACATCCACCTAAAAGCGGCAGTGTTGCTAGAGGCGTTGTCTGAGGTGAACCCAAGACAACGCGTCTCCAACCCCCACTGCACCACCGTGTCCTCAACCACCCTCGCCATCTGCTTGCCCGTGTGCCGCCCGTGAATTTCCCGGAATTCAAACACCATTGTGCGCAGCTGGTAACCCTCGTCGATCCAGTGACCCGTTACCACCAGCCACGCCCTGTTGTTGGGTGACGTCCACATGTCGATGGTGAACGACACCCTGCACCCCAGCTCCCCCTCCTTCGCCAGCATCTCCGCGATGGCTGACTGAAGAGCAGCAGCCGAATAGACGACTGTGTCGCGGGAAACCGTCCAGCGCGAGGGGATGAAGTTTTTTTGCGCGCAGTTGCGGTTCAACAGGATGAGTAGCTCACGAAACTGGAGAGGGGAAGAGACAAGGGGGGAGAGGGTAGTACACGTCAGGGGGATGCGATAAAGGTAATATAGCACTGCACTGGGCCACACGCAAACAGTCAAAACACAAAGTGACAGACACGTCCACTAACCGCATACTTGCGAAATCAAGCATGGGATGGGATGGGGCACTTACAGCCTCGGCCTCGACGATGCGGAAGGGGAGGTCGCAGGTGACCACCAGCTTCGTGATCGCCTGCCGTAGCTGCACCGAGGTCAGTTTTGCTGTCATCCACCGCTCGATCCCTCCTGACCCATCACCTCCACCAGTTGCCATCGCTTTCCCCTTGGCGAGCTGCGGCCAAGTCTTGGCATGTGGCCACTGATAGACGTAGCCATCCGGCACTCCCTTGTAGCCCCCTCGGGGAAACGTCTCCCCAGGCAAGTGAACCGACGGGGTGTGGTAACGGTGATGCCACACATGCATGTGCGCAGTGTGGAAGCTCGCAAAGTGCCGCTCGCCCGGGGTTGTTGTGGATTGCTTCCACGAAATCCTATCTGTGCAAATCTTGCACTGACGCTTTTCGTCTGCCCCTAACGGTCCGAACATCATAACTTGCCACCCCGGCCTCCTATTACCCTTGCTAGTCCCCTTACTACTCTCGGACCCTCCGTCCTCGTCTAGGAACTCGGGTGGAATCACACCCTCGCCCAAGGGCTCCCCAGTGAACGTGCAGGGATACGCCCGCTCTCTCAACTTGTTCGCTTTCTTCCTCTGCTTCGGCTCCCTAATGGTCACGGCCTTTCCCCCTCCCACCTTAACCCCCACGCTCCCCCCCCCTTCACGCACATGCTGTGATCCCGCCTCTGTCGCCGCCCTTCCACCACCCTCTCCCACCTCCTCCTCCCGCCCCTCTGGCTCCAACCCATCCATCTCGTGGTCTTCATCATCATCATCTCCCCCCTCCCCACCGCCATGCGTCTCTGGGTCCCACGCCGCCTCGCTGTCATCCCCGCTCCCCTCAGTGTTCTCCTCCTTCTCGCCCTCACCATCCTCCTCCTCATCCTCCTCCTCACTGCCGCTCTCCGGCTGTGTCGGCGTCTGCCCCGAAGGAGGGGGCCGAGGGCCGTCGTAACGGAAAGAGCGACGAGAGGTCGGCGCCGGTACGGTAAGCAACCCCCCAACGAAGATCGCGCCGGCTCCACCCGGTCCATCCCCTACTCGCCCCTGCATAGGTCGTGGTGGAGATCCCGGTGCGCTGCCCTGAGCCCTGCCTGCACCTCGGCCTATGGATCCACCACCCCTGGACGCCATCACTCCGCCCTCGACCCTAAACCCTTAAACCCCCTAAGGCAACGTGAGCGTTGGATGGTGCCGCACCGCACGTCCCTAATGCCCGATCCGAATCCTAGAGCGAATGGTACGCCCTACTTGAGCCCTTCCCGGGAGATGCTCGCTTTCCCTCCCTAGTAAAAATAAACTCCCTACACAACGTTAAACCCTATGCTTAGTTCTTCTATCTAATCTAATGTGAGTTCGTTTACACTCCAATTATTAACGTGCACTTGCTTGCACTTAGAAGAAGGAGGCTAGGGCGGCTGTGTGAGGGAGCACTAAAGCGGCTAAACAACTTCTGAGTTTGAGCTCACGAAATGAGCTCAAACTCAAATTGGCCGCGACCTAAATCTGGTCGCGGCCAATTTTGACGCGAACACTTTTGGTGTTCGCGTCGAAGCCAAGCCGAACACGAACATGTTCGTGTTCGGCTTGGAGAGGCCAACTCCAAAGTCGAACGCCGAACATGTTCGGCCGAACCTCGAACATGTTCGGCCCGAACGAATTGGCCAAAAAAAAAGGCCTGTTCGGTTCGCCTCGAACATGTTCGAGGCGAACCGAACAGGCGTTCGGCATTTTGCTCATCCCGTCACCTCTCCTCTCACCTTGTTTCCCCACAACCCCCCTCCTGTTGTCCCCATCTCCCCCCCATGCGTGCAGGTGGCGAAGGGTCAGCATCAGCATCTCTAATCACATCCCCCATGTTCAGCACGAGCCACGCAGTGGGAGCGCCCACAGGGGCGGGGCAGGGGGGCAGCAGGCCGAAGCCGAGCATGCGGAGGGGAACGGTGTTGGTGAGGGAGTATGTGCAAGGCGTGCTTGTTTCTGAGACGGCCAAGAGCGACAAGACCGTGCTGCCTGTGAGTATCGTGGCTGTATCATGGTGCTGGAACAACAAGGGGGCCTGACTGGGCAACACGGCAGGCAGCTGTACGAGGCTTGTCTATACAGGGTTCTCAATGAAGAGGCTTCTCTTCACGAGGGTTTGTGTTCCCTCTTCATCGGGCTTCTCAATGCCCTGCTCATAAACCCTTCCTCCTCTTCGCTCGTCTCATCCTCCCATTTGCAGCGAAACAAGGGGCCAAGGCGGGAAGGCAAGAAGGCGGGCGAGTTGATATACAAGGGTCATCTGTCGTACGACCTGATGGTCACGCTGCAGCTTGGCTTGCGGTGAGACTGGGTTGGCTGTCCGATCATTGTGTGGTGAGTGGAGTGTTGAGTCGCTGTGCGGAGTGTCAAAGAGGGAAGGCGGGCGGGCTGGTATACAAGGGCCATCTGTCGTACGACCTCATGGTCATGCTACAGCTCGGCTTGCGGTGAGATGAGACTGGCTGTGGGGTGGGGTGAGGCATGCTGGCTTCTGCTTGCTTTGAGACGTCTCAAAACACTCCTTTCACGCGACTGGCTGTGGGGTGGGGTGAGGCATGCTGGCTTCTGCTTGCTTTGAGACGTCTCAAAACACTCCTTCTTTCACGCGACTGGCTGTGGGGTGGGGTGAGGCATGCTGGCTTCTGCTTGCTTTGAGAAGTCTCAAAACACTCCTTCTTTCACGCGACTGGCTGTGGGGTGGGGTGAGGCATGCTGGCTTCTGCTTGCTTTGAGACGTCTCAAAACACTCCTTCTTTCACGCGACTGGCTGTGGGGTGGGGTGAGGCATGCTGGCTTCTGCTTGCTTTGAGACGTCTCAAAACACTCCTTCTTTCACGCGACTGGCTGTGGGGTGGGGTGAGGCATGCTGGCTTCTGCTTGCTTTGAGACGTCTCAAAACACTCCTTCTTTCACGCGACTGGCTGTGGGGTGGGGTGAGGCATGTTGGCTTCTGCTTGCTTTGAGACGTCTCAAAACACTCCTTCTTTCACGCGACTGGCTGTGGGGTGGGGTGAGGCATGCTGGCTTCTGCTTGTTTTGAGACTGAAGAAAGTGGATCGGTTGAACTTAGGGCACGATAGGAAGAAGAAATCTCCTTAGCAAGAAAATGGTACAAGTCTTAAAGACTAGAGCAAGGTCCTTGTCAAGGATAATCTCTAGTGAAGTGGGAAGCCACATATATGTGGCTGAACTCTTGAGGCTAGCTGCAGCACCTCAATGCTGAGGGCTAGGCTAGCCAACCTTGCCAAGCTAGCAAGTGAGGCCACATGTTGCACATGTGGGCCAGGCTGGAACAACAGCCCACATGACAGCATATGGCACACCATAGAGGCCAGCAAGGTGAGTGTGGGATGAGTGGACAGGTGGCAATGCCAGCTGTGACCACACTTCATTGTGGTGGAGTGTGGACATGTAATGTGGAGCATAATGAGAAGGGAACCTGCAACTACTGAGAATTGAACCCACAACCTCTAAGACCACAGGTGAGAATCTACCATCCGGGACATATTTGCTGCACAACACCCCCCCTCAAGGATGTCCCCGGGGTAGGGTTCTTCAAGCGGAGACATGGGTGACACCGAGAAGACCACGGATGCGTAGAAAAGGGTCACGGGGCAAAGGTTTGGTGCCAATGTCAGCGAGGTTGTCTTGAGTAGGAACATAGTGAAGGGTGACGGAGTGGTCGGCGACATGATCACGAATGAAATGGTGCTTGATGTCGATGTGTTTGGCCTTGGGATGAAAGACGCCGTCGTCCTTGGCCAGAATGATGGCGGCGCTGTTGTCACACGAGATGCGGGTGGGGCCGGGTGGGGGAAGTCCAAGTGCAGTAAGGAGGGATCGAAGCCATAAGGCCTCATGCACCGCGGCGCCCAGAGAATAGTATTCAGCTTCACATGAGGAGGTAGCGACGACAGCTTGACGTTTGGACTGCCAAGAGATGAGTGACGGACCGAGGAAGAACAAGTAGCACGTAACGGAGCGTCGGAGCTCGCCCTCCGGTCCCCAAGAGGCGTCACACCACCCATGGAGTTCAAGGGTGTTGGGAATGCCGCCAAGGAGAAGCCCGAGTGAGGTAGTCCCTTTCAAGTAGCGAGCAACGTGTTTGGCAGCCGAGACGTGAGGAGTAGACCAATCATGAAGGTGACGAGCAAGAACTCCAGCGCTATATGCGAGGTCGGGACGGGAACCCACCATGGCATACATGATGGATCCGACAAACGAGGTGTAAGGAAAGGAGTGTGGTGAGGAAGTCACAGGCGGCTGAAACTTGGTGTCCATGGGGGTGGCAGTAGGGTTAAGTGGTGTGAATGAGTAGGTGTCTAAGATGGAGGTGATGAATTTGGATTGATGAAGGTGGAGAGTGCGTGAGGTCCGATCACGAGTGATGTGAAAGCCAAGGTAGTAGGAAAGAGGACCGAGGTCACGAAGCTTGAAGCGAGATGAAAGGGCACGCTTGAATGAGGAGAGAAGAGAAGAGGAGGAGGAAAGAATGATGAGGTCGTCAACATAGACGAGAAGCATGAAGAAAGATGCAGCTGTAGGCCGATAAGGAGATTGTGGAGTAGTAATGAAGAGGCCAGGGTCCGCACGGGCAGCAAAAAGGTGAAATGCGGCAAGCTCTTCACGAAGTTTGCGGTACCAGCACCGCGGCGCTTGCTTCAACCCGTACAACGGTTTGTGCAAGAGACAAACTTGCTCAACACCATGGACCGCCGGAAGCTCATAACCGGGAGGCTGCATCATGTAGAGAATTTCATCAAGAGTGCCGTTGAGGAAGGCGTTGGAAATGTCCAGCTGATGGACTTCCAGGTCGAAAACGGCAGCAATGGTGAGGAAGAGGCGGAGGGTGGCGAAGCGAACGGTAGGAGCAAAGGTGTCATGGAAATCAACACCGTCGCGTTGTTTGAAACCTTTGACAACAAGGCGGGCCTTGCGGCGTTCAATAGAACCATCAGCATGCTCCTTGACCTTAAAAATCTATTTGCATGGAATCGGTTTGCACTTGGGTGGTCGAGGAACAACGCTGTAAGTGTCATTAGCGTGCAGGGCGGCGAGTTCCGCATCAGCAGCCTTGATCCATTCAGCAGCATCAGGGCCGGTGCGGGCCTCATGAATGTTTTGAGGTTCGTAATGATGATGAAGGGCGGCATTAGCAGAGGGCTTGGAAAGAGGAGGAAGGGTGAAGTCAATGGGTTCAGAAGGAGAGGGTAGGACCTTGAGCAGTGAGAAAAGTGAAGGATTGGAAGGAGCTGAAGGGGATGGTGGTGAAGAACTAGAGGTGCAAGGGGGAGGACGAGCTGAAGAAGGAGAGGAGAGGGATGGAAGGCGGAAGTCTTGCGGCGTCGAGGGCAGAGGAAGATTGAAAAACAAAGGAGGAGGAGAAGAGGTTGCTGGTGCTGGCAGATTTGGAGATGGGGGGAGGAGGGTGGTGGAAGAGGTCATGGGAGGTGAACGAGAGGGAGGGGAGGTTGGGTCTGAGAGGGAAGGGGGTGGAGGAGGAGGCGGAGAGGATGATATGGGTGGTGGAGATGACGATGGAGGTTCCCGAGGGTCATCCGAAGGTGGCGAAGAGGGCTCCATGAAGATGACATCACGAGAAAGTGTGACACGGTGCTGAGTTGGGATATAGATGCGATAAGCTTTGGTGCCGTTAAGATGACCATACCCAACCATGACGCCGGCCGTGCTTCGGTCGTCGAGTTTGGAGCGGCGTTGCGGAGGAACGAGGACTGAAACGGGTGAACCGAAGATGCGGAGGTGGGATACGTCCGGACGTGCACCGGTCCATAGTTCTATGGGAGTCTTGGAAGCTGAACCACCCCGACTAATAGCATGATTTCGGAGATAGGCAGCAGTGAGAGCGGCTTCACCCCACCATCCTCTGTCCATGTGTGCGTCATGAAGCATGGAACGGACCATCTCAAGTATAGTCCGATTGGCGCGTTCAGCAACTCCATTTTGTTCGGGTGTGTATGGCGTAGAGCGGTGTCGAGCGATGCCATGAGCATTAAGGAATGAAGTGAAGGCCTTGGAATTGAACTCCAAGGCACCATCGGAGCGAAACGCTTTGATGGTCCTTGGGGAATGCATATTGTGCACCCGAGTGACGTACGCTTTGAAGCACGACAATGCCTCTGAACGATGGCGTAGTAGATACACGGTAATGTGGCGGGAATAGTCGTCGATGAAGGTGAGAAGGTAGCGAGCGCCTCCAATGGTAGTTCCATATGAAAAGGGTCCAGCAATATCCGAATGAATGAGTTGGAGCGGTGCGGTGGTGCGAGAATGGGACACACCAAATGGTTGACGCGTTTGTTTCCCACGATAGCACGAGATGCATTGAGGAATTGAGGAGGAGGAGAGGTTAAGACCGGAGACCAGCTGCTGCCGATGAAGTGTTGACAAGTCCCGCATGTTAAGATGCCCGAAACGGCGATGCCAAAGGTATGAGGAGGAGGTGGTGGAGACTGGACATGCCGATGGGTTGATGGGGGGGGCGGCACTCTTTCCATGATGCAGCTGAAGATAGAACAGATTGTTGCGGGTAAAGCCCTCGCCAATAAGAGCCTCATCAGTCTTGAGCTCAACCCGCCCAGCAATGGGGAAGGAAACGGTAATGCCGGCAGCTCCAAGTGCACGAACTGAGAGCAGATTGTGAACCGATGAAGGGAGAAACAGAACGTTGTCTAGCTGGATGGTGGTTTCCGAGGTTTGGGAACGAAGAGTAGCCACCACCGTGCCGACTCCCAAGACCTTGTAAGTCTCTCCGCCACCAAAGCGAACGATAATATCATCAGTTGGCTGCTGGAGAGATGAAAACAGCGAGCGATCGGAGCAGATATGGGAAGATGCGCCGCTGTCCACCAGCCAGGAAGACGTCCGGACCAGGTTTGATGAAGAGGCCGTGAATGCCGATGCATAGGGAGCACCATAAGGGAAGAGGAGGAGGAGAAGGATGGTGAAGATGAAGAGAGTAGCGACGAGAGGAGTCCAGGTGGGGAGGATGGAGCCGTGGCTGGTGCTGAAAGCAATGTCAACGTACCGGGAATCAGGTACGGACTGAGAGGCTGATGGGGCAGTAGGTGTTGTGGAGGTCGAAGGGATGTCGGCGGAGGAGCTTGTTGACACATGCACCGAAGGCTGGATGACAGATTTCTCCCGTCGAGAGCTTTCTTCGATCTCTTTCTTCTTCTTCAACTTGAAGCATTCGTCAATAGTGTGTCCGGTTTTCTTGCAGTAGTGGCAAGTAGGGGACTGGCGGGAACCGGAGCGAATAGGGTGGGAGGGCTGGGAATGGAGGTTGTATGCACCTTCCATGTTGCGGCTTGTACCAGATTGTGACCGCTCCCAATCGACATCGAGTAGACGTGACTGCAGGTATTCAACCGTCATAGACTTGATGTCTTTCACGGTGCAAATAGTTTCTGTGAGAGTCTTGAAGGAGTCCGGCAGATTGAGAATGATGGAGATTACCACCACCCAAGATGGTAACTCGAAGCCGGCAGATTTGAGTTGGTCCGTAAGATTTCCAACTCGATCGAAGTAGGAGCAAAGACTCATTGTTGGGTCCATCCGTGTAGTGATGAGATCTCGGAGGAGAGCCACTTGTGCATGGTTACCCATGCAGTCAAACCGCGCCATGATGCATCCCCACATGTCCTTCGTCGTGTTGGCTTGAGCAAGTGTGAGCGAGAGCTGAGGATGGACGGCTGACATGAGAAGATAGTACGCATGCTCCTCTTTTTCTTCATCCGGCAGCGACGCAATCGAGTGGGCTGTTTTAGGGGCTGCACCATTGTTGCCTTCAGTAGCATCTCCACTGCTGGTCGTGGAGGAGGAAATGGAAGGGCGGGAAGCAACCTTGGGATCTCCAAGAAAGGAGATCAGCCCAAGGACATTAAAGATGTAGCATATCTTTTTCTTCCATGGAATGAAGTTGGAACCATCCGGTTCCAAGATAGGAAGGGTGTGCCGACCGAGAGGCGTCTCAACTTGAGCCATCAAGTGTGCGACGTTCACAAAGCTAGAAGCCTAGCTCTGATAGCATGAAGAAAGTGGATCGGTTGAACTTAGGGCACGATAGGAAGAAGAAATCTCCTTAGCAAGAAAATGGTACAAGTCTTAAAGACTAGAGCAAGGTCCTTGTCAAGGATAATCCCTAGTGAAGTGGGAAGCCACATATATGTGGCTGAACTCTTGAGGCTAGCTGCAGCACCTCAATGCTGAGGGCTAGGCTAGCCAACCTTGCCAAGCTAGCAAGTGAGGCCACATGTTGCACATGTGGGCCAGGCTGGAACAACAGCCCACATGACAGCATATGGCACACCATAGAGGCAAGCAAAGTGAGTGTGGGATGAGTGGACAGGTGGCAATGCCAGCTGTGACCACACTTCATTGTGGTGGAGTGTGGTAGAGTGTGGACATGTAATGTGGAGCATAATGAGAAGGGAACCTGCAACTACTGAGAATTGAACCCACAACCTCTAAGACCACAGGTGAGAATCTACCATCCGGGACATATTTGCTGCACAACAGAGACGTCTCAAAACACTCCTTCTTTCACGCGACTGGCTGTGGGGTGGGGTGAGGCATGCGGGCTTCTGCTTGCTTTGAGACGTCTCAAAACACTCCTTCTTTCACGCGACTGGCTGTGGGGTGGGGTGAGGCATGCTGGCTTCTGCTTGCTTTTCTGTGCTGCATGGAGTGTTGCGTTAGTGTGTGGTGGGGTGTAAATCAGTGAAGGCGGGCGAGTTGATATACAAGGGGCATCTGTCCTACGATCTTATGGTCACGCTGCAGCTTGGCTTGCGGTGAGATGAGACTGGCTTGGAGTGACGCTTGCCCATTGGAGTGGCTTGAGATGAGACTCCACTCCGCTTGCAACTCTACTCTGTGCTGCGTGGCGTGTTGAGGGGCTGAGTAGAGTGTCAAGGAGGGAGGGAAGGCGGGCTAGTTTCTTTGCAAAGTTGAGAGAGAGTGACTTTTCCCAGCACCCAGCCAGTATCCATTCTCTCCTCCCTACCCTGCCACCCAACCCCCCATTCCAGCCACTCCATAGGTCGCATGGGGCTGGACTCAGTACGGGAGTTGAGAGAAAGCGACTTCTCGCAGCACGCACGCAGCCAGTACGCTTTCACTCCTTAACCGGCCGCCTTCATCTGTTCCCCCTCCCCTCCACCGTCCCCAACACCCCAGCTACTCCATAGGGCGCATGGGGCTGGATTCAGTGAGGGAGTTGAGAGAGAGCGATTTCTCCCAGCATGCGGGGCCAAGGGCTGTGCGCTTCCCCCCAGAGGGCTCTCAGATCACTCCCCCGCACCAAGTAGCTCCCTTCAAGTGGCGGGATTTCTGCCCTGCCGTATTCAGGTGCGTCAGGTGTTACCTTCTGCTGCTTCCAGGTGCGTAAGCTTTCTCCCTTCTGTTGTGTGCTTCCCCCCGGAGGGCTCTCAGATCACTCCCCCGCATCAAGTGGCGCCTTTCAAGTGGCGGGACTTTTGCCCCACCATTTTCAGGTGAGTCAGGACTCAGATGTTCTTTGTCAGGTGCATCAGGCGTTCTTTTCGGTCATGCGCTTTCCCCCAGATGGCTCTCAGATCAACCCCCCCCATCACGTCGCACCTTTCAATTAAGAGGCGACGCCTTTCCCTTCCCTCCGCAGCCGTTCGTCCTTGCTATCCAGCAGGGAGGTGCAAGCACCCAAAACAGCAGGGAGCTGCAAGCACTGTTTGCAGTATATCCGACTTTTGAGACGTCTCAAAAGTTCGTCCTTGCTATCCAGCAGGAAGGTGCAAGCACCCAAAACAGCAGGGAGCTGCAAGCACTGTTTGCAGTATATCCGACTTTCCCCCAGATGGCTCTCAGATCAACAGGGAGCTGCAAGCACTGTTTGCAGTATATCCGTCAGACTGCATGCTGTCGCTGTGGGCGAGGCAATACAGCGTTGACCTGTTCGCCTGTCCTTTCCTTTCCCTCTACTCCTTCCTGTAACACCCAAAACCGCAGGGAGCTGCGAGCGCGCTTTGGAGTGAATCCTGTCAGACTACATGCTGTCACTGTGCAGTGATACAGAGTTGAGAGAACTGTTCATTTGTCCTTCCCCTCAATTCCCAAGGCTTCCCCGCCAGGCAAGTCGGGCAGTGTCTTCTACCCCTCCCATCGTCTTCCCCTTCACCTCCCTCCCGTGAATCGTGATACACCACCCCACAGGGAGCTGCGAGCTCTATTCGGAGTTGACCCGTCAGACTACATGCTGTCGCTGTGTGGTGACACGGCGTTAAGAGAGCTGTCTTCCCCGGGCAAGTCGGGCAGTGTCTTCTATCTCTCCCACGACGATCGCTTCATCATCAAGACAATGCGACGAGCCGAAGTGCATGTGAGTGTTTAGGCGCCAAGCTGTGCGAGTGCTCAAGCAGCCTCTGGGCAAGTCGGGCAGCATCTTCTATCTCTCCCACGACGATCGCTTCATTATCAAGACCATGCGACGAGCCGAAGTGCTCGTGAGTGGCTTAGACAATTTTCCTCGTGGGCGTGATATGAGCGACTTCTGACTTAGTATTCCTTCGCCTGCTTCAGGGTTTCTGTGGCCTGCTCCTCCTTGATAATCCGAGTCACTTTGCTTGCAGAATAGAATATTATCAACATACATATCTATATACATATATTACAAAGGTTGCTTTGTCTTTCCCTCCGTCTTGCCCCTTCCTCCCAGGTGCTCCTGCGAATGCTCCCGGCATACCACGAGCACGTGAAGCAGTACGAGCACACCCTGCTCACCAAGTTCTTCGGCCTCCACAGCTGCAAGATCTACAAGCCCTCCACCGTGAGTCCTTCACTTCACCTGTCCTGTGCTGGTGGCTGTGGCACAGCATGTGTGCGTGCGTGTCTGTAGTGTGGTTGAAGAGTATCTGGATGGACTGCCTCTTCAACTCTGACGTTCGTTTGCACTGCTCTGTTCCCTCCCACGTCTCCTTCATTGCTCCCTTCTCCTCCTTCTTCCCCCCTTATAACCCTTCCACCCCTGCAGGGCAGCACCGTGATCCGATTCGTGGTGATGGGAAACCTCCTCAACTCCCATGTGTGTCTGCACCACTCTTCCCCTCCCACGCCTCTCTCATTGATCCCTTCCTCCTTTCACCCCTCCCCCGTTTGCCACCCCTGCAGGGCAGCACCATGATCCGATTCGTGGTGATGGGAAACCTCCTCAACTCAGACGTGCGCTTGCACTGCCGCGCTCATTGCCTCACTCACGCCTTCCTCCCTCCCTCCTCCTTCCGTCCCTTCAACCCCTCCCACTCTTTCAGGGCAGCACCATGATCCGATTTGTGATGGGAAACCTCTTCAACTCCCACGTGCGGCTGCACCGTCGCGCTCCTATCCCTCCCCACTCCTTTTTTCCTCATACCTGCCACTTGCATCCCGCCTCCCTCCTTCATCATTCCCCCCGTTTCAGGGCAGCACCATGATCCGATTCGTGGTGATGGGAAACCTTTTCAACTCAGACGTGCGGCTGCACCGCCGCTTCGACCTCAAGGGCTCCTCACAGGGGCGCAGCATGGACAAGGTGGCGATCGATGAGACCATGACGCTCAAAGATCTCGACTTGGACCTCGCCTTTAGGCTGCACGGGGGATGGAGAAACCTGCTGCTCAGGTGCGTGTGCCGTGTGGGTGAGCATGAGAGGTGCGTGTGCCGTGTGGGTGAGCATGAGAGGTGCGTGTTGCGTTGACCTCAAGGGCTCATCGCAGGGGCGCAGCATGGACAAGGTGGCGATTGATAAGACCATGACGCTCAAAGACTTGGACCTGGACCTTGCGTTCCGGCTGCACGGAGGGTGGAGATACCTTCTGCTCAGGTGCGTGTGGGCATGGAAGGGGTGTGCCTTTTTTACCTCAAGGGCTCATCGCAGGGGCGCAGCATGGACAAGGTGGTGATTGATGAGACCATGACACTCAAGGGGTCGTTGCAGAGATCTAGATCTCCGTCCCATCGTTTCCCCCCCGGCCCCCCTCCCTTGCAGGCAAATGGCCGCGGACTGCCACTTCCTGCAGTCCCAACGCATCATGGATTACAGCCTCCTCTTGGGCATGCATTTCCGTGCCACAGACCCGCCCTCTATCGCCTCCTTTCTATCCTTCTTCCCTTCTCCCCCCCTCCCTTGCAGGCAAATGGCTGCCGACTGTCATTTCCTCCAGTCGCAGCGCATCATGGACTACAGTCTCCTCTTGGGAGTGCATTTTCGAGCCACAGACCCGCCCCCCCCTATAGTCACCATCGCTGAAGGCAAGGTCACAGGTCCTGAGGCATTCCTTCCCCCCACCTCCTCCTCCTCCTCCGCCTCTGCTCTCCCCGCCCCCTTCCCCTTCCCCAAATCCTCCTCCTCCTCCGCGCTCCTGTTTTCCGCGCGTGAACCCCCAATGGGAGGGGCAAACGGGTTGCGTATGCCGTTTGGAGGTGGGGAGATGGGGGGAGGGGGTGGGGGGGAGGGAGCAGGTGGGGGAATGGGAGGAGTGAGTGTGGAGGTTGGAGGAGTGAGTGTGGAGGAGGGGGAAGAGGGCGTGTATACTCCTGGGTCTGAGCCTCAGCCATTGCCGCCTTGGGCTAGTGAGGCGAAGGGAGGGGGGACAGGAAGCGAAGGAGGGGGAGGAGGAAAAGGGGGTGGTGGAGTGAGAGGGGTAGGGGAAGCGGGAGGGGAAAGGGGAGCAGCTGGGGGTGTTGATTTGAAAGCAGCAAAGACAGTAGGGGCAGATTCAGGGGCGGGTTCGGTGAGTGGGAGGAAGAAAGGGCTTGGGGCAGCTGGAGGTCCCGTAGGGAAGGTGAGCAGAGGGAAGAGGTTTGGTAATCGGGTTAGAAAGCCTCGTTCGGCCCCAACCTCGCACGAGAACCTGGCTCTGCTCGGGCCTTCCGAGCCTGGGCCGCCGAACCTGCAGGCGAGGCTCGCATGCCAGGAAGCGAGAATGGGCACAGGGGGAGGAGGGGGTGAGGCGGAGTGCAGGAGAGAAGGATGTTCGTTAGGGCAGCAGGCAGAGGCAGTGGGAGGGGAGAGGGTGAGCGATGGGTGCGCGATGGGGGGGGATGCGGTGAGAGGGGGTGTGCTGACTCCTCCTCTTCATGGGGGTACGAGTCCTCTTCTCCCTCTCTCTCCCCCTCGTCCACTTCCTCCCCCCGAGTTGTACCCACCTTCAAAGCAACCACCGCCACCACCATCACCAGCCGTACCAGCAGCAGCACCACCATCACCATCACCATCATCAGCAGCAGCGGCAGCAGCAGCACCGCCATCACCATCACCATCATCAGCAGCAACGGCAGCAGCACCACCACCATCACCGGCAGCAACAGGCAGCCAGCAATCGGCATGGATCGGCCGTTTCTCGCCCTCGTCTCAAACCTGGCGCCGCCTCTTCCGCCCCTGGCAGCAACAGCAGCAACAGGCTCATCACCCCCATCACCACCACCACGCACGGCACACACAAGGCTCTGCCACCACCCAGTCCACCCGAGCAAGAAGGTCAGTCACGAGCGATGGACCACCGCTCGTCCGCCACTCATCGGACAACGTCGCTCAGCTGCTCTCCTCCTTTCGTCCCGGCACGCAAGCCAGCCCTCTACTGCGCCCTGGCACGCAAGCCAGCCCTTTCTTGCAGCCCCAAGCCTCTGAGGCGCCTCAAACGCCCCAGCCCCATTACCCTGCTGCCTCTCACACTAACCAGCTAGACAGCACTGGTGCTGGTGGGGGGGTGGGAGGGGGAATGGGAGGGAAAGGGGAAGGGGGAGGGGGAGGTGATGGGGAAGGGGGAGGGGCAGGGGGAGGGGGGTCTAGCATACCCCATAGTGGAGAAATGTCCTGCTATTCAGTCTTTGCCAGATTAAGCCACACGCACCCAGACCCACCGCCTCTCACCATCCCCCCTTCCGCCACGGCACCTGAAGCAACCTTCTCAGGTTTTTCCCCAGGCACTCCTGCCTCCAACCCCCTCCCAGCACCGCCTGCCGCTCCTGGAAACGCCAGCGCCGCCCCAGGTGATTCTTCAGGTGCCGGCAACAGAGCGCCACCAGGCAGCAGCAGCGTCAGCAGCAGCCCAAGACCCCCGGCAGGATCTGCCTCTCTTGCTGCCAGTGCTAATGCCTCTGCCACTGCCTCTGCCAGTGCCAATGCCAATGCCTCTGCCACTGCTACCAAGCCTCCCTCCCCCAGATTCGGCCTGTCTGCACTAGTGGGGGCGTTACGCTCCCCCACTTCCAAAAGGCAGAGCCACGTGAAGCGAGGGGGGGGCCTGTCTGTGCCTGCAAGCCCGTGGCTGCACCCTGTGCTGGGGAAGGTGCAGGTGCAGCCGCAGCAGGACGAAGGGGGTCAGGGGGAGCAGATTCAAGGCCCACGAGGGCAGCAGCAGCAGCAGCAGCAGCAGCAGCAGCAGGAAGGGCAGCAGCAGCAGCAGCAGCAGCAGCAGCAGCAGCAGCAGCAGGAAGGGCAGCAGCAGCAGCAGCAGCAGCAGGAAGGGCAGCAGCAGCAGCAGCAGCAGGAAGGGCAGCAGCAGCAGCAGCAGCAGCAGCAGGAAGGGCAGCAGCAGCAGCAGCAGCAGCAGCAGCAGCAGCAGCAGCAGCAGGAAGGGCAGCAGGGGCAGCTGCAGCAACCCAGACGGCCCTCTGAGCCTCTGTCAGCAGCACCAGCTCATGTGTATGCACATGCATATGCGCAGAGGCAAGGACAGCATGGGCAGCAGGGGAGGGGGGCAGGGGCGGTGCTAGGGCAGGGCATGGCGGCAACGGCAGTGCGGCTGGACAGGAGGAGCAGGCGGCCCATCAGAGACCCCACCAGAGCGGAGGCGTACGAAGTGGTGCTGTACTTTGGAATCATTGACATCCTGCAGGTGGGTGTGTGCATGGGTGTGTGTGGGTGCGTAGGGGTGCGTGGTTGCCGGGTGTGGGTGTATGGTAGGAGCCTGGAGGTGAATCCATCTGGTAATCAGAGACCCCACCCGAGCAGGGGCGTGTATGAGGTGGTGCTGTGCTTCGGAATCATTGATATCCTGCAGGTGGGTGTGCGCGTGTGTGAATGCATATGGGTGTGTGTGCACGTGTGTGAATGCATATGGGTGTGTGTGCGCGTGTGTGAATGCATATGGGTGTGTGTGCGCGTGTGTGAATGCATATGGGTGTGTGTGCGCGTGTGTGAATGCATATGGGTGTGTGTGCGCGTGTGTGAATGCATATGGGTGTGTGTGCGCGTGTGTGAATGCATATGGGTGTGTGTGCGCGTGTGTGAATGCATATGGGTGGGTGTGCGCGTGTGTGAATGCATATGGGTGGGTGTGCGCGTGTGTGAATGCATATGGGTGTGTGTGCGCGTGTGTGAATGCATATGGGTGTGTGTGCGCGTGTGTGAATGCATATGGGTGTGTGTGCGCGTGTGTGAATGCATATGGGTGTGTGTGCGCGTGTGTGAATGCATATGGGTGTGTGTGCGCGTGTGTGAATGCATATGGGTGTGTGTGCGCGTGTGTGAATGCATATGGGTGTGTGTGCGCGTGTGTGAATGCATATGGGTGTGTGTGCGCGTGTGTGAATGCATATGGGTGTGTGTGCGCGTGTGTGAATGCATATGGGTGTGTGTGCGCGTGTGTGAATGCATATGGGTGTGTGTGCGCGTGTGTGAATGCATATGGGTGTGTGTGCGTGGGTGTGTGGGGCAAACTGAGGCCGATCAGAGACCCCACCGGGGCAGAGGCGTATGAGGTGGTGCTGTATGTAGGTATCATTGATATCCTGCAGGTGCGTGTGCTTGTGTGGGGTTGGATGGTTGGAGCTTGGAGCACTTGTTTGTCTGATTGGAGAGATGGTGCCGGCAGAGACCTTACACGGGCAGAGGCGTACGAGGTGATTGTAAATCTCTCAAAAAACACTTAAGCTTCCACACCCTCAACAACCCAAACCCCTATTTCCTCCAACCTCGGCACCACAGGAGTGCGACTACATGAAGAAGCTTGAGCATTCGTACTAGTCCTTGCAAGAGATTGTTTTAGAATGCTAAAAGTACCACTCCCTCAACCACCCTGTACTGCACTGCACCGCATGAGTACGACTACACGAAGGTGGAGCATCTCTACAAGTCTGGCTACGTTGATGGTACCATCAACTTAGCTGGTTTTAGGTTTCTCAAAAAACACTTGAGCTTCCACACCCTCGACCACCCAAACCCCCAATGCCTCCACCGCACTGCACCGCAGGAGTACGACTACACGAAGGTGGAGCATTTCTACAAGTCCATTCAGTACGACAGCCACTCCATCTCCCCTCTTATTGCCACTCCATCCCCTGTTTTTCCAACAACAACTCAACTCCCCCAACCACCCCGTACCGTATTGCACCGCAGGAGTACGACTGCACGAAGGTGGAGCATTTCTACAAGTCCATTCAGTACGACAGCCACTCCATCTCTGCCGTCGATCCCACCACCCCATACCACCCACCTGCTGAGGGATTCTGAATTTGTTTGTAACCGCCCACCACCCTGTACCGCATTGCACCGCAGGAGTACGACTACACGAAGAAGGTGGAGCATTTCTACAAGTCCATACAGTACGACAGCCACTCCATCTCTGCCGTCGATCCAATGCTCTACGCCTCGCGCTTCCAAGACTTCATCAAGCTCACCTTTCCTAGCGCTTGACTTGAGAATCCACACCTCTTACATGAGCCGTCTCATTGGTTATATACCTCACTCCATCTCAGCCGTCGATCCCACGCTCTACGCCTCGCGCTTTCAAGACTTCATTCAACTCACCTTCCCCACTGCGTGACAACCACTGCTCGAGCCTTTCTTGAGACGTCTCAGATAAAGTCCATTCTTTTCAAAAGCCACTCCATCTCTGCTGTCGAGCCGACCCCTCAATTTTCGCCACATGCTTCCAGGACTTCATCAAACTCACCTTCCCCACTGCCTGACTTGACAATCTGCGCATCTGTTGAGACGGATGAGAAAGTATCATCGACTCGCCTACATGTCTACTCATCTCTCTGCCGTCGACCCCATGCTCTACGCCTCGCGCTTCCAGGACTTCATCAAACTCACCTTCCCAGGTGCTTGACAGATAGACTATCACTAGATTCTGCTGACCCCAGGTGAAACTTTTCCACATGTGAAATTGCCTTCAGGGATGCTGACAAATGCTACTTCCCATTTAAACTCCAGATTCTTCACTGGTTGTGCTTGATAAGGTGGTGTCAGGTTGTGATTTGCTGTAAGGAAATTCCCTTTTCCTTACTTCGCGTCCCTGCTCAACGCGTACATCACTGTAGCACCTCAGTCAGCACCGTTACCACTCGCGACCATCGCATCATTCATCATCCCGCCCTTTTCGCACATCGCATCCCGACCTCACGGCTCGGCTGGTAACCCGCGCTCCGGGCCTACGCTTCGACACTTTCCCAACCTCAGTCCCAGGCTCATCGCGCGACAACCACAGTCCATTACCGTTACCACTATTGCTTCGCTATATAATCCTTCGCTCATGCCTTCGCTCATTTTGTACTCCTGCTTCGATAGTGCAATTCTCGTTCGTTCACTCAATTGCACTCGTAACACTTGGTATTCAGAGCCTACGATCTCATCTCGGACCGCATCCACACCTTCGCTTCCCACTATCTCAATTTTTGGGGGGGGTAGACGTCTCTCAGCGATACAGCACCGCCGCTCGTAGTGCTCTCTCGGAAGCACGCACGGCCACGACTGAGGCTCTCGCTGAGCTTGCCCGACACCCCTGCCATGGCTGATTTCACTATCGCCACGTTGACGCAGGAGCAACTCGATCGTCTCGTGCGACAGCTGGAGGAATCAGCGCTCGAAATCGCGACGCTCACGGCGGAACGTGACTCCGCCCGTCAACAGTCAACGGTGAACGCTCCGACAACTTCCCAAGCGCCAACCAATGTTTCTGTCCATTCGGAGGAGCCGATTGTTATCTCATCCGGCACACCAACGCAAAACAACAGCACGGGACAGCGCTCAGGCGCAGCCAGTGACGGCGCAGCCCAACCGATGCCCGGCATGGGAGGGAACAGGAATGCATCAAGCCCACGGGAGCCCCGAGAAGCCCGTCGGCACGTGGAGTTTGCGATGACAAGTGGAGGGAACGCCACGATGGCCCCAATGCCACTCAAGCCGCAACGCCCGCCCTGCTTCGACCCAAGCCAACGCGGTGGCCCGACAGTTCAATCGTGGGTCTTCACGATGAACGTGTTTTTCGACGCCAACTACGTCGAGTCGGACGCCGCCAAGATTCGGTATGCAGTTTCACTACTCAGGGGCCCCGCCATGGACTGGTGGCGAGTCATCGTGACATCGCCACGCGCCTACGAGCCACCGCCGCACGAGGAAGGGCCCTCGGGTCCAGCTGTCACCTGGAGTTCGTTCTGCGAAACAGCCCAATATAGCACGTGGGATGCGTGGTGCGCAGGGCTTCGGGCGCGTTTTGAGCCGATCGCGGCTTCTATTTCGGCGCGTCAGAAACTGCGCACTTGGCGCCAGCTCGGGTCGGTCCAAGACTACACCAGCGGTTTTCTCGCACTTTGCGAACAGGTCGGCTACATGCACGAGGCGGAGCGGGTGGACCGTTACGTCGGCGGACTGAAGCCGGACATATCGCACGAGATAATGCTACGCGGGCTATCGAATTTCAACGAAATCCTCGCGCTCGCCGAGAAAATCGATATCCTACGCCGACCGAGACCGGGGTCCTATTTCGGACATCGTCCTCGGGGACTGATCGAGCACGCCACCGTACATGCCGTCGCAACGAATGCAGCTGCCACGCCATTTAGAGGGCGCTGCTTTGCTTGCAACCGGCCGGGCCATCGCAAGAGCGAATGTCCAGAAGAGCTGAGGCGTCGAGGAGCAGAGCAGGGGAGGGAGTCTCAGAGGCAGGGAAACGCCAGCAGTCAGTAGAAATTGGGCCAACTACTGACGAGACTGCCTGCTCGCCCAACCACACCGACCCTCACCGAGTCACAGTACCGATTCACGCCATCGATCGGGCTCGGATGAATAAGGAGGGTACAGCGACGGATTGCCCAGTACTGATCCACGGGAAAATACAGGGAGCAGCAGTCAAGATTTTCATCGACGGAGGAGCTAGCCACAGTTTAGTTAATACCGCAACCGCACGAAAACTTCAACTGACACTTAGCCGATGTTTACCTGAGATTGATGCGCGCTTAGTCGACGGCACGCCGCTGGCCATACGGGAGAAGGTGGAGAGAGTAAAAGTTCGCTGCGGGGGGAACTTCGGGTTTACACAGGAAATGCTCGCGACGACACTGGATGGGCACGACATTTTATTGGGACGTGATTGGTTGCGACGTTACAATCCGAGAATCGACTGGACGACGGGCAGCTGCACTGTGCGAAGTAGTGGTAACTGGGTCGAACTACCACGCTGGCAGTCGCCTGAGTCATCGACGGTCCACGTCAACGCCATCACAATGAAACGAGCAGTCGCCGCTGGAGCTGACGTGTATGCAGTAGACATCGCAGTGGTAGAAAAAGATGAGCAGCCGAGTGATTTCCAGAAATTGCTGACAGCGGTACCGCCGGAGCTACAAGAGCTATTGAAACGGTACCCGGGAATTTTCCCCGACGACTTACCGGAAGGACTGCCACCTCAGCGGGCGCACGACCATAGGATAGAGTTAGAGCCGGGGGCACAGCCAACTGTACAGCGCCAGTTCAGACTGACACAGCCGGAGCTCGACGAACTGAGGAAGCAGTTAGATTACCTGTTAGCAAAGCAGTTTATCCGACCGAGCTCGTCGCCGTTCGCCGCACCGATACTATTCACACCAAAAAAAGACGGAGGTTTTCGCATGTGCATCGATTACCGAGCGCTCAACAGGGTTACAATAAAGTCACGATACCCCATTCCCCGCGCCGACGAACTGATCGACCAACTGCGAACAGCACGGGTGTTCTCGAAAATAGATCTACGGGGAGGTTACCACCAAATTAGAGTCGAACCATCGGACTGCGCCAAGACAGCTTTTAGAACTAGGTACGGGTCGTTCGAGTACACCGTGATGCCTTTCGGGCTAACCAACGCACCCGCAACATTCCAGATGACCATGAACGAGGCGTTTAGACCACTTTTAGATAAGTGCGTGATAGTCTACCTCGACGACATTCTCGTCTACAGCCGCGATAAGCAGCAGCATTTAGCGGACCTGGAAGCAGTGTTTAAAATTCTCGAGGAGCATCGTTTATTGACTAAGGGGTCTAAGTGCGAGTTTTTTCGGGATAGGTTAGAATTTTTGGGGCACGTTATTTCAGAGGCTGGGGTTGAGATTGACCCGAAGAAGCTGGATACGGTCAAAGCTTGGCACCCCCCGACAAACATCACGGAGCTGCAGAGTTTTTTGGGTTTCGTTAATTATGTCCGTCGATTCGTCCCTGACATGGCCCGCTTAACTGCCCCACTGACGGATCTGCTGCGGAAAGGGGTCGCTTTTACGTGGGGGGCGAAAGAGCATGCTGCCTTCTCTACCCTGAAAACTGTTCTCTGTTCACCACCTGTCCTGCGCATTGCCGACCCACACCGCCCATTCGAAGTCATTACTGACGCAAGCGACATCGCCATCGGAGCCGTACTGTTACAGGATTTCGGGAACGGCCTACAGCCCATCGCATACGAATCACGAAAACTGCACCCACCTGAGAAGAATTACCCGATACACGATCGCGAAATGCTTGCGATCGTGCATGCGTTCAAAGTGTGGCGCTGTTACTTGACCGGCGCAGACGTGACAGTACGGACAGACCACAAATCTCTACAGTACCTCCGCGCACAGCCTCACCTCAACCCGCGACAGATTCGATGGCTCGATTTCCTCGAGTCGAATTTTCACTACACGGTCACCTACAAAAAAGGAGCATCAAATATCGCCGATGCACTGACTCGCCCTACTGCCCAGATTCACGCGATACTACTCGCCCAGACCAGCCCACTGCTGACAGGCCTATTTACCCACGGATACCAAACCGACCCGTTCTTTACAGGAGGCAACTCGCAGCAGTTCGCAGCAGCACGAGGGATCTATTACGTAAAGGTTGGGACCGACCGCATTTGGGTACCCGGGTATACACTACTACGGGAATTACTGTTACAAGAGGCACACGACGGAGTTACCTCAGGACATTTCGGGGTAGAAAAAACACGACAGCAGCTGCAGCGGTATTATTACTGGCCAGAAATGTTGACCGACATCCAACGACACGTAGCATCGTGTCCCACATGCCAGGTCATGAAATCATCACGGAAGCGGCCGGCAGGACAGTTGCAGCCGATCCCACCCCCAGAGCGTGCTTGGCAGCAGGTGACGATGGACTTCGTCACGGGGTTACCGGCCGGGGCGAGTGGGAACGACGCGATCTTGGTCGCCGTCGATCGACTGACGAAGATGGCACATTTCGCAGCATGCAAGAAATCAATCACAGCCGAAGAAACAGCCCGCCTCTTCATCACCACCGTCGTTCGCCTCCACGGGATACCATCGGCAATCATCAGCGACCGCGACACGAAATTCACCAGCAACTTCTGGCGGAACCTGTGGCAGCAGTTCGGCACACGACTTCAATTCAGTTCATCCTATCACCCCGAAACCGACGGACAGACGGAACGGACAAACCAAACCATGGAGCAGCTGATTCGAGCCACGTGCGACGATCCGAACACGTGGGAACATCAGCTGCCGCTCATCGAGTTCGCGTACAACAACGCACCATCAGCCACGACGCAACAGTCACCGTTTTACCTGAACTACGGACAGGACCCAACAGTACCCATGACCCCACACCCCGACAATCCAGTCCCACGAGCCCAACAGTTCGCCGAGATTTTGCAAGCAGCACGGACCAGGGCAGCAGACGCAATTAAAAAAGCCAACATCATCGCTAAACGAAACGCCGATCGCCACCGTCGACCTGTCACTTACCAGCCAGACGACCTGGTACTACTCGATACCCAGAACCTCCGCCTGCCCATCACTCCAAAACTTCGCCCCCGATATTGTGGGCCATTTCGCATCAGCCACATGATCACACCCGTCACCGCCCACCTCCTCCTCCCTGCTGACTGGTACGTCAGCCCGTCATTCCACGTCAGCCTACTTCGCCCTTACATACCATCCACGAGCCAACTGCCACGAAATCGCCCAGCCAGCATGACACGTCCCCCAACCGAACCACTAATCACCCCTGAAAAAATCCTCAGCCACCGAGTCCGCAACCCTCGGGGAGCACGACGGATCGAATTCCTAATTCGCTGGAAGGATCGAACGCCCACAGAAGACAACTGGGTCCCCCTGGATAAAATTGAGAACCACCCTGTCTTCACCGAGTATCTGCGAAGCCGAAATTTCCGCGACGTCCATGCGCTCTCGTAAGAGGGGCCTCCTTGGGGAGGGGGGTAGTGTAAGGAAATTCCCTTTTCCTTACTTCGCGTCCCTGCTCAACGCGTACATCACTGTAGCACCTCAGTCAGCACCGTTACCACTCGCGACCATCGCATCATTCATCATCCCGCCCTTTTCGCACATCGCATCCCGACCTCACGGCTCGGCTGTTAACCCGCGCTCCGGGCCTACGCTTCGACACTTTCCCAACCTCAGTCCCAGGCTCGTCGCGCGACAACCACAGTCCATTACCGTTACCACTATTGCTTCGCTATATAATCCTTCGCTCATGCCTTCGCTCATTTTGTACTCCTGCTTCGATAGTGCAATTCTCGTTCGTTCACTCAATTGCACTCGTAACATTTGCATACCAGTGACTGCAATGTACATTTACGTCTGGCGATTTGTGGATATATGAAGTTGTACACATCCTTGGTAATACAATATGATATTATTTCCAAAACATGTACGGTACCCTACATTCCAATACATACTAGTTGTTCTGCACATCATAATACCATGCTATAGGACATAATGCCTCTTCCACCACCAGCAATACATCCTCAAGCCTTCAGGGCAAACCCCAGCCCCTCTCCTGCCAGTGCCTCTAGGCTCCCCACTGCCGGCTGCTCCTGAGCTGTCTTCGCAATCGCCTTGTTCTCGTCCGCACTCCCGCCCTCCAGAAATGCGCCGACCACCTTGCCATCCTTCACCCAGTACGCGCCGAACTTCGCCGCCCCATCGCCGGCCGCCTTGCCGTCCGTGAGCCCGTAGTGCACGGTGTCGCCCACGTTGTCCCCGTAGAACTGCCAGGAGAGGTCGAAGGAGCGCGAGTAGAAGTAGGGCAGGTAGGCGTAGTCCGCTACCTGCTCCCCCGCCTCCGCTGCCTTGATTGCCTGTGAGATGTGGGATGGAGGTTGGAGCAGGAAGGGGGGTCGGGTTGGGTCCCTCTACTGAGCGGAAGTAGGGCAGGTAGGCGTAGTCCGGTGCCTGCTCCCCCGCCTCCGCTGCCTTGATTGCCTGGTGGGACGTGGAGGAGAGGTGGTTTGTGGGTGGGATGAAACGCGGGGAGGGAGGGGGGGGGGGAAAGGGAGACGGGGAAGATGGGGTGTCCTACGCTGAGCAAGCAACAGCAGCAGCCTTCGCTATCAACTTCCTGGCATGGTCCACATGCTCCACACGCCTCTCATCGCCATACTCGAGCACATCAATGCATCCACACCACTAAGGACAAACATACCTTCACAGCCTGCTGCACTGACTTCCTGGCATGATCCACGTGCTCCACGCGCCTCTCATCACCATACTTGATCATGGGGAATGTCGCTACATCCCCCACGGCATACACGCCTGGGGCGCTGGAGAGGAAGCGAGCATCCACCTGCGGGAGGGGAGGGGAGAGGACGGGAGAGGAGAGGCGGGGTAGGGGGAGGGTAGGAAACTTTGGGAATGTGGCCACATCTCCCACTGCATACACGCCTGGGACGCTGGAGAGGAAGCGAGCATCCACCTGCGGGAGGGGAGGGGAGAGGACGGGAGAGAATAGGCGGGGATACGGCGAGGAAATGAATGGGCGGCTAAGAGAATGGGGCCACATCGCCGACTGCATTCACGCATGGGGCTGGAAAGGAAGTGAGCATCCACGTGCGGATGGGAGGGAGAGGAGGGAGGTAGAGGTACCGGGGGAACAATGCGAGGATTTGGCCTCCAATCCCGTCAACCTGAATACACCTTGCTCAGCCCCTCTCAATGCTTCCCCCGCCCCCACCCACCTTGATCCCCCCCTTGTCGAAGGCGAGCTGGTCTTTGAACAGCCCCACGTTGGGGCGGGCGCCCACGCCCACCACCACCAGATCTGCATCCAGCGTCTCCCCACTCTTGAGCGTCACGCTCTTCACATGCCCCTCTGCGTCTGATGCAAATGCCACACACTACCAACCAAGCCCACCACACGACTGACATGCTGCTGAGCTACCCTTACTGCCCCAGACCCACCTTAATCCCGCCCTTGTCAAACGCGAGCTGATCCTTGAAGAGCCCCACGTTGGGGCGGGCGCCCACGCCCACCACCACCAGATCCGCCTCTAGAGTCTCTCCACTCTTGAGCGTGACGCTCTTCACCTGCCCCTCCTCGTTGGCTGTGAAGGCCGTGGCGACCGTGCCCTTCACAATGGTGACGCCCTTGGCCTCGTAGTACCCCTCGTAGAAGGCTGCGAGGGTCGGGGTGAAGAGACGAGGCACTGGGAGGGGAGGGGATGGGGAGAGGGGAGGGGACGGGATGGGGTTGCATGGGAGCAGTGAGCGGGTGCTTACGATGGTGACGCCCTTGGCCTCGTATTAGCCCTCGTAGAACGCGGCGAGCGTGGGGGTGAAAAGGCGCGGCACTGGGAGGGAGGGGAGGGGAGAGGGCGAGGGTGTCAGGAGAAGAAAAGGGGATGGGGTTGTACCATGGTGGCCTTGATATCGTTCATGGCGAGAATGGTTGCAAGCTCGAGTCCGATGTACCCACAGAGGGGTGGAGGGAAAGGAGGAGAGGCCGCGAGGAAATAGAGGGCGGTAGGGCAGAAGAAGAAGGGAGGGATCTAGGGGTGGCTTACTGCAGAAGGGCTCGGGGAAGACCATGGTGGCCTTGATGTCGTTCATGGCGAGGATGGCCGCGAGCTCGAGCCCGATGTACCCGCCACCCACCACCACGGCCTTGCCGCCCTTCTTGGCCTGGATGGCAGCATACAGCTCGTCCGCCTCCTTGATCTCCCGCAGGTAGTAGATGCCCTTGGCGTCCGCGCCTGGCGTCTTGAAGTCAGTCAGCTTGATGGTCTGGAGCAAGGGCATGGGGGAGAAGGGGGAGGTGGTAACCGTCGTGTGAGGCGTATTCCTTCCCATCACAGCTCGTCCGCCTCCTTGATCTCCCGCAGGTAGTAGATGCCCTTGGCATCCGCGCCTGGCGTCTTGAAGTCCGTCAGCTTGATGGTCTGGAGGGGAAGCAAGCGAGAGGCGCGTGGAAGGGAGGATTGGAGGCGTATTACCACCACCACGGCCTTGCCGCCCTTCTTTGCCTCGCCTGGATGGCGGCGTACAGCTCGTCCGCCTCCTTGATCTCCCGCAGGTAGTAGATGCCCTTGGCGTCCCCGCCTGGCGTCTTGAAGTCCGTCAGCTTGATGGTCTGGAAGGGAGGGGTGCATGGAAGGGAGCATATGAGGCGTATTACCACCACCGCGGCCTCGTCCGTCTCCTTGATCTCGCGCAGGTATTCAATGCCCTTGGCGTCCGCTCCTGGCGTCTTGAAGTGCGAGCAACCGCGTGGGTGAGGGGGTGGGAGCGGTGAGCAGCGTATGAGGAGTATTACTACTGTCACGGCTCTTCCCTGCCCTGCCACCCTGGCTGTGTGCCCGCTCACGTGCACTCACGAGGGGGAGAGCCTTGGCTGTCGAATTACTCACATCGGCGCCAGTGGCGATGATGAGGTTGGTGAACGCGGTGGTATCGCCAGAGCCGGTTAAGAGCTTCTTGCAGAGTCGTCTGGTCCGGGCATTGGGCAAGGGATTGCTCAGGCGTTCCTTAAGGGGGGGAAGTCACTCACATCGGCGCCAGTGGCAATGATGAGGTTGGTGAAGGCGATGGTGTCGCCCGACGCGGTGGAGAGCTTCTTGTTCGCCATGTCAGCAGACACGACCTCCGTGTTCAGAATGAGCTCGATGCCTGCGGTTGTGCGGGCGAGGGCGCGTGCGAGAGCACGAGAGGGGGGATAGGAGGAGAGAGAGTTGGAGAGAGAGGAGGGCCGGGAGAGGCAAATGGAAGGGGACTAACGGGTGCACTGTGCACCCATCCCAGTAGGCTCCTCGTGCGAGTACTGATATATTGTCTTTTGAACAAATAGAGAAATCTGGCCAGCATTTCTTAGTTTATGGGAGGTCGGTTTTCCACTGGATTTCTGGCAAGAATCACCGCATTTTGATTGCATGAAGTCCCTTGAAACACACACCTCGAGTTGCTCGCCGCTTAAAACTAGTCTTCACGTTTTCCCCCTCCCATGTCTTTTCCCTGGCGACGCACCTTTTTCCGAATACCATTCGGGGGTCAGCCGTTCCCCTCCGCCACCCACGCATGTGTGGAACCCAGGCAGTCGCGCAGGCGCTGCAACGGGGAAAGTAGGTAAAGAAATAAATAAACAAACGGAATGCTTGGTGCATTGCACGCGCAGGCAGCAGCGAATTGAGTATTTGTCGTAAGGTTGAAGGATTTGAAAAACAGACAAGCAATTGCGAGATGACTGGAGGAGGGCGACAGGGAAAAGGATGAGATGAAGGGAAAGATGAAAAGGACGCGCGAGCGAAAGGACTGACGTACATTGAGGAAAGAGGTAGCCTTTGCTCAACGCAGGTCGCTCGTAGGGAGCCACCTGCAAGTTCAGAAGAGAAAGAAGATGGCGGCACGTGAGATTACTGGAAATGCGACATCTTGACAGTAATGTGCAGGACCTGAAACTGGCCTATCCAGGCAAGCAGTTAAAACAAAACCAGCAAAAAGTAGAAATCGCATACCGCCTCTCGCGACACGATGGCAAGCTCGCCAGCCTTCAGACCCTGCTTCGCGAACTCTGCGGCTCCATAACCCTGAGAATATAGAGAAACGAAACATCAGTAAGCTAGCTGGAAAAGGATAGAGCAGAAACACTTCGCACGTGAAAACGAGTCAATTCGAACTGATTCCGCCGAAAGCTGCAAGCTTTATGGCAATTTATTTCGACGGATTCCTGAAATTTCGGATCTGCTTACCGCAGCAACGCCGCCTCCGAGGATGACATACTTGAAGGACTTCTCAGCCATGCTGGCTTGCAGAACCCTCGCGAGGGATACGAGCCTTCGCGTGGCGACCGTTGCCTGCGCAATCGTGCCTGAATGCACGCGAAAATGTAATTCTGAGCGAGTCCCACGGTAAGTGTGAGCTGCTGAGAGGCGGTAAGCAGACGAGTTACCGTTGGTGAAACGGAAATCAAGAACCTGGGAAATTGGGCAACATTGAGAATGGTTGGGCCAGCTTTGTAGGAAAGGGAGTCTGAGGGATATGTCTGGGCTTGCTGGTCTCGGGAATGTCACTCGCTCGCAGAAGTGGGATTTTCTGGAAGCTCAAACTGGAGATACGTTTCGCATTATGGTTGCGAGACGAGTAACCACGCTGTCGCGACCGTACGATCAGTTTCGCGATACTCCTTCCAGAACCAAGCGGGGTTCCAGGAAGGTCTCCTTTATGGATGACAAGACTCTCATCAGTATATCACAACTCGCCACGTGAGTTTGAAGTACGAAGAAATCTTCAGACGTGGCGACCACCGACCACAAGCCGACGTCACAAAACACCCGCAGTACGAAGGAAAGCTGGCGAAGTAAATATATCGTAACATGCGAAAGCGTTGCTGAAATCGCATGCGCAATTATCGACATCGGTCAGGAGTCAGACGCAGCAGGTGTGTGGCTCACGAGAGTTTCCATCCATTTCGCACCACAGCCGAATCTGTCAAAACTCGCCCGCCAATCAGCGGCCATCTCTAAACTTCTCTCCACGTCAGACTCAGGTCTGATCAGATCTCTCATGTCCATCTCTCGCATACAGTCACAGCACGTCACATTCAGATACACTCCCTTGTATCACACTCCTATGATCACATTCCGCCAAAATCTGCTGCTACTGCCTTTCCCTTCCAAGCATAACAGCAACTCCACATCCCCATCTTCACCGTATTTTCAACATTCATCAGCATTCGCAACTTTCGCTGTGGTTCGGGAGAGATTCTACCTCAGCAGGCTTGACAACGCTCGCTGATCATCTCTCGCCTCGCCATGGCGTTCGCTTCCGCCGCTTCTATTGCGCTGGCGCCCGCCGCCACGGTCGCCTGCGTTTCGGCCAAGAACTCAGCACGAGCAGCTCCAACTGCACCTCTGGCAGTTCCGCTTTCCACATCCTTCCGCGGGCTCCAGGTCTCTTCGACGAAGAAATCCGCTCGGGTTACCCTTCAGCCGCTTCGCAGCAGCGTTCGAGCCAACGGTGAGTGGGTCCCAATCGATAATTGGGCCTGTCCGGATTCGTCATGCGAACGATAATTGGTCATGTCGGGGATGAGTGGTGATTGATCATAGCGGCGATGATTCATCATGCCAGCGATGATTGATCATGGCCCGCAGAGATCATGCCGGTGGTGATTGGTCATGCCGGCGGTGATTGGTCATGCCGGTGGTGATTGGTCATGCCGGTGGTGATTGGTCATGCCGGCGGTGATTGGTCATGCCGGCGGTGATTGGTCATGCCGGCGGTGATTGGTCATGCCGGCGGTGATTGGTCATGCCAGCGGTGATTGAGCCCGTGTGATTGAACCGGTGCCCGTGTAATTGAGTCAGTTATGCCGAAGACCGTTGTAAGCGCGAGGCTATGAACCTTCCACCCACGCACCTCTAAACTCAAAGCTCGCCTCCAGGACGCGTATCTCAACCCCGCTCTCTCACACACTCCGCATCTCACTCATTCCCTCCAAGGAGTTGACTCAACTCTCTCTTCCTGTCCTCTTTTCCCTGCACTCTGCTAACTCTGCTCTCTGTGCTCTGTGCTCTGTGCTCTGCTCTCTGTGCTCTGCTCTCTGTGCTCTGTTCTCTGTGCTCTGCTCTCTGCTCTCTGTGCTCTGTGCCCTACTATGCTGTGCCTGCACTCTGTGCCATGTGGTACTGCAGTGGTGACTGAGCCGGCCACCAAGATCAACTTCCCAGTCATCCTAGCGCCTCCTGGGGGCTCCAAAGACCTCTCCCTGCTGGGAACCGGTGAGTGCTGCACCCTGCAGAAGCGGCACAGGGGCTTGATGCTGGGGAAGCAGGGCTTGGGCTGGGTCTGATGTTGAGTCAACTCAAACATGGTTCCAAGGACCTCTCGCCCCTGGGAACTGGTGAGTGCTGCACCTTGCATGAGACTTGGGGCCCTGGGCTTGGGTCTGGGGAAGCAGGGGCTTGAGAGAACAGACAGTGATATCACGAGACAGACAATGTTACCATGAGGGAACAGGTTTTGCTGTGGGACCTCGAAACCCAGACCCCAAGTACAGTGGGTTTCAATGCTTGCTCTTCCGTACACCCTTTTCTCGTGTGCTCTGTTTCTTGTTTCAACCCCGACGCAATTGCCTCGTTCCTGTTCGTACTGCTGCTGCTGTTCCTGTTCGTTCCTGTTCCTGATGCTTGCTGCTGCTGCTGCTGCTGCTGCTGCTGCTGCTGCTGGTACTGCTGCTGCTGCTGCTGCTGCTGATACTGTTGCCGCTGTAGGAGTGCGGGAGAAGAAGCTTGGACCGATGGTGGTGAAGGTTTATGGAATGGTCGGGTTCTGAGTCGACTTAGAAGTATCCATGTGCTTCTGCTGCTGCTTGCAGGGGTGCGGGAGAAGAAGCTGGGGCCGCTGGCAGTGAAGGTGTATGGAGTGGGCGTGTATGCTGAGCCGCAGCTGCTGGATGTGCTGGCGGGCTGGAAGGGCAAGCCTGCAGACAAAGCCTTCTATGATGCCATCGCCTCCAGTGCGTCCCACCCATTCCCTCCCTCTCACGCATCGTTACTGCTCACCTCTCAGTATCGTTCTGCACTTGGTATTCGCTCTGCCTACTCCAATAAGTTCTCTCAATCGCAGTGGCGGCTCTGCTCCTGTCAATCGCTCCTGTCACTTCACTTGCTGCCGCCTCCCTCGCATTGGCAGTGTACCTCGTTTGCACTCTTCTGACTTACATCTCCCGTCTTCTGGTCCTTGCAGCGCCGTGTGAGAAGTCCATTGTCATCGTGTTGGCACGCAACGTGGGGTCAGACCAGTTCTGGAACGCCCTCACAGAGGAGCTCGCCCCGCGCCTCACAGCGGCTGGCGAGGGCCTGGGTGACTTGGACGCATTTGGGCAGCTCTTTAAGGACAGGTCACTTAAGAAGAACACAGGGGTATACATCACCTGGCGCCAGCCGTCTACACTGCAGGTGTGCTCTCTAACCTTTGGTCAACAACCTCGAATCAAACTGTTCATGCATCCGGGGGTGTTCCCTTATTACATACATTACTGATGCCTTTTTGGTTTTCCCGTCTGTTCACAATTCAGGTGGCATTTGCTGACGATGTGACTGCTGGAGGAGCTCCCTCTGCAGCTTCTGCCACTTTTGAGTCACCTGGACTTCTTGCCGCCCTCTTTGACATCTATCTGGGCGGGGAGCCTGTGTCACCATCTTTGGTGCAGAGCATTGCTGCAAATGCACAGTAAATTGCCCACGTCTGTTGTACTGATGTCTACACTAATAAAGAGTTGAGGCTGGTTATGGCGTCTAGATTTGCTTCCTGAAATAAAGTTGCTGTATGAAAAAATGATGACAACCTTTCATTGGTTGTCAATATGTTTGTACAGATTAATATACAGTACAGAAAACGGGACACGTGGTGTAAGGAAAATCCTTTTCCTTACTGAGCTCAACCACAGCGCGTACGCCCTCGGACTTCGGAAGGCTAGGCTCGGCCTAACTTTTCGGTCCCGAACCACTCTAGCGCAACCAAACCTAAATGCGGGGCTCTTCCGTGGCTTTCGTCACCCGAGTCGCCCCAACCTAGTTGCGAGGTTCTCGGCTAGCGTAATTGTGCCTATAAAGTGCCGTAGCCTTTCATTTGTATTCGGACTCTTGAGTCACGTCCTGTTATTGAATTCGGCGCTACTACTCTGATTCGATACATAACAACTGGTATCAGAGCTACTTTCCTGCCCGCTTAGTCTTCCGTAGGCGAGTCCGTTCATATCGGGCGAGGACCTGACAGAATAGAAGGTTGGCCTGCGGTCGGTAGGTGAGCTCAATTAAAGCTCCTACGACTAGAAGCGTGTGCACCTTCAGATCTGTTAGGTGAAACAGTTCCAGCATGACGAGTGAGCTGGAATCCTCTGCCCGCCGTAGTGTTAGGAACGTGACACAGGAGGAGTTTGACGAGTTGCAGACGAGGGCGGCCACGGTGACGACGCTACAGTCGCAACTCCAACAACTCATGGCGAAGTTCGAATCGCTCGATGGCGAACTTCAGACGCTGCGCGAGGAAAACTCATCACTTCGCCAGGCGCGTGGAGAGACGCGTCAGAGGCGGCCTGTTACCCGAGACGAGGATGCTGCGAGCGAAGCGAGAACGTCGGCGACACCTGAAGCAACAGAAGAAATCAACAGTGGGCAACGAGCAGTTATTAAAGTTAAACCTGCCACGCCCCCGCCGTTCAATCCGACCGATAAAACCACAACAGTGAGCGGGTGGTTGTTTGCTGTTGAGATCTTCTTTAATGCAGCTAATATTCACGACAATGCAACACGTGTGAATTTTGCTGTATCACTGCTGAGAGGACCGGCACTCGACTGGTGGCGCATGCAACTCGCAGAGGGAGGGGCCTCGGCAGGACATCAACGGGCGGTAGCTGGGGAGCAATAGTCGTCTGAAGCAATGGCGGTCCCAATCTTCGGATCGGCCATGAACCTCACGTGGCGAGCGTGGGGCGAAGCCTTGAAAAAACGGTTTGAGCACATATCCGCGCGCAAACACGCTCGTGCGAGGCTTCGGGAATGGCGTCAGTTGGGAGCTGTTCAAGAATACACCGCGTCGTTCCTAGCACTCTGCGACCAGATCGACGGCATGAACGAAGACGAGAAGATGGACCGCTACGTGGCGAGATTGAAACCGGAAATACAGCTGGAAGTTGAAGTGCGACGCCCAGCGAATTTTTCGGAGCTCGTCGAGTTGGCAGATGCGCTGGACGCGCGGCGGGCATTCGCGAGGACGAGTTTCCGGGAGGGAAATCGTTTTCGAGGCCAGCACCAACACCCTTCCATCAACGGCGTGGACGCGATGGCAGCCCGGGTGTTTACCGATCGCTGTTTCAACTGCAACCAGCCGGGCCACATGGTGCGGGACTGCCCGGCGCTTAAGAAGGACTTAGCTAACGATGGGAAGCAGTCGGGAAATGGAAAAAGTCAGTAGCTGATGGGCCACCTGCTGACTTGACTGCGTCGCCCAAACACCACCACCCCCACCAGGTAGTAGTGCCGATTTATGCAGTCGACCACTCCTGGCTGAATAAGGGGGGTGAACCTGTTGATCACCCTGTGCTGGTAGAAGGAAGAGTTGGGGATAATAAAATAAAAATATTTGTTGATGGTGGAGCGAGCCACAGTTTGATGGATGTGACAAAAGCGAAGAAGCTGCGATTACAATTGGAGCGGTGCATGCCGGAGATCGACGCGCGATTGGTCGACGGTACACCACTGGCGATTCGAGAACGGGTGCCACACGTTCGAGTCACATGCGGCGAACGTTTCAGTTTCACGACGAAGATGCTGGCTGCGACTCTGGATGGCTGCGACATGCTGCTGGGACGCGATTGGCTGCGAGAGTACAACCCGAGCATCGATTGGCGAACGGGCGACTGTCGCATCAAGTGGGGAGGCGAGTGGCGACGACTACCCCGGTGGAGTGGACCTGAAGCGACTACATCGACGGTCAGCGCCGTGACGATCAAGCGCGCCATGATTCGGGGCGCACAACTCTACGCCGTCCGATGGATCACATCAACGACCGTCGACGATACCCCCGACATCGAAAAGTTGTGCGCTGGCGTACCCGACGACCTGGCGAAACTCATTCGGAAATACCCAACCATTTTTCCAGATGACCTGCCCGCCGGTCTACCACCTCAACGCCCCCAGGACCACAAGATCCAACTCGAACCCGGCGCGCAGCCAACCGTGCGGACACAGTGGCGGCTGACGCAACCTGAGCTGGAGGAACTACGTCGACAACTTGACTACCTGTTGGAGAAAGGCTTCGTCCGGCCCAGCACGTCTCCGTTCGCCGCCCCAATCCTGTTCACACCGAAGAAGGATGGGGGCCTTCGCATGTGCATCGACTACAGGGCGCTGAATCGAGTTACAATTAAATCCCGATACCCGATACCACGCGCCGACGAACTCATCGACCAGCTTCGCGGAGCAAAATTCTTCTCGAAAATCGACTTGCGAGGGGGTTACCACCAGATTCGCGTCGACGAGGCAGATTGCTACAAGACCGCGTTTCGTACCCGGTACGGGAGTTACGAGTACACAGTCATGCCATTCGGTCTGACAAAAGCGCCCTCAACCTTCCAGCTGACCATGCACGAGATTTTTCGGCCGCTGTTGGACAAGTGCGTCATAGTGTACTTAGACGATATCCTCGTCTATTCCACCACCCGGGAGCAGCACTTAAAGGACCTCGACCAAGTCTTCACGCTACTGCAGCAAAATCGCCTCATCACCAAGGGATCTAAGTGTGAGTTTTTAAAACCAGAACTGGAGTTCCTCGGCCACATCATCTCCGTCGAAGGCGTTAAAATCGACCCCAAGAAGATCAGCACCATTCAAGCATGGAAGCCGCCGTCTAATTTGCGGGAACTCCAAAGTTTTTTGGGGTTCGTGAATTACGTCCGCCGGTTCATCCCGAACATGGCGGGGGTGACTTCCCCGCTCACGGACCTGCTGAAGAACGACGTGTTTTTTGAATGGAGGGGAGAACAGCAGGCTGCGCTCGACGCACTCAAACTTTTTCTGACGACCCCGCCGGTTCTTCGGATAGCTGATCCTCACCGTCCGTTTGAGCTCGTCACCGACGCTAGTGACATCGCTGTCGGCGCGGTGCTGTTACAAGACTTCGGCGACGGACTCCAGCCCATCGCCTACGAATCCCGCAAGCTGAACCCGGCCGAGCGAAATTTTCCGGTTCATGACAAGGAGTTACTGGCGATCGTCCACGCGTTCAAAACCTGGCGCTGCTATCTAACCGGGGCCGACGTAACAGTACGGACAGACCACAAGTCACTACAGTTCATTCGCGCACAACCGACACTGAACCTACGACAGACCCGTTGGCTCGACTACCTCGAGTCCAATTTTCACTACAGGGTCACCTACAAACGGGGGGCAAATAACATCGCCGACGCCCTGACCCGTCCATCTGCCCACACCGCCGCTGTACTGATTACCCAGACCAACCCACTATTAACCGGCCTATTCACCCACGGCTACAACACTGATCCGTTCTTCACCACCAGCACCAACAGCCCACTCGTCACTAAGCAAGGGCCCTATTATCTAAAATCCGGTACCAATCGGATTTGGGTCCCTGCTTATCGACTACTACGGGAGCTACTGATACAGGAAGCCCACGACTCAAACCTCTCGGGTCACTACGGGGTCGACAAAACTGCAAAAACTCTGGGTCGTCATTATAATGGCCGGAGTTAACCCACGACGTGCAGCGGTATGTCACCTCGTGCGCCACGTGTCAGCTGATGAAGTCCTCCCGCCTGCGGCCAGCTGGATTGCTGCAACCGCTCGCGCCACCTACCAGACCCTGGCAACAAGTGACGATGGATTTCGTCACAGGATTACCGGCCGGCCCCAGTGGTAACGACGCGATTCTCGTCGTCGTCGATCGCCTGACCAAGATGGCTCACTTCGCCGCATGCAAGACGACGATCACGGCCGAAGAAACTGCCAAATTATTCCTGGCGACTGTCGTCCGCCTCCACGGCATCCCATCGGCGATCATCAGCGACCGAGACCCGCGCTTCACGTCCAACTTCTGGACGAAAACGTGGGACCAGTACGGCACGCGCCTGCACCTATCGACGGCCTACCATCCTCAATCGGACGGCCAGACCGAGCGAACAAATCAGACAATGGAGTAGCTGATACGCACCACGTGCACCGACCCGACACAGTGGGAAGAATCTCTTCCCTTGATTGAGTTCGCGTATAATAATGCTCCTTCGGCGACGACCAACCAGTCACCATTCTTCCTGAATTACGGGCTAGACCCTGTGACCCCGCTGTCGCCACCGATCGAAAATCCGGCGCCAAGGTCGCAGCGTTTCGTCGAGACTTTACGTAAGCATCAGCAAAACGCCGCCGAAGCCATCAACAAAGCCAACCAGATCGCTAAGCGGAATGCTGACCGAAGACGACGGGATCTTCCCCTCGCACCAGGGCAATTAGTCCTGCTCGACACCAGAAATTTGGGGGTGCCCCTCCCAGATAAACTACGCCCAAGATTTTGCGGACCCTTTCGCATTATCCGCATGGTGACACCTGTCACCGCCCAGCTGCTACTCCCTGACGACTGCGAATACACGACTCCTTCCACGTCAGTCTCCTGCGACCTCCAACACGAGTGATCTCGACCGTCAACGCCAATATCCGACGGTTCGCCCGGTTCCCGAACCCACGACCGAACCGGATAAAATTCTGGCTCACAGGGTCCGGGGACAACGAGCTTCAGCAGCCGTCGATTTCCTGGTCTGATGGGTCGATCGTACGAGCGAAGACGACCTCTGGATCTCGGCCGACACTCTCGGTTCACACCCTGCAGTTCGGGACTATTTACGCCGACGACATGTCCCAGATGTGGGTAGTCTCATCTCAGGAGGGGGGGTGGTGTAAGGAAAATCCTTTTCCTTACTGAGCTCAACCACAGCGCGTACGCCCTCGGACTTCGGAAGGCTAGGCTCGGCCTAACTTTTCGGTCCCGAACCACTCTAGCGCAACCAAACCTAAATGCGGGGCTCTTCCGTGGCTTTCGTCACCCGAGTCGCCCCAACCTAGTTGCGAGGTTCTCGGCTAGCGTAATTGTGCCTATAAAGTGCCGTAGCCTTTCATTTGTATTCGGACTCTTGAGTCACGTCCTGTTATTGAATTCCGCGCTACTACTCTGATTCTATACATAACACGTGGACTCAAGACACATCCTGCTTCACTTCATACCGAACTTCGTGGAGCAGCCTCAACACGACCTTGATTTCCGCCACATAACTCCACTTCACATCAAGGAATCGCAGCGAGGGGAACGAGATCCCTTTTTCAAACCAGGTGGAACGAATCCTGTCGGCAGGCGTTAGAGGTCGCGAACGACATCAGTGACTGGAGCGTTACGTTGCCCGTTCAAGACGCTTCGCAGTACGCATCTGACGCTGTCGCCGAATCCGCAGTTTCAGCTGCAGAAGCTTTCCGCTACCAGATCCGGAGCAACATGAATCCCGAATAGTGCGTCCCCTGCATTATCGCTTTGCAGTTGGGAGCTGTCCATTGTCATGTCTAGTACCGTGACTCTAAGACTGTATTTCCGCTGTTGCTGCTGATGCAGTGATTACTTGTTCAAGTTGTTGCTGATTGGTGACTCTGGTGTCGGAAAGTCTTGCCTCCTTCTACGATTCGCGGTAATATTCTTAGACAGGGTGAATTCGTAGTTTCCATGGGGAAACTATGCTGCTCTGCATCATCCACGCTAAGAACGTCTTGTTGCGTTGCAGGACGATTCCTACCTTGAAAGCTACATCAGTACAATCGGAGTGGACTTTGTAAGCTCAGGGTGATTGTTCTAACAATTTCAGCAGGATGGCGTCATAAACATTTCCTGACAGTTGTCCGCACTGCCTTTTTCAGAAAATCCGTACTGTCGAGCTCGACGGCAAGACTATCAAGCTTCAAATTGTGAGTGGCTTTGTGGATTAGCTTTGCACTCTTTGCGCTCTGGCGTGTCTCATGGAAACTGAGGGTTGCTGCGTGTGGCTGTAACAGTGGGATACCGCAGGTCAGGAGCGTTTCAGAACGATCACAAGTAGTTACTACCGCGGTGCTCACGGCATCATCGTGAGTGGCGGTTGCCATTTCGTTCCCAGCACGCATTGGGTCCACCCATTGTTGCCGAAGATGGTATGAACCTTACTGGATTGTCCCTGCAGGTTGTTTACGACGTCACAGATCAGGAAAGCTTCAATAACGTGAAGCAATGGTTAAATGAGATTGACCGTTACGCCAGTGAGAACGTTAACAAGCTCTTGGTCGGAAACAAATGCGACTTGACAAACAAAAGGGTTGTGGACTACCAGACTGCTAAGGTAAGCAGTGCGTGAGACGCTCTAGTGCACCACTTTCGCAGCCCAAAAACTGCACCAATTCCCAGCGGGCTCTTACTTTCCTCGTGTTCTTTGCAGGCCTTCGCAGACGAGATTGGCATTCCCTTCCTAGAGACGAGTGCGAAGAACGCCACAAACGTAGAGCAGGCTTTCATGACCATGGCTGCTGAGATCAAGAACAGGTATGGATTAATTTTGTTGTTATTATTTTGATTTAGTTGTTACATTTCAACCTCACAGTGCTGTTTGTGGATGTGGTTGCAGGATGGCGAGTCAGCCAGCCCTCGGCAACAAAGGTGGTGGTCAGACTGTGCGTCCTGGAGAAAGCAGGCCTTTGCAACAGAACAGCAACTGCTGCTAGTCTTTCCAGAACATTGGTGCCATGTTTGAATTAGCTATTCGAACGGAAGCACATCTTCAGAAGGTTGAGTGGGCGCATCTGGTGGAGTCTGGTTCCTTCTGCACTGCATTGCTGTCCTGTTGGGGTGGACTTGCAGCAGTCAATGCACAATAGTACTGTGTCTCGTGCCATTTGTTTTAAGAAAGCTGTGTTATGTTGTTTCATAAGTGATACAGTTCACCTGCTGTATGTGAACTCTACTGCGTACAGAACTAGCCTGGAAAGTGATTGGACCTAATAGTTGCTAGGAGCGTGCAGAAACATTTCGCGCCAATTTATGTGGGTGTGTCAGGTACACCAGACCAGAGTTTATGGGGGAAGCAAAACCGAGCCAAACAGCCAGATACGTTTACTACAATTGCGACGTTGCAGAAACGTTGTAATATCTTCGAGTAACATTGGCAGCGCTGATTTGGCTCCTCCTAGCGATATCAGCTGTTTCTTCGCAAGGCTGTCAGGTTTGACGCACATCAAGGCATACACGGGGAGTGCCTTGCGGAGAGCACCTAGTGCTGTGCCATCGTGCTCGGCTTCTGCCCTGGGACCAGGCATCACCTCTGCTCTGCTCTATCAAGGCAAGTTCGAGAGAATTGCTCCAAATCCTTGTTTGGTGATTCGACATTGCACACGTAGTCTCGAATCGCTCGCGTAGTGTGTGAAATTGCACAATAATTGCTCGAGTGGTCTTGCCAGAAAATCCCCGCAGCTTTTTTTAACCCGGTACATTACCCTACAAGGGTATTTATTCCCGAAATGTTTGCGTTGCACGAGTCTTGTTCCGCGTATGAGAAATAATAAAACCCGTAGGGACTTTGACGCATTTTCGGGAGGGATCAACCCTAAACACGGGAAAAAGCAATGTTTTTAGGGTTGATGCCTCCCTGAGTCGCATCCCTTTCCGATTGGGTTTAGTTTTTTGGGTCATGTGTAGGGATATATATGTATATGCGCGGTCATATAGAGCCATCGCGCGACCAATCACTCGCGGACAGATGGGTGCGCGATCATATATTGTTTCGCTCGGGCACACCCTATATGACCGAGCGTTTTTTGCGAGGCACAATGTATGACCGCGCATTTACGTCGCTTACAAATATGTGATCGCTCAATAGTTCTGACATTAGGAGATAAATACCCTAATTAGGTATTGTGCCTGGGAAAAACAAGTCAGTTTGAATTCCCTGGCAAAACCACTCGAGCAATTATCGTGCAATTTTAGAACCACGCGAGCAATTCGAGGCCACGTGTGCAACGCCGAATCATCAAACAAGGGTTTGGAGCAAATCTCTCAGGCAAGTTCACTTATCTTGAATTGCCAAGGTTCCATCACACTTAACCTTTTTAGCTTCCGACGCCACTCCACACATTTTCAACTTCCTAATTCGTGTATTGTCTGACGTCAGTGACATTGATGAAAACCGTTCAAGACATATCGCAGTCGTTAGCCTACGCTCTTGATCAACAACAGGAGGTTTGAGCCGTGAGCTACGGTAATTCATTTGTGTATGCATAGTCAGCGTACTGCTCCGCTAATGTAACAATTCACCGCTAATGATGTTGGCTGAACATTGTTCTAGACGTATACGTTAGTCATGCTGTAACAGCTGACTAGCTAGCCGCAGCCATGGCTATGGGCGTCACTTGTTCCAGAGGTAAGATGAACGGACTTGAGGCGTTTAAACTCTATCCGTGAATAGAAACGTTATTTACGTTTCGACAGAACGAGGTCTTATAGAGAAGCAAAGGTTTCAAATTAAAGACAACAACTCAGATCTTTTAGCCTAAAATATATGTTCCAGTTTGCTGGCGTCCCGCCCTACCCTTGCTCCCCACGCAAGGCTCTCTACCTTGTACAAGCTTATACGATTGTTACAAAATTTATTTAATTAGACGAAGTTGCTATGTTGGGAGTACTTATAGCTCCCAACGTATGGTTGAATGGCTGCCTCTTGGGAGTGCTTGGACCTTTGCCGCCATCACTTGATTGTTTCATGCTAACAAGTGACCTCGTTCGCTGTATGGAAAGGCATTTGCCATGAGACGTCTCCAAAACAAGCATCCTGGGAGCACTTGAAATACAATAGCTTGCTTGCTCATGCTATCAGTCGTCGCGAGTACACTCGCTTGCTGAGGGGGAGGAGGGCAAAGGAAGGGCGGACATCGGGGGGATGGCGAGGGAAGAGGAGGGAGGAGATGGGAGACACATGGTTGAGTTATGGAGGCAGGTCAACGGGGGAGGCGGGGACAAAAGGGGCACAGAGAAGCACAAGGTGTGTATGTATGAGGCACATGCAAGGAGCACACGACTTGCACATGTACACAGGTGGGCAGTACACAGCTTAAACGTGCAAGGCACAGGTCAGAGAAGAACGCGGACAGACATACACAGAGGTAGATGCAATGTTGCCGGTACCACCAGTACCAATGGTAGCATTAGCTGCAGCAGCAGCAGCACCATCAGCATCAGCCACATCCGCACTCGCAGCAGCAGCAGCAGCAGCAGCAGCAGCAGACTGGTCTGGTAACTGGTCTCCGACTGCGAGTGAGTGAGCTGGCTCAAGGAGATCATCTTCTGTGGTAGTGGCAGTAGCTGTGGATGTGACAGCAGCAGGAGCGGCAGCAGCATGTTTGATACTTGCAGAGGCGAGGAAAGCAGCACCCCAGCCTCCTGTTGCTCCTACTGCTGTTCCGCCTCTTCCTCCTGCTGCTACTGCTGGAGCTCCTGCTGCCCCACCTCGCCATGCCCCACCTCCTGCTGCCCCACCTCCTGCTCCCCCTCCTTCGCCTGATAAGGACAAATGTGAGGCATGCACCTCAGACGGTTCGGCATGCTCCGCTGCTGATTTGTCTGGAGCAAGGCCAGGCACAGCGTCAGTCAATGCAGCAGCATCAGAAGCAGCGTTTACAGCTGGATCCGTAGCTGCAGCTGAAGTTGAAGCAGTAGCAATGGCAGCAGCTGTGGCTGTGGCTGTGGCTGTATCTGTAGGTGTAGCTGTAGCTCTGTGATTGTCCTGTGAACTTTGAGCACTCCCAGTCACGTTGTCTCTGTACATGTGCTCTCTCCGCTGGTGTTCCCCACTCTTCCTTGACTCCTTTCTGCTGAGACCATTGCTCCTGCTGTAAGTCCAAGCCCCACTCCTGCTCCCACTCCCACTCCCACTCGTACTCCCTCCCTCACTCCCTCCCTCACTCCCACTCCCACGCCCACTCCCATTCGTGCCACTGCCAGCCGCACGTGTCCTGTTGCTGCCAATGCGATGCAGGAACCGTCGCACGATCAGTCGTCGAGGCCCTTTCCCCTCTGCTGCACCACTGCTTGCCTCCTTGCTGGTTGCCTGCAAGGAGGCAGGCTGCGGCTGCGGCTGCAAGGAGGAAGGCTGTGGCTGCAGCAGTGCTGTTTGAGTCGACTCAAGAGGCCCGCTGTTTGCTGTGGCTCTTGATAAGGGCGGAGATCCGGCGTGGGGGTTAGTGGAGACTCGCTCACTTGCGATTCTTCTGAGGAAGATTTTAGTTCCTGACCGTACCTCAGAAGGACCCTCCCTGAACGATCCTCCTGGTTTTGGTTCTTGCATGTGCTGGTCTCTGCTGCTGCTGATGCTCCTGCTGCGCCCAAAGCAGCTGACGATACCTGCTGAGTCAGCGCCGGTCTCGCCAGCAAAGCAGCTGAGACGGCCTGCTGAGTCAGCATCGCCCTCGCTAGAAAAGCAGCTGATGGGCAGACGTGGCAAGTGTGGGTGCGAGGAATGGGGATGGGACGAGCGGTTGGTCTTGGTGTCAGCACCAACATGTGAGGAATGAGTGTCATCTTGCTGGGATGGGCTGCTGGAGTGACTGATCTCTGCAGGCTTGCGTTCCCCTGCACTATCCCTTGCTTCCCCATTCGACATCCCAATAATAGCCTCCTGCTTGCCGCCTGCCTCTTGGATAACCTGGGCCTCCGAGAGTGACGCTTCCTGCTGGGTTTGCGGAAGCGATGGCTCTTGATGACTTTGTGCAGGAGATGTTTCGTGGGGGGCAGACGTAGAGTCAGCTACGCCCCCATCACCGGCTGTAGCCTCAGCGGGAGCATCAGGGGGGGCATCAGCAGGAGCAGCAGCAGGAGCAGCAGCAGGAGCAGCAGCAGGAGCAGCAGCAGGAGCAGCAGCAGGAGCAGCAGCAGGAGCAGCAGCAGGAGCAGCAGCAGGAGCAGCAGCAGGAGCAGCAGCAGGAGCAGCAGCAGGAGCAGCAGCAGGAGCAGCAGCAGGAGCAGCAGCAGGAGCAGCAGCAGGTGGCACGAGGGATGGTGAGTCGTGCTGACCCTCCTGGTTTCTAGCTTCCCCAGGAGGATCAGCAGCACTGCTTGCTGCCGCTGTGCCTCTCGCCTGCTCCCCCTGAGATGACCTTTGTGTTGACTCAGAAGTTACCTCGTTATGAGTTGACTCAAAAGTCACCTGGTTGCAAGCAGCACTGCCTGCTGTAACACTCGCCTGCTCCTCCTCCACAAATGACTCTTGATTAGACTCTAAAGTAGCAACACTATTGGCAGCAGCAGCAGCAGCAGTACCGTCAGCAGCACTTTCAGCAGCAGCAGCAGCACCATCGGCAATAGCACCACTATCAGTATCCGCAGCAGCAGCAGCAGTAGCAGTAGCAGCAGCAGCAGCCGGACTAACAGCAACAGCACTATCAGCACCCAAAGCGCTGTCACCAGCAGCTCTACTACTATCGCCGTCAGCAGCAGCAGCAGCATGAGCTAATTCCGTGTTCCCGTCTGCACTTTCCCCAGCATCAAGCCTGCTCTCTGCAGCAGCTTTGCCAGCTCTATCAGCCTCGCCTGAGCCCTCCTCTGCCTGTTTCCCCCCATCACCATCGGCCCAACTATGAGGCGCCTCAGAAGCTGCATTACCACGCACAGCACTATCAGCCGATTTCAAACCGTCAGCTGCCTGCTTTTCCCCGTCATCCATCCCATCATCCATCCGTTTCCCCCCATCCTCCGCCCGCTTCCCCCCATCGCCATCGGCCCACCGAAGCCATTTCCCCAGGGGCCTGGTGGACAGCGATCGGTGCATTGCCGGCTGGTGGGAGGCGTGGGGGGAGGCGTGGGGGGAGGCGTGGCGGGTGGCATGGGCGGTGGAGTCGTGCTTGGTAGTGTGACGGGAGAAGGAGAGGGAGCGCAGCTGCAGGTGGGGGATAAGCGAGGGGAAGTGCGGGAGCGGGCGGGAGGAGGTGCGGGTGTGTGGGGGAGCTTGGGTGGGGTGGACGGGAATGGGATTAGAGGAGGGTGTGGGAGTGGAATGGGAGGGGGGAGTGGCAGTGATATCTGTGCCTGTGCTGGCATCTGTGGTGCTCATAGCTGCAGTGCTGGCATCTGTGGTGCTCATAGCTGCAGTGCTGGCATCTGTGGTGCTCATAGCTGCAGTGCTGGCATCTGTGCTGCTCATAGCTGCAGTGCTGGCATCTGTGCTGCTCATAGCTGCAGTGCTGGCATCTGTGCTGCTCATAGCTGCAGTGCTGGCATCTGTGGTGCTCATAGCTGCAGTGCTGGCATCTGTGCTGCTCATAGCTGCAGTGCTGGCATCTGTGGTGCTCATAGCTGCAGTGCTGGCATCTGTGCTGCTCATAGCTGCAGTGCTGGCATCTGTGGTGCTCATAGCTGCAGTGCTGGCATCTGTGCTGCTCATAGCTGCAGTGCTGGCATCTGTGGTGCTCATAGCTGCAGTGCTGGCATCTGTGCTGCTCATAGCTGCAGTGCTGGCATCTGTGCTGCTCATAGCTGCAGTGCTGGCATCTGTGCTGCTCATAGCTGCAGTGCTGGCATCTGTGGTGGTGTCTGTACTCATAGTCCCGGCAAGCGCTGTGTCTGCTGCTTCTTGTCTTGAATTCACGGGCGTGTGGGACTGGGCTAGCAGCTGTGGCAGCAGCTGGGGCAGATCAGCCGCCCCTCGCCCTTGAAATGAAAGCAGCAGCAGCTGCTTCAGTGCCTCGTTCTCCCGCCTCACCTCACCCACCTCTCTCATCAGCTCACTTTCTCTCATCACACCGCCCTCCACTCCTCTCTCTCCCTCCACCACACGCAGTTCCCCCACTCCCCCCACCTCTCTCGCCTCCTCCGCCCCACCGCCCCCTCTGGGCCCCTCACCTTCCGCGTCTCCCCTCGCTCCCCCCTCTCCCTGTGCCTGCCTGGGCTGCGCCTGCCCTTGCTGCGCCTGCCTTTGGAGTGCCTGCCTCTGCTGTGCGACTCGAGCCTCTATAGCCGACATAGTCGATACACACTCCACCATCGCCCACTCCAACTTAATCTCCCCTCCGCCTCCCTTCACCCCATGCGCGCCTCCCTCCCCCTCCCGCTCCCCCTCTCCTCTCGGCCGCCCATCCCCTGGCGCTTCGAGCATGTGCTGGACACGCTTCAGACACGTCAGCAGCGCGCCAACAGCCCTCTGAGCCGACTCGAGTCGCTGCTCCAGCTGTCGTCGCTCCGCCGCTTCTTCCGCCAGCCGCCCTTCTGGCGGGTTTCCCGGCGGAGGGGCGGGAAATGCGCTGTTCGTCGGATCTTCAACTCCCGCTTTCCTGTAACCTTCTAGTCCATCCTCGATATAAACCTCGTAACCTAGCTCCGCCATTCGCGCCGCCCTTTGCGCTGCGTCGTCGATCGCCAAAATGTCCCACAGCAGGTGCATGTCCTCACTGAACGCGTCCACGTCATTCTCGTCCACGTCAGCGTCCACGTAAGCATCTACCTGTACACCCACGTCCCCGTCCCCACTTCCTCCGCCGTCGACGGCCCAGATCCCGTCGCGCTCTGCCGCCTCCGTTATAATCACATGCTCCCCTTCTTCTGTTACTGTCACATGCCCCTTCTGTTCCGCGTTCCCCATTTCCTCGCCCGTTCCCGGTCGTCGGTGATAAAAACGAACGTATCGTGTTCTCAAACCTGATTGGTGAACGATTTTCTCATCTCCGACGCCGCGACCAAAGGAATGTGACTTTTAATCGAAGTTGGTGAAATGTGGAGGCGAGACAAGGCGGTCAACGCAGTCAACGCTTTGCGAAACCACTGCGAAAGGAGGCAATCTTCGGAAGTCCCATTTTACGAAAGGAGGTGCGAAAGAAGCTAAGTCGGAGACGGCACTTAGCAACGTGAAATCGAGATTACGAATGGTTTACCTGCCGTCACGACCTAGGTAGTAGTGATTTGCGTTGGGCGAGGGTGTGGTGAGGTGTGGTGGTTGCGGGGAAATACATGCAACATGCATTGTCACGACTCACGGGGTGCATTTGTCGGTATTCGCGAACATGCGAAAGCAGAGGGTGCGGCCAGATTGCAGATTTATCCTCGCTGCAAGTCGGACTTGACGTCAGACATTGTGTCCGACACAGGACGTATTATGTTAAATTGGAATGTGGGTGGCTACAGTGTTACAGCAGTCAGGCTACCATTACAATGGCAGTCAAAGCACGGGTGACGCACACCAGCATCACCTAGGGCGTGTGTAGTTCCGAAAAACGTTGTAGGCTCACCTTTTTTAATCGAGTTTAGCATCTGATCTTGAGTCGAATGTTGAGTCACATTTGAAATGAACTTGGCTCGAACCGTGCGTAGTAATTTCAGTTGAATCACTGCACTAGCACGGGGTCCCAGCTGGGTTCGGACAGAGAGTTGAACCTACTGCGAATGCGACGGGCTTAGGTTACCCGGCTCGTGTTGTTGACATCGCGCCACGTCGGCTGGTTGCGATTCGGTTCTGAAGGGGTTACAAATAGCCCTCGTGGCCATCAACGCTGGCTCGTGGCTCGTTGATGGTTGACGAGGCTCAAAATGTTCTTCGCGAGCGCTCGTGCAGCTCGCGAGGTTTCTCGCAAGTCGCCAATTTGTTGCACGTGCACAAAAGTGCACAGGTTCACTTGAACGAGCGCACGCATGTTCAGGCATTGATTGCGAGTCCCCTTCGGAAAACGGATTTACACAAGCGCGCAGTTCAAATGTTTGTGTTTTCGCAAGAGTGCATCTCGAAATCGACGACAACTGGTAACCCTTTTCAGTTCGAACTGTGTCATGAACCTGAAATCGATTTACACGCGCCCTTAGCCCAATTCGAATTCATCGTGCGATCCCCCGTGACCCTTTTTAAACGCATAGCACCCATTTGGACCTGTTTTACGCCCCCCGGGATCCAGAATTTTCAGGATTTGAAGTTTAGAACTCCCTAGACGGCTTCCAGCTTTTACTGCGATCAGCAGCCTGGATTTCATCTGAGTGTTCTTGCTGTCTAAACGTCCCCGCGTCTATTTCGTCCCTTTGGCGCAATCTGCGCGTCGCGTCGTAGCCTCATTGCACTAGAACAGCTTGCTAAGCGCATGGATTTCCCGTGAAACCTGTCGCTGCCGCTGCAGCCATTATCGCGAGAGTAATGCACAGAGCAGCAGCAGCGGATGTGGGGTAGTGCGACCGCCAGTATCGCGCGAGGAGAAAAAATCATCTTTCGGCTGGGAGTTTAGCGGAAGAATCACATTCGCCGTAGCGCAAACTCGGCTGTAGCGCAAATTCGGCTGGCAGTCAAGGCGATGGTGTCCCAGCCAATCGGATCGCAGTCGGGCCACATTTCGCGGGAGGAGCGCGAGCAGGCGATAGGCGCGGTGATGCGTCACGTGCTATTCAAGCACAGCAGCCACTCGGGTGTGCCTATATCGAGGGACGAGCTCAATAAAGTCATTTCCGCGCAGCTGGCCGGCCGGCGCGTGACGGGGCTGCCGGGCGTGATTATAAAGGAGGCCCAGGCGCGGTTCCCAGCCGCTCTGGGGTTCGAAATGAAGGAGCTTGAAAGAGGGACGCGGGGAAGAGGGGGAGGCGGAGGGGGAGGGGGACATGACGGGGATGAGGGTGGGGAGAGAGGGGGAGAAGACGGGGGGGGGACGGGGGAGGAGGTAGGGGGGGAGGAGGGGGAGGGGGTGCGAAGGAGTACGTGTTACAGAGCCGGTTACCAGCGGCGGTGCTGTCGCGATTCGTGGATACACCAGAGCAGGCAGCAGGCAGCGCGTTCACCACTGTAGTGTGCGCTCTTATAAAGGGCGCTGGAGGAAGCATCCCAGCAGGTGCGGTTTTTTAGACGTCTCGATATAGTCACGTTTACAGCTGTGCTGTGTGCGCATTCACCAGTGCAAGCAGCAGGCAGTGCGTTCACCACTGTGGTGTGTGCGCTGATCAAAGGCGCTGGAGGAAGCATCCCGGCAGGTGCGGATGTGTGAGGTGAGTTGTGAGTCGACTCATGAGTCAAATCAAGCAGCTGGCAGCAGGCAGCGCGTTCACCACTGTAGTGTGCGCTCTTATAAAGGGCGCTGGAGGGAGCATCCCGGCAGGTGCGGTTCTTGAGGCGTCTCAAAGGGTCTCGCTCTTGAGGCTCTACGCTCTACTTGTCAGTGCATGCTGTGCCGTTTATCTGTGCTCATGAACAAGGGCAGCAGTAGGCAAGGTCGCCTTTAGCAAGGGGACGATAGTCAACTAGTGAAAGAGTCGCGCTCTACGTTCAACTTGTCAGTGCATGCTGTGCCATTTATCTGTGCTCATGAACAAGGGCAGCAGTAGGCAAGGTCGCCTTTAGCAAGGGGACGATAGTCAACTAGTGAAAGAGTCGCGCTCTACGTTCTACTTGTCAGTGCATGCTGTGCCATTTCATCCCATCCCATGCCATGCATGCAATTCTGTCTGTCACATTGCATCAAATCACACAAGAACCCACAACACCTTATAGCCTCCCCCATCGTTTCTTATTACACCGTTCCCGCCCCCTCTTCCCTGAGGCCTTCCCAATCCCTCCGCATACTCTCCCCGCCACACTTCGCGCGGAGAAGCTGTGGGTGGGGCGCTGCTGGGAGCAATGGGGGTGCGTTGAGACGATTCTTGAGGAGCGCCTTCAGATTCGTCTGTATCCTGCGTGGCTCGTGCCTCCCCCCGCCCCTCTGCCCCAATCCGCGCAGAGAAGTTGTGGGCGCTTCTGGGGGCAATGGGGGTGCGGCGGGGGGAGGAGAGGCACCCGCAGTTTGGGAACGTGGAGGAGAGCTTAAAGCGCATGGAGAAGCAGAGGTGCGGCGGGGTGGGAGAATTGGGCGACGAGGGTTGAGAAACTGCAATGGAAATTGAGTGTGTGACTGAGGCAGAAAGGAGGGTAGTGACTGGAGAGAAGAAATTGAGGGTCCCACTGCGATTTTCCCTTTCAGTTTCCTCCCCCCTCTCTCCAGCCATATCCAATCGTTCCGATCCATACCTAACGTGGCACTCCCCCCTTAGTCCTCTAACCCTCCCCTCCCCCATTTCTCCTGTTGTGACCCCTTTCTCTCTCCACATTTCGTCCCGGAAGTTGCTGTGTTGAGGCTTTGAGAGAAGAGATATTCAGGAGGAGGAAAGGACGTTTTTGAGAATTCTCAAAAACACCCTGCAGCAGAAAGGAAAGGCCCCCTTGCTGACGGGACTCCCTTCCTTCCCTCACCCATCTCTACGCTCGATTCCATTCCTCGCACTCTCCTACGCTTTCACTTTCCCCCTTCTTCCTCTCCTTCCGTTTCTTTTCCATGCCCAAGGATGCCCGCTTCCTTTCCTTTACACATTGCTACGTGCCCTTTCTCCCACTCTCTGTCTCGACATGCCTTGCACCGCACTGCTTAGACAGATACGTGATTCTGGTGAAAGGGGCACGTGGGGCGGGAGGGGAGGAGGAGTGGACGTATGAGCTGGCAGAGCATGCCCGGCAGGGCATCGGAGCAGAGAAGCTGCAGAAGCTTTTCAACGAGGTGAGGGAGAGGGGGTTTTCCTGTAGCAGACGAGAGGAGAGGGCAGGGGTAAATAGAGTGGGCACGGCGTATGAGCTGGCAGAGCATGCCCGGCAGGGCATCGGAGCAGAGAGATTGCAGAAGCTTTTCAACGAGGTGAGGGAGAGGGCAGAGAGATTGCAGAAGCTTTTCAACGAGGTGAGCAGCCCTTCTTGAGCAGCCCTTCAATGAGAGATTGCAGAAGCTGCTCAAGAAGGGCTGCTCACCTCATTGAGCAGCCCTTCTTGAGCTGACACGACTTTTGAGGCGCCTCAAAAATCGGGGCAGAGAGATAGCACAAGTTTTTTTTAACGAGGTGAGTAGTCCCTTCTTGAGCTGATGAGAGTAGTGGGCAGGTGGGAATAGAGTGGCCGTATGAGCTGGCAGGGCATGCATGGCAGAGCATTGGAGCAGAGAGGCTGCAGAAGCTTTTCAACGAGGTGAGAAGGGCCTTCCTGAGGAAACGAGATGAGAGAGAGGGCAGGGGTATAATGAGTGGGCTTATGAGCTGGCAGAGAGCATGCCCGGCAGGGTATTGGCACTCGTTGAGATGAGAGGGAAAGGGCCCCGTGCCAGTACTGCTAATGCTGCAAGTGCTGGGCGAAGGGGAGTTTAGGGGTGGGTAAAAGTCATGAGTTTGGGTGTATGAGTTGGCAAGAGCAGTGACGGTGGGGAATTGGTGCAGAGTGTACATATTCTGACACAGAGAAGCTGCAGAGGCTGTTTGATGGGATGAGCTAGTGAGACAGTCACCTCGTTACCATGGCACACGATTGTGAATGCCGTGCCACTTGTGAATTGTGATTTATCGTGTGCTAGTGAGAGGAGAGCCCCTGCCTTGTGAGAGGAGAGCCCCTGCCTTGTGAGAGGAGAGCCCCTGCCTTGTGAGAGGAGAGCCCCTGCCTTGTGAGAGTGTGAATGCCGTGCCACTTGTGCCGCATAAATCTTTTGAGTCGACTCAAAAGTCACCTCGTTACCATGGCACACGATTGTGAATGCCGTGCCGTGCCACTTGTGTCGCATAAATCTCCACTCTCTCCCTGTCTTCGCCATTCCTTCTCACCCATCTGCTGCAGACCGTCGCGGAGGTGCAAGATTGGGCCCCTTCTCATGGCTTGAGATGAGGAGCAGAACATCAGTGAGGGAAGTGCCTGTTTTTCAAGTCTTGACTCACGACCCGCCTGTCACCTCATCTGCTGCACACCGTCGCGGAGGTGCAAGATGGAGCTCCTTCTCATGGCTTGAGATGACTGGTGAAGCTATAGTGAGATATTAACGAGTCCTGTACAGCTTCTTTGTCCTAACATAGATGCAAACTAATAGTTCAAGGTATTGATATTGAGACTGCAGACATTGCACGGTAACAGCACTGCACTTCAGTGAATGAATGTGTAAAATTCAGAAATTCCAAGTGATGGGATGATCCAGTTAGTGCAGATTCAAGAATGCCTTGACACTTAACAATTGCAAAGCAAGTTATGGAACACTTGTCTTTATATTCAACAACATATACTGCACAGGGTAACTCAAGCAAACTCCATTTATGGGGCGCTCAAAAAGATGTCGCAAGCATACTCCATCCACCTTATTAGCAATCCAGAATCTTCAGTATCAGCTCATTGGAAGCCATAGAAAGCAGCAGCAGCGATGGCAGCAACACCAACGACTATGGAGATGAGGGAGAGGATGGGGGTGCTGCCCCCACCAATGGCCCGGCCAGTCTCGGGGTCGTAGCGTGCAAAGCGCTTCTTGGGTGCTGAGCACTGCGGGCACTCATAAGAGTCAGGCTGCAGAGGGGAAGGGGGAGTGGCAAGAGGTAGGGGGAAACAGATCAGATTAAGGATGGAAGGTGAGCGAATCACTTCTTCTCGGGTGCTGAGCACTGCGGGCACTCGTAGGAGTCGGGCTGTAGGGGGAAAGGGGAGCGGCAAGAGGTAGGGAGGGACACCGATCAGATAAGGATGGAAAGTGAGCAAATCACTTCTTCTCGTGTGCTGAGCACTGCGGGCACTCCTATGAGTCGGGCTGCAGACAAAGGAGAGGAGGGGGTAGTGATGAGGGAAAATATAGAGGGAGTTGAATGGAGGATGGAGATGAGGGAGAGGATGGGGGTGCTGCCTCCTCTGATTGCCCGGTAGGTCTCGGGATCGTAGCGAGCAAAATGCTTCTAGAGGGCTGGGCACTGCTAGTACTCCATGGGATGGAAAATCAGGAAGAGGCGCGGGGGAAAACAGATAGGTTTAAGAAGGTGAAATCTGGTCAAAACGCTTCTTCACACACACCCGACGCGCACCAAGCTCTTGTAAAGATTATAAGATCATCAGGTGTGTGTGCTGTGTACACATCCCATGCTCCAGGCTCTTTCCCTCCCAGCATAACCACTCACCATACTCGAATTTGGATTGGCTGTCATGAAACTAGATTGGCGTCTTCTTGTAATGAAGCTGCAGGTCCCAGACATGTATAATCTTTAGTCGAATAATGTGTACACAGCACACACCTGATGATCCCATACCACCTCACACACGCAGCACATTCTCAGTACCCTACACGCACACCTTTCATGCACCACACACCTGATCCTCAAACGGCTTGTTGAGAGTATAGATGAATCCACAGTCCAGACAGATGTGAGTTGCGCGGGCCTGCCAAGGAGTGAGAGAGGCAGAGGAGTGAGAGGTCATGGAGTGAGCAGGCAACGTGGGGTTCGGAAGCAAGGGAGGGCGAAAGGGAGGCAGGGTGGAAGGAAAATCCTGACGATTCTTCAATTGCAACTCTTCATTGCAACTCTTCATTGCAACTCTTCATTGCAATTCTTCATTGCAATTCTTCATTGCAATTCTTCATTGCAATTCTTCATTGCAATTCTTCATTGCAATTCTTCATTGCAATTCTTCATTGCAATTCTTCATTGCAATTCTTCATTGCAATTCTTCATTGCAATTCTTCATTGCAATTCTTCATTGCAATTCTTCACCTTCCCCCCTGACGACCTTTCAAGGCAATCCCCACGCCGATCTCCAGCAACACCTTAAGTTTCGAAATTTGCTCAGCCATACCTGCTCAGCCATGATCCCCCCATTTCTTCACATCTCCACATTTCCTGCGCCCTACCTTCTGCCCTTCGGCCCTCTCTCCGCCACGTCCTCCCATCCCATCCCAAACCGGGACGGCGCGGGCCTTCCGGTGGTCTTACTTCGGACTAAAATCCCGTCCTCACTGCCCGCCACTTACATGACATAACGTCCTCTCGCCCCCACCCCATCCTTTCGCCCCCACCCCATCCTCTCGCCTCCATCCCATCCTTCTCGCCTCCACCCCATCCTCTCGCCTCCACCCCATCCTCTCGCCTCCACCCCATCCGGTCGCCCCCAACCCATCCTGTCGCCCCCACCCCATCCTGTCGCCCCCACCGCCGTACCTTCTGGGCTTCAGTCAGCTTGCGTCCAAAGCGGGAGGGTGCAGGCCTCTTGGGCAGGCGCTTCACATCCACAGCGGCGCCCCTGGGGGAGGAGCGGGGGAGGAGCGTGTGGGGGAAGAGGCGGGGGAGGCATGTGAAACGTGAGGAAACGTAAATTTCTGTGATTCATGCAACGCAAACTTAGTGTTAGGAATTAAAGCAAGCGAACCGCTTCTGGTTTTTGAGACGTCTCTAAGTCAAACTTCTGTGAAATATCATGCACCGCAATCGTAGTGCTGGAGAGGAATTGAAGGAAGCGAACCGCTTCTGGTGCGGTGCAGAGAAGTAGCGCTTTCCCTTTGCACCAGAAGATTCGATTCCTTGTGGTGCGTGCAAAGCACCAACTTGGGCGAACCCAACTTGGGCACTGACTGCTATTGCTTCTGCTGCTTGGGCAACGTCAGGCGAGCACCAACTTGGCGAACCCCAGCTTCGCATTTGCGACAACGCGGGTATCCCGAGGTTACACCTTCGCACATCCAGTTTCGCACGCATCTGGCGCGCCTCGCACGCGCGTGGCGAGCTTCGCGCATACCTGGCGACGACGAAGTAAACGGAGACGGGCTTGGCGTTGACGAAAACGTTGATAACCCGATGTGACATTTTCGCACGCACCTGGCGAGGACGAAGTAGACGGAGTCGGGCTTGGCGTTGACGGCGGTGCGCGTGAAGCCGAGGTTATCGGACGGCCAGAGCTCGTCACCAAAGAAGCTGCTCGTGTACACGACTTGGTCGCCAACCTTAATGCCCGCCCTCGCCGCGTTGCTTCCCGGCGCCACGCCCTGAGAGAAGGGAAGGGGGAAGAGGCGGGAGAGGGACGGAGGGAGGGGGGGGGGGGGGTGGGGGGGGGGGGGGGGGCGGTGGAGGGGGGGAAGCTTGAGAACGCGGGGAGCTTACGCGGGAAGCTTGAGAACGCAGAGCTCATCGCCGAAGAAGCTGCTCGTCTAGACCACCTGATCCCCAACCTTGATCCCTGCCCTCGCCGCGTTGCTGCCAGGAGCCACGCCCTGGGAAAGTAAAAGGAGAGGGAGAGGGAGAGGAGATGAGAATGCAGAAAGCGGATGGGGATTTGATTTTCATAATCTTTTAAAAAGCGACTCCCGTATGGTTGTTGTCGCTGAAGAGGCTGCTCGTTCGCACCACCTGGTGGACACGTGGACGCGTCGTTAGTACCACCCCTGATTGACACGTGGAAGCGTAGTTATCTATACCCTGAGCGAGGCTCACCGAGATCTGCACGCCGCCGCCGGGCTTGTTGTCGCGCGAGGCCGACCGGACAAAGTGGGAAGGAGCGGAACGGGGGGGTTGAGGGGAGGGGGGAGGGGGAGATGGAGAAGAGGGGTTGGGGGGTGGGGGAAAGGAGCGACGCGGCTCACCGAGATCTGCACGCCACCGCCGGGCTTGTCGCCGAGCGTGAGGCCGAGCGGCTTGTCCACCTCCACCTCGTACTGCCCGCCCGATGTGCGCGCCGTCACCGTCGCCGGCCGGCCGACTGACTTGGCGGGCTGGACTGGCCGGCTAGCCGCCTGGGCCTGCTGACGGACGGCCTCGCCGAGGAATCCCGTCTGCGACAAGCGACAATGCAGGGCGTAAGTTCAACGCTCGATTTCGTTCAAAATCAAAACATTCAAAACCAAGCGTTATTTCTTACCCGCAGGTTGCGCTGCTTGAGTGGCACGAGTCCAGCGGCGCTGAGAGCATTGTCCTGGCTGACGGCAGCAGTCAGCCTCGGCGCGACGGTCACCTTAGCTGACGTGGCAGCGACGGAGGAGAGAGCCATGGCGCGGGATTAAACTAATAGTGCGGGAGGAAAACGCGGAAACTTGCTGCTGGAATGAGTTGAGCACAATCTCAAACGAATTGCTGAAATTGAATTCACAGGAGGCAGGAAGCCATGTTTGTCTGGACAGATGTTACCCACATGTTCTCAAGGTGGATTGCATTGCTGAGTCAGCTTCAAGAAACAATCGTGGGACTACCTGGAACGCACGGGTGCAGATTCAGTGCCAGCTGGAATTATTTCTTTGGTTGGACGAGTCGTGAACGACGTGGCAGGAGCTTTTGTGTGGATAACGAGTGGACGCGTGCTTGTTGCGAGATCGACCATCGTTGTGGACGAATTGACGAAACACCCCTTCCGTCGCCAAAGGGGGTGAAGAAGGTCCGCCAATGTTTCGCCGGAAATCGAGGCGAAGTTGCGATGTAGGGCTCCATGCACCGACGTGGCATCAGTGGTGGCTTGAAATGCTTCCTGCGTTCCTTTCTAGACCTCGCAAGCACGAGTTGTTACCCGCCACGTCGCTTCAGAGATCTTCCTTGATAAAAAAACATGCATTAAGAATATGAGGATGTTGAACTAGCCCACAAAAGAAGAAATCAAGAGCTGAGATAAGGCGAATACTTTGTCACCTTGCTCAACCGGAGTGAAACCGACTGGCGGGAGAGGTGTTACTCTAGTCGACTAGCATCCCGTGGAAACGCAACCCACCGTACAGCAGCGCATCCAGTCTTGCGACTCTTATCGCAATGCAACAACTGGCGTGCCCAGCGAGCACCACCCACGTGCATACAACGCAATCGAAGCACCCTATACACGCATCACGATTAGCAACAGTGCCAAATCAGCGCGCTGTTGCATTTTTTCCCCATGCCGACCTTGCAGCCCCTGCCTTCCAACACGCAGGAGCCATCCAATTGCGCCCCACTTGCCAGATGTGCGTAATATCAAGCTGCGTGCTAGCGTGTCGCGAGTTGGTTGGTGCCGTGTTCCCTATACCTGCTGCCACTGAACGCGCTCCGCCCACTGCGCCGCTCCTTACATCTCCGCGCGCGACACGAGAGCTATCAGCAGCATCATCAATCTTTCTTTCAGGCAAATCGGAGTTTTCGCGGCCACTATGCTAACCAGCGCACATCATCTCGTGCGCTCAATATCACGGGCACTACGCAAAGATGCGCCCTCCCCGCCGCCAACACTACTGTATTACTGCTGCGTTTGCGCGCCCCCATTGAGGGCTGCACCCTTTCGCGCCGGAACACCGCGTAAAAAGGTAGGGCTAGCGGCGCAACTTCCAACCAATCAGGAAGGATGACCATTTCGCATCAAAGGGCCCTTGGCGGCTGCCCACCCACCACTGGGACTTCCAAGGATTGCGCAGATCACGCGGGCTGTGCGGATTGCGCGGGTTGCGTGACATGCGCGGGCGCGCGGGTTCGCGCGGGTTTGCGCGGGTTGCGCTGGTTTGCGCGGGCTGCGCTGGTCGCACCTTCCGCGGAGCGAGGACGGTTGTACTGTATCTCGGACGGAACGCTGCTGTGTTGTCGCTTCAGCCCTGGATCTTGCCTCAACTCGACTCAGCTCTCCCTCCGCGCCCGCACCCTCGCTTCCTCTGCTGCGGGGGAAGAACGAGAATCCCAGCCGCGGCGGCGGCGCTTCCTGGGCTCACATCACACACAGCCAGAAGCTTCAGTCGCCATCTGCCGCGCTTGAGCCTTCGATCCAAGTGCTGCTGCTCATCCAGGGTCCCAATTCCCGATTCCCCACCCCCGAGTCTGGAGTCTCTCTACCTAGCACGTTGCCTAGCCTATATATGCCCCTTGAGGTCCCTTCAAGCTTCTATACCTACGCCTCTAGTCTTCCGGGTTGGTAAAGCTACGAGTCCTTTCACGCAGTATTGGAGTCTGCATAGTGCTTTCACTCATGGCTTCCCAGAACCCGCACTGGCGGGTTCTTGCCGCGTCCGCGCTTCTCGCGCTGCTCCTCTTTGCCCCGCCCGTTCCCGCGCGCGCCATGGGCGCCGATCACGGCGGGCACGGCGGGGGGGATCACGGGATGGACTCGCAAGGCAAGGGGACGTTGCGGGACGTGTCGATTAGCGGGAAACGTGCGGTGCGCAAATATCTGAAGAAGTTTGTGGATCCGCTGCCTATTCCGCCCATCGTCAACGCGGACTGGCTCCCGAAAGACCCAAAGGGCGCAGCTGCTCTCACCGTCACCGCGTTTAGCGTGAAACGGGTGAGCTATTACCGGGACAATTCCACCGGTTGTGTTTTTTCTTCTTCTTCTCTCCGAGTCATCCTTACCGTGTAACGTGATCTCTCTTATCGCAGAGATTCCACCGGGACCTGCCCCTAACCCGCGTGTACGCGTTCGGGCTCACGCGAAAGTCGGCCAGCGTGCCAGGACCGACCATCGTGGCGCGCGTCGGAGCGCCGCTGCACGTGACGTGGGAGAACAACATCACAGATCAGCAGCATATCATGCCCGTCGATTACACGCTCATGGCTCCCAAGCTCAAGAAGGGGGGCGTTCCTATCAGTACGTGCGCTTTCTCCGAATACCGTCATCCCATTCTCCGATAGTTGTTTTGATTTTCGGCTTTAAATTGTAGGTAGTTGTGTTCAACATTGTGGTGTAGCGTTACTATGTTTAATTTCTGAAATTCCATTTCGTTTTCCCCCTCCCCTCCACCTCTCCCCCTCGCCCCTCTCCCCTCCCCCTTTCCCCTGGCACAGCCATCCACGTGCACGGCGCGCAGGTCTCCAGCTCTCACGACGGCCACCCAGAGGCTTGGTACACTTACTGGGGGGAGAAAGGTCCTGAGTTCGAATCTAACCAGCACCATTATCCGAACATGCAGCCACCCAGCACCCTGTGGTACCACGACCACACCTTGGGAATGACGCGGCTCAACACTGTGGCAGGGCTTTTTGGCGCTTTCATTCTGTCCAACCCCCGAGCAGAGCGGAAGCTTAACCTGCCCGTGGGCAGGTTTGACGTGCCGTTGCTTATCCAGGATAGGTCGTTTTTGTGGAACGGGCACACTTTTATGGAGGGAAAGGGCCTGACGAAAGCACATCCGGTGTGGTTACCCGAGTACTTCGGGAATTTCATGACTGTAAACGGGAAGGTATGTTTTCTATGGTTGCTCCATGGGGGTGGGTAGTCATCAGCAGCAGCAGCAGCAATGCTCCTCTTGCCTTCATGGTCCCACTCTATCCCTTCTTAACAACTCCTTTTGCAAACCTCACACTCCGCCCTGAATGGCTGCAATGCCACACCAATGCCCCATGTCCCAAGGTCACACCAGGAACACCCTCATCTCAATGCCTAGCTCCTCCCTCCCCTCCAGGTAACCCCCTATCTGACAGTGCAGCGTCGCAAGTACCGCTTCCGCCTCGTCAACGGCTGTAACGCGCGTTTCCTCGACCTCGCCCTCCGCGCCTCCTCTCCCGTTTCCGACGATCCCAGCGGCACCGCCAACAGCACCAGCATCACCCTCCCCTTTATCCAGATCGCCTCGGAGTCTGGTTATCTCAACCGCCCCGTGCCTCTCCGCAGATTAACCCTCGCTCCTGGGGAGCGTGCATGTATCATTGTGGATTTTAGTCAGATGCCCACAGGGGCAACAATTCGGGTGAAAAACCGCGCTCCTGCGCCGTATCCCGGGGGTGATTTACCCACGGGGGATCTACAGTACGTCATGCAGTTCAACGTGGAGGGTGACCCGGTCGTAGACCCCTCTACAGTGCCGGCTCTGCTTAACTATATCCCGCTTCTCAGCCTCAAAAACATTGCTGCGACAAGGGAAATTACCCTTTCCGAAGTGGCGGATAAGGCAACTGACGAGCCGCTAACGGGGCTGATTGAAAAGAAGCACTACCACGATAAATTGAGCATCACGCCTTCATACAAGACGCGCGAACTGTGGTACCTAATCAACCTCTCAGAAGACGCTCACCCCATCCACATCCACTTCTCCCCACACCGCATCCTCTTCCGCCGCCCGTTCGACAAGGAGCTTTATGAGGCCAAGAAATGCAGCATTCCCGCCGGGACCTGTTACGCTGGCCCAGCTGTTTCTCCTAAGAAGAACGAGAGGGGAATGAAGGACACCACTAGAGCTCCTCCCGGGTATGTGACTGCGCTGGTGGTGGATTTTTCTCCGTGGATGGGGGAGGAGTTGAGCTTTGATCCCACCAAGGGGCCGGGGTACATGATTCACTGCCACATCTTGGATCACGAGGACAACGACATGATGCGACCATTCACCATCCTGCCGGCAAAATAGGTAGCGAGCGAGCGATCCATGGTGGGAACCTGTGCTGGTGCCGAGAGCTTGCTGTAGAGGGGCATATCATGTCGACATTCGGGGAGGGGATGAGGGTAAATTAGGTAGATAAGGTTTTGGGAATCACGGCAGAGTTGGTTACAGGGAGGGGATGACACGAGGGGGGGATGCTGTATAAGACAAGCAAGCATGTAGGTACAGGTTTGGGAAGTGGAGGGGGGCTGTCAGAAGCATGTTACTGATATAGGAATAAAGTTTTTTTTTTTAAAGATTTCTACGTTTGTTGTAGCATTATTACAGTAGAATTTTTCATTGCTGGCTACGAATAGAAAATTTTCGCTGCAGCCCCCACATCTACCTGCTAATCGGAAACCCAGCATACAATAATAAATGTACTTAGTGATTGTATATTTAGCCATTAACATCCATAACACCTCATACCGTACACCCAATCCCATCTAGCCTTGGTGGAATGGGAATCATATCCTCCAGGAATATAACGTTCAGATCGTCAATCCCCTCAGCCACGTTGACATCTATAATCGTTTCAGGGTTCACACAATAGCGAGCCGAGCACATCTTCCTTTTTTTGGAGCTGGGGTGAAACGAAGGACAACCAGCAGCGTACTTGCGTGTCGCGAGTTGGTTGGTGCCTCATATTGCTGCCTCCGTTCACTGCGCCGCTCATACACCCTGTTTCTCGCTACACTGAACTGTGCCGAACGGGTGGAAAACCTTGTTATCTTCGATTTGCCTAACTGAACCATATCGACACAAAATTTAACCACCGTTAACCGTGCTTTTCCTATCTTGACTTTATTATAACCGAGCTGACAATGGCGGGAAAAGGGGTGTATTACTTCTCCGCGTTGCGGTACGAGTACCATCAGCAGGGAAACCAATTTCGTATCGATCAAGAAAACGGATGTCTCCGCTCCGCACCCCCCTCCTCCGCTAACATGAGCGGAACATCACGTGCGCGACGCAAAAATGCGCCTGTTACCGCCGCCAAGACGCAGTTGCGGCTGTGTTTGCATTGCAACTAAAGCGACATCCCCCACTTGAAAAGCACCGTGGAAAATGGGTGGGGCTGGTTCCGCAATTTCCAATCCAACCAAACTAGAAGCACAGTGGAAAATGGTGATAACCTGTAGTGAATGTCACCACCCAAGGGGCCCTTGCCCTTGGCGGCAGCCCTTCTACTGGACAGTCTCGATGGACAGTCTCCTAATCTTGAAGTTCAAGGGTGGCGCGGGTTGCGCGCATTGCGCCGGCTGCGCCGGTTGCTCTTGTTGCGTTGTTTGCGCCTTACGCGCAGCGAGGACGGCTGTACTGTACCGTATCTTGAACGCTGCTGTCGCTTCAGCCTTGGACCTTGCCTCAACTTGTCTCTCCTTCCGTGGACCCTCGCTTCACTTCCCATGCCGCGGAAGAAGAACGAGAAACCTTGCCGCAATCGCGGCGCTTCCTGGATTCACAAGATTTCGACTCCCGATTTTCTGTTCTCGCCTCTCGCGCTTGGGCCTTCGTTCTTACCACTGTTACTCCAGAATCTCGACTCCCGACTCGGTTCTACGCAGCACGTTGTGTAGCGTATATATATCGCTCACTTGCTCCTCGTGGTCTCACCACATGCAATACTCTTCCTTTCGAACCTTTCGGGTGGAAACGCTACGAATCCTGACGCGAAGTAGTCTGTAGAAGCGCTTTCGCTCATGGCTTCCCAGAGCCCGCACCGGCGCCGGATGGGCGCTTCCCAGAGCCCGCACCGGCGAGTGGGCGCTTCCCAGAGCCCGCACCGGCTGGTGGGCGCTTCTCAGAGCCCGCACCGGCGCATTCTTGCCGCGTCGGCGCTTCTCGCGCTGCTCCTCTTCTCTCCGCCCGTTCCCGCGCGTGCCGTTGGCGCCGCCGAACACGGCGGACACGACGGCGGGGATCACGGGATGGACTCGCAAGGCACATTAACGTCGCGGGACGTGTCGATTAGCAAAAAACGCGTGTTGCGGAAGAAGCTGAAGAAATTTGTGGATCCGCTGCCCGTTCCGCCGGTCGTCAACGCGGACCGGCTTTCAAAAGACTTCAGCCGAGCCGCTGCTCTCACCATCACTGCGTTTAGCGTGAAACGGGTGAGCCATTACTGGGACAAATACATTTGTGCTTCCGGATTCAAATATCTCCGCCCTCTTAGCCTTATTTTTCCAAAGCGTCATTTAACTGTGTAGCGCGTCCTCTCTCGCAGAGATTCCACCGCGACCTGCCCCTAACCCGCGTGTACGCATTCGGGCTCACGCGCAAGTCGGCCAGCGTGCCCGGGCCGACGATCGTGGCGCGCGTCGGAGCTCCGCTGCACGTGACGTGGCAAAACAACATCACGGACGAGCAGCATATCATGCCCGTCGATTACACGCTGATGGCTCCTAAGCTCGAGAAGGGGGGCGTTCCTATCAGTACGTGCGCCTTTTCCAAATACCTACGTTCCTTGCCGATATGTTTCTTGAATTTCTTCTTAAGGACTGTAATGTTACCAACATTGCGGTGTAGCACGTTTCAGAAATTCAAGTTCGTTTCCTCCCTTTCCTCCCCCTCCCGCCACCCCGTTTCCCCCGCCCCTCCCACTCCCGCCACCCCGTTCCCCCCTCCCCTCCCACTCCCGCCACCCCGTTCCCCCCTCCCCTTCCCCCGGGCTGCAGCTGTCCATGTGCATGGTGCGCAGGTCTCGAGCTCCTACGACGGCCACCCTGAGGCTTGGTACACGCACTGGGGAGAGAAAGGTCCCGAGTTCGAATCCAGCCATCACCATTATCCCAACATGCAGCCGCCCAGCACCCTGTGGTACCACGACCACACCTTGGGAATGACGCGGCTCAACATTGTTGCAGGGCTTTTTGGCGCGTACATTCTGTCCAATCCACATGCAGAGAAAGATTTTAACCTGCCCGTGGGCAGGTTTGACGTGCCGCTGCTGATCCAGGATAGGTCGTTTCTGTGGAACGGGCACACGTTTATGGAGGGGAAGGGCGTGACGAAATCGCATCCTGAGTGGGTTCCCGAGTACTTCGGGAATTTCATGACTGTAAATGGAAAGGTACGTTTTGTATGGTTGCAGCATGGGGGTTGGGTATCACCTGCAGCAGCAATGACTAGGTTACTTACTACTATTTGCAGGCTATGGCTGCTTTCGTGGCATGGGTGTGATGGGTTGCAATCCTTCTTTTTTGCTCACTCCCCTACACAGCCCCTTCTCAACCACTCCCTCTTGCAAACCTCACACAGTTCAACCCAACACCCATTACCCATCACCCATCTCCAACCCCCTCACCATCCCCATGACCCATCCCCACCGCCATCCCCATCACCCATCTCCATCCCCATCCTCTTCCCCAACCCAACACCACCCAGTCTCCCACCTCGCTCCCACCCTCTCCCCCCAGGTGTCTCCCTACGTGGCAGTGCAGCGCCGCAAGTACCGCTTCCGTCTCGTCAACGGCTGCAACGCCCCTCCCTTGCCCCATGCCGCATGCTCACACCAGTAACGCCCACGTTTTCCCTGTCTCACCCATCCCTCCCCCCAGGTGACTCCCTACATGGCAGTGCAGCGCCGCAAGTACCGCTTCCGTCTCGTCAACGGCTGCAACGCTCGTTTCCTAGAACTCGCCCTCCGGGCCTCGCCCCATGTTTCCAACGGCAGCACCACCAGCAGCACCGCCAACAGCACCAGGACCATCACCTTTCCCTTCCTCCAGATAGCCTCAGAAGCCGGATATCTCAACCACCCGGTGTTTCACCGCAGAATCACCCTTGGGCCCGGGGAACGCGCGTGTATCATTGTAGATTTCACTCAGCTGTCTTCAGGGGTGACGATCCGGCTGAAAAACCGTGCTCCTGCGCCGTATCCTGGGGGTGATTTACCCACGGGGGATCTACAGTACGTCATGCAGTTCAACGTGGAGGGTGACCCCGTTGCAGACCCCTCTACAGTGCCGGGAATGCTGAACTCTATCCCGCATCTCAACCTCGAAAACATCGCCGCGACAAGGGAAATTACCCTTACAGAGATGGAGGACAAGGAGAGTGGCAATCCTCTAATGGGGATGATCGACAATAAGCACTACATCGAAAAAGTCGACATAAGACCAACATACGGGACTCAAGAACTATGGTACCTAATCAATCTTACAGGAGACACACATCCAATTCACATCCACTTCTCCCCACACCGCATCCTCTTCCGCCGACCATTTAACAGAGAGCACTACGGGGAGAAGAAATGCAGCATTCCTGATGGGAGCTGTTACACTGGGCCGGCTGTTTCGCCCAGGAAGAATGAGAGGGGATTGAAGGACACCTCGAGGGCTCCTCCAGGGTATGTGACTGCGCTGGTGGTGGATTTTTCCCCGTGGATGGGAAAGGAGCTGAGCTTCGATCCCTCTAAGGGGCCGGGGTACATGATTCACTGCCACATCTTGGATCACGAGGACAATGACATGATGCGCCCTTTCAAGATTCTGCGAGCTGAGTAGCGCTGAGCTGCTGCAGAGGGCATGGGCATGTTGTCGCGCCGCAGGGTACATGATTCACTGCCACATATTAGACCACGAGGACAATGCCATGATGCGCCCTTTCACCATCCTGCCAGCTACCGTAAGTTAATAGAGGTCCATGGTGGGAAGAGAAGGAACCTGTGCTGGTGCTGCTGACGGCATGTCTTAGACAGGTGCATGAAGCATTGCCCCATTTTGGATATGACTTTTGAGGCGCCTCAGAGATCGTGCTGGTGGTGCCGAGGGCATTCTGTAGCCAGGCACACAGGCAGCATTGCCCATTTTGGATCAGGGGGGTCAATGCCATTACGATATGCGTCCTTTCAGCATCCTGCCAGCCAGGCAGATATACAAACATGATGCTAGCAGGGGAGGGGATGGGCATGTAGGTAGAGATTTACAAAGTGGGAAGGGGTATCTGTAAAGCATGCTGCTGAATAGGGAATAAACAAGTCTGATGTACCTAGAATGTTCCACATTGTTGTATAATATTATTGAGTAATACCAGATATTCTTGCTACCGGTACTACAGTAAAGCTGCTTGGAGTACAAACCTCTAGCTGGAACTGTCAGGTCTTCCTACAGAAAACCGGCATACCGTCACCCCCCGGATATACCCCCATGGGGGGCTATAATATAACATGTTTTTTTGAGGGGGTGGGCTTATAATATAGTAAATTTATAAGCGCCGGCGTTTATAATTTGTCAAATTTGAAATTTGTTTTTAAATATACCAAATCGAAGCATTCTCAAAGGCAGATTCACCTGGGTCGAGAACGTTCGAAACTGTGCATGCATTGCGCGTGAAACGGCCAACAAGGCGTGGCTTCACGCCTTCCACGCCTTGTTGGCCAGGCCAGGTTCATCGAACGTGAACCTGGCCCATGCCAGTGCACACGTACCTCGCATCACAGCGGCCCAATCAGGGTTGCATGCGATCGTGGGCACGTCGTGGTTCAGCCACGGTGTGCCCATCAACAGCAAAATTCCCCGCCACCGAGGCAAGGAGCTGCCCAGCTCAGCTCCTCTGCGGGGAATCTTGACTGGGGCCACCCTTTTCCCGCAGAGGAGGCCGGGCCACGAAAATGAAGGGGTCTCGGGCGAGGGCTTCATACAGCCCTCATTCTCGACTTTTGCCTTCAGTTTCTTTGTTCGTTTGGCCTGCCGTGGCCATGGCGGGCCTTCCAGGCACGCATTTCTTGTTCCGCCGCCATCCTGCTGCCAGAGAAAACACCCGCCGAGACACTTGTGACTACTCTCAATGGCAGTCGCGCCCTGCGCCCGTCCCTCCATGTCAACCAGTAGCTCCTCCCGTTCCTCCCACTCCTCCAACTCCTCCTGCACCTCCCGCTCCCCCGGCGCCTCCGGTTCCTCCAGCTCCTCCGTCCCCTCCTGACCCGCCTGTGTTTGGTGCTCCACGTCAGGGGGTCCTGCAGCTTCTCCTCCCTCCTGGCTACTCGGCGTTTGACGCGTACCTGTCCGAGCCCGACCGCGCCGGTGGCGCATCGTCTTCCTCCGCACCGTCGCCACGCTGGGGAGCCCCGGCTGATTGCCCGTTGGACGAATCCGCGACTGGTGCGGAGGATGACGTGGAGTTTTGGGCTGCCGACGGTCTTCCAGAGCACCTGCCTATTCCCACCTCCCCCCCCCCCCAATAAGAAACGGCCCCACCCTTCTCGCGAGAATCGCGATGCCCGTCCTCCCTCCCCCAGGCACAAGCCTTCAAGTCACAAGCGGCACTCTTACACATCGCAGGAGAAACTGCAGTGGATTCTCAAGCTTGAGTCCGGGCAGATGAGCGTGCGGCAGATGTCTCGCCAAACCGGCATCTCCCGAAGGTCACTCGCAGAATGGAAGACCCGGAAGGCTGACCTGGAGGGCGCGCATGCTGCTCGCAAGCGTCTTCATGGGCGCGGAAGGAGCTCGTGGTATCGCGACATGGAAGCTGAAGTCTACACGAGGTTTCTTGCCCACCGTAAAAAATGTCTCGCGGTCTCGATCGCTCGCCTACAGAAGTGGTCGCATGAGGTGATGAAAGAATTGCACCCACAGGTAAAGTGGTTCGGCTCGCAGCGGTGGACTGAGCGGTTTCGCCGCCGTTGGAATCTGACAACCCGAGCGAAGACCAGGGTCGGCCTGAAGCTTGCCGCCAGTGAGTTTTGTGGGAAATGGTTGCAGTTTAATGTGTACTGCTTTGTGTTGTTTGTCTCTTTATGTTTCACGGTTGAATTTTAACGCGTCATTAATACTGTCTTCTCTCTTTCCCTCCCACCCGTACTCCCAGACTGCGAGACTGACGTCAGGAATTTCTGGAAGTTCGTGCGTCACACCCGCCGCCAATACCACATTGACCCGCAGTGGATAATAAACACGGACCAGACACCACTGTGGCTCAAGATGCCTGCCGAACGCACAGTCGAGGAGGTGGGTCTGCGCTCTGTGCCTATCCGCAGCGGCGGCTATCAGAAGGAGCGAGTTACGGCGATGCTCGCCTGCACTGCCAGCGGTGAGAAGCTGAAGCCGTGGGTCTTCTTCAAACGGAAGACCCTGCCTAAAGGGGATTTCCCTTCAGGTGAGCATTAACACCCACTGCTGCATGTTTTTTTTTTTTTCAATGTCTACTGATGTTGTATGTGCGTTTGTGGCTGTGCAGATGTTACGGTGTCCGTCCATCCCAACGGTTGGATGGACGCGGACGGAGTCATCGAGTGGCTCGACGGGGCAGTGAAGCCGTTCGTCCACCCCAAGTTCGGAGTGAGGCCCCGCAAAGCGGTGCTCGTCTTGGATTCGTACCGCGGGCACCTGACTGCGGAGGTGAAGAAGAAGTTCGGGGAGCTGAACATCGTCCCTGCCGTTATCCCAGCTGGCTACACCTCGGAGATTCAACCTCTGGACGTCGCGGTGAATCGCTCCTTCAAGGCATCCGTTCGCCAGCTCTACCAGGAGTGGTTCGAGAGCGAGGGGGTCGACACCTTGACAAAGAAAGGTGAGAGAGGCAGGCCATGCGTGTGCTGCTTTATCAGTTTGTACCGGTGGCTGACTTTTGATTGTTTAAATTTTATGGCAGGCAACATCAAGAAGCCACCACCCGAGCTAACGCTCGAGTGGATATCAGCGGCTTGGAAGGCCGTGCCCAGGGACTTGATTCAACGGGCTTTCCTCACCTGTGGCATTAGTAACGCCCTGGATGGGTCCCAGGACAAGATCTGCCTGCAACACAGGCGCGACGAGCTTGAGGGCGACGAAATAGACATCGACGACGACATTGCAGCAGATGGCTTTTTCTGCAACAACGTAGAAGAACCAGAGTCGGACTCTGAGGCCGACCCGGATGATCCTACCGCAGCTGATGACTAGATTACGTAGATCTAGAAATTGCTGTAGCCTGTGAGACTCGTAGGTAGATTTAGAACTGTAATTAGAAAAAACTGTAGATAAACTGACTTTGTAGTTAATTAGATGAAAATATAAGTTGTTAATGTGGTTAGTGAAGCTTGTAGAAAAAAAATATTTAAATAAGTGGCGGTTATAGTGTGTAAGGTACAGGTATGCGGCTATAATCCGTACGACTCTAGGGTATGTGCTTATAATCGAGGAGGGGATATAAGCGCCATATGCCAATTAGAAGCGCCAGGCGCTTATCCTAGGGTGGCGCTTATATCCGGGGGGTGACGGTACGTACATTAATAATGTAGCCAGTAAACTTGATTTGAGTATGCATGAACAACTACAACACATTATGCACCCGATCCCATTGCACCTGATGCTAAGTCGGAGGAATGAGTATAACATCACCCGGAAATATAATATCCGGGTCATCAATCCCCTCGGCCACATTGGCGTCTATAATCTTTTCAGGGTTCACGCAATAGCGAGTCGCAATCGAACACATGGTTTCTCCTTTTTGAACCTGGAGTGACATGGAGGGGAGGAGTGGAGAGGTGCGTAAGGGGGGAGGAAAGTGGATGCAATGAATCCTCACTCCCTTCTCACCTCACCCCTCTTCTCACCCCTCTCGTCACTCCGCTTCCCACCCTTTTACCCATGACCCTTTTCCACCCCTCTTTTCTCCCCTCATCTCAACCCACCCCCACCTCACCTCACCCTTGCCATCTCACCTCCGCTCACTGCACCCCTCATCTCACCTCATGCAGCAACACTTGCCTCCTCTGCCATAGAAAATTCGTAGTTTTCTTCCGGGCATAACAAATGGGTAGATAATAAAGAAAAAAGGGAAGCTTCCCTCACCACCATGGACAGTAGCGTCACGCCGAACAGCGCCCCCGCCACTCCCAGCAGCACCATCTTTTGGGCACCTCACCCCTCACCGCACATCACCGCACCTCACTCCACCCCACCCCTCGTCTCACCTCATGCAGCAATGCTTGCCTCCTCTGCCGCCTCCACGCCACCATTGACAGCAGCGCCACGCCGAACAACGCCCCCGCCACTCCCAACAGCACCATCATTCCTCAGCCGCCTCGTACGTAAACCAGCTTTTGAGGCGCCTCACCCGTCATCTCACTTCACCGCAACTAACCACACCCCACCCCTCGTCTCACCTCATGCAGCAGTGCTTGCCTCCTCTGTCGTCTCCTCACCACCATTGACAGCAGCGCCACGCCAAACAACGCCCCTGCCACTCCCAGTAGCACCTGCCCTGCGCTCCACACCCCTGCACCCTCCCCATTCCCTCTCCCCTTCTCCCCTTTCCGTTTCCGCATCTTCCCTCTCTTCCTGCTGCTGTGCTGGGATGCCTGCTGCTGCTTCTGCTGCTGTTGTTCCAGCTGCTTCTGCTTCTGCTTCTCCTGCTGTTTCTCCTTCTGCTTCCTTTGCTGCTGCTGCTGACTGCTCGGACCAGCACCACTAGAACGGGCGTCTATGCTGCTGCTGATGTTACTGGAACCTTCAGGCACAGGAAGCAAGAGGGTGGAGTGGGGGTCTGTTATACGGGAGGACGAGGGCAGGGAGGGGGACGGCGACAAGTGTAAGGAGTGAGAGTAGGAGTGAGAGTAAGAGTGGGAGGTCATGTTAGAGATACCCAACCCAGCACCACCTGCTGCTGCTGCTGCTGTTTCTCCTGCTGACGTGTCACCCACGCTGCTAACGGCTGCTGACGTGGCAGGCACTGTGGGAGAGTAGGGAGGAGGAGCCGGTCGTTGGCTGTGGGACGCCTCCTCGCCTTTCACTGCTCCTTCTCCTCCTGCTGTTTCTCCTTCTGCCGCTCCTTCTGTTGCTCCTGCTTCTTTTGCTCCTCCTTCTCCTCCTGCTGCGGCTGCTCCTCTTGCTGCTGCTCCTGCTGCTGGGGCTACAGAAGTAGCAGCACCACCACCAGAAGCAGCAGCGGCAGCAGCAGAAGCTGTGGAAAGGTGCTTCCCGTCCTTGTGTGGAAGTGCTCTATTTGAGCCTCCAGGGGTCCTAGACCCACTTGCAACAGGCGTTCTTGCTCCTCCAGCAACGGGTGTTCTCGCTCCTGGGGCGGAAGGGGAGTAGGAGGCGCCACAGCAGCAGGAAGGAAGGAAGGACGGGGGTCAAACAAGAACGCATGTTGCGACCAGGAGAATAAGGTCCGAGGAGAGGCGGAGGAGCGGGAGACGATACAGACCTCCCCATCCCGACACCCTTCCTCGTCCATCACTTAATATCTCTGCAGCTTGACAAGTTGACACTGGAGAGAAACTTACCAGAGGAGAAGGAGGAGCCAGAGGAGGAGAGGCCGAGCAAGCGGGAGACAATGACAATGCAGATCTCCCTCCCCCTCCAAACCAGACACCCCTTCTCGTCCATCACTTGATACCATACCACCGCAGCTTGACAAGTTGACACGCCTCAAAACGCACTTACCAGAGGCAAATTGCATTGCAGAAAGGTCGTTCACCTGAGAGGTTGTGCTATTCATCAGAGACGGTATTTACCCGAAGAGCACGAAGAGCCCGAGGAGGAGTGGCGGAGGAAGCGGGAGACAATGCAGATCTCCCCCACCAGACACCCCTCCTCGTCCATCAGTTGATACCACCGCACCACAGTCGCCCCCCCCACCAACCCTGCCAGCGGCACACAGGCTCGGCCGAGGCACGGACCTGCCGCCGGGCCTGAAGAGGCCGCCGACGCTGACGTGGAGGATTGTGATTGGGTGGGGGTGGATTGGTCGGCGGAGAGGAGCTCAATCTGCGAGGGAGAGCGATGTGGGATGCAGAATTGGGTGAGACTCGGTTGGGTTGGGAGAGATGGGGTTGGGTGAAACTTAAACGGGAACGATGGGGAGTGAAGAAGCATGGAAGGTGGGAGAGAGGATGAAGAGTCGGAGGGAAGGGAGGACAATAAGGGGAAGGGGATGGCTCACAATGAGAGATGGACCACCGCTTGCGGGGTCTTCATTCGTTGCCTTCTTCTGCTGCTCATGCTTCCCCTCCTGTTGCTGCTCGTGCTCATGGCTCTTCCCATCCTGCTGCTGCTGCTGCTGCTGCTTCACGGGGTCGTGCTGCTTCGCGGGGCCGTGCTGGTGGCACAAGAAGAGCAGCGCGGCCTCCACAGGAAGCTTGAAGTCCTGCAGCCACTTGGGCGACGGACCTGCCTTGGACCGAGTCCGGATCTGACAGATGCACGGGGAGAGGATGGGGGGAAATTGGGAGCATCTTGAGTCGCTTCAGCAGACGTGCTGGTGGCACCAGAAGAGCAGAGCGGAAACAACGGGGAGGTTGAAGTCCTGCAACCACTTGAGCGACGGACCTGCCTTGGACCGCGTTCGGATCTGACACCCACGCACGGAGAGGCACAGGCAGGCAGGGTATCGTGTCAGCTGAGGGGATAAGGAAGCTTTTGATAAGGTGGGTTTTGAAATGTTTTGAGGCGCCTCAAAACACGCACGGAGAGGCACAGGGAGGCAGGGTATCGTGTCAGCTGAGGGGATACGGGAGCTTGTATGAAGGTGGGTTTTGAAATGCGGAGGTGACTTCTAAGTCGAGTTAAAAGTCATCTCACATCCCGTTCCTCCCTGTTAGCCAGTGAGAGCGCACGGCGGAAAGGAGCTACACGTCCTTTCTCGTCCAGGCGCAAATGTAGAAACAAAAAGCCTGGAACGGGTGGATGGCAACGCAGACGACCAGACTCCTTCTCAATAGTACTTCCTTGCCAAGTATCAGGCGACTTGCAGGGATCACACGGGTCAGTCAACTGACCTGATGACATCCGAGCTGGACGGACACGACGGTGCCACGTGTCGCGTCGCCGTCGTCGCTTGGCTGTCTGACGTGGCGGCCCTGGACCACAGACACCTGGAGCTGACCGCCGACTCCCGTGCTCTCCACGCTTCCCGACATAGTCTCGAAGGAAGATTAGCCTTTCGTGGCGTAAGAGCAGCGCTGTTAGTGGTAGCGTAAAGTAGGGCGTTCGGTGAGCGCGTGCGAGTTAGTGCGTTAGCTAGTATCGTGCGAGTTAAACGCGCAAGCTAGTAACGTGCGAATAAGCGTGCTTGCCAGTAACGTGCGAGTTAGCGTGTTTGCCACCAGTGTGTGAGTTAAAGAGTTTGGTGGTGGACTACGCCGGCGTGAGCATTAGTGCGTTAGTGTGTCAGCGTGTTACCCTAACCTATGGTAACTGTGTTGGCGCGACGGTTAGTGAATGAACCGGGTACTACTTGAATGGTATTGGTAAGTAACATTCTGCTTATACATAAACAGAGATGCGAACGAAAACCGTTGTTCTGAGACCGGGGTAGGAAAAAATGCAACCATAACTATTTCAACACGCCTGGTCTAAGGGACCTACTGATCGCCATGGCACAATCAGCTAATGCGCTACGGCACCCAAACAGGAACAAGCATCAACTCAAAAGCGATCGAACAGTCGCCAACTCAACTCATCGAACATGAGACAGCCACAGCGGCAAATGAAAGGCAGCTCTCAGAAGCGAGGCGTGGGTGGGAGCTCGACAATTTCTGTGCTCTGCAGGATTTGGCGGGAGATCCTCCTGATCAGCCCAAATAACAGGTACACTGCACGGAAGGAACATTACGCTACTATACAAAATATTATACGTCAAAATGTGACAGCAAGTGATTAGGAAGTGCTGAAGCTGGCTAGAGCTAGGGGGACAATGCCAAGGCTGGGGACGGGGCAAGGTGTGAGAAGCCACAAATTTGTACACTTCTAGTTGGGCTCAACAACTCACCAGTCCATCATTTATAGCCTGATGTTGGTGCAAACATCTTACAGTATATAGTAACATATTTCGATCTAGCTCTTTCCAATTAATTGGAGAAGAGCATTGGTCATAAGACCCAGCCCTGAAACAAACCACTTGACAAAGACAAGCCACGGCTTGTCATTCGGCCCAGGCTTCATTCCCTTGACAATCAAGTGGCCCATCGCAATAAACAAGAAAACTCCAGCTGCCATGCCGTTTCCAAACGCCCTGACCCATTCGCGTGCAGTAGGATCGCCAGTCGTGTCGAGGACAATACCGATCACGATACCTAGAGGAGCAACGACGGATGCGCAGAGGGCGAAGATAACGTGCTTCAAGACACTCCTCTCCGTGTCTTGTGTTGGGAACAAACAATCTTAAGCGCCTCTGTCGTGTCGAAACACCAAGGCACAAGCGAAGCAGAGCATATCGAGGCACCAGCGAGTCAACCCTCGGAGGTTGAAGTAACCGCTGGAGGTTACGCGAAAGTCAAAGGTCAGCGACCTTTGACTTGACAAATGCAGCGCGACAGCAAGGACACACAACTGACTCGACATTGAGCAGTTGCCCGAGTCGCACTGTATCGAACCGCAACAGTTTAATTATATCTCTTCGTATTCTTTGTACTCTTATATAAACCTTTGTACTTGCTTGTTTTAATCAACTTACTTTGCCCTCACATACCAGCGCAAGGTGGTTTAAGGACTTCATTTAAACGCTTCCGCTACTACATCACTCTACTCAGAGTTTAACCCTACCAAAGATCCTAAGGGGCACTCAGCCCAACATCTTGAACCCTCAGTGTCACACCAAGCGCCATCCCCTCAAAGAACTACTTCCAATGCAACCATGCCACACCACAGGAACAGAAACAATGAATCAGACAGAAGTCAAAACACAAGCAAGAACTTCACCCCCAAACTGCACGACAAAAGCCTTCACAAAGCAGCAGGGAACAAGGAAATCAGTTAGCAGAAGCTAGCAAACTCCAGCATGTGATGCGGCGTGATCTCACCTCATTGACGGCAATGGAGGAGGCCATTTGCCAGACATCATAGACCGTAGTGGCGAGGCCCACGGCAAGCCCTTCAAAGACGGCGTGGAAGCAGAGGGCGAAGAGGATGAGCGCCACGTCCACGAAGCTCAGCACGTTGTAGTCTGCTGGCGTGCTGCCGCTGCCGCCTTCAGTGTCGCCCTCTGTGGCGGCCTTTTGGCCCACGCCGAGGACAGCAACCACCGTTGGATCGGATTCCTGGCCAGATGAAACGAAACACGGACCATGATCGCATAAGCCTTGTGCATGCATGCGTGTTTGCCCATGCGAAAAGAGAGCAGAAAATGCTACAACTGGCAACACGTTCTGGTCAAATACATCAAAGCAATAGGGCCTGTGAGAGCTCAGTACCTTGGCTGGATCATCAGAAACGGATCGTTTTCTCCACACGGTCTTGACAATGAGGTCACAGAGCCACGTGAGGAAGACGCCCATCACCACCACCAGGTACGCCAGCGGGTACTCTGAGATGCACACATAGATACCGACATATGGGGCACATACAGGGAGATATTGAGGCACCTAAATAAGAACGGCCATCACCACCACCAGATACGCCAGCGGGTAGTGTGAGATGCACGCGGACACGACACAGCACCCGCAAATGATGCCGCCATGCAGAGCACAGCGTCAGTGGCATGCGAACGCACGACATTCAGCGCAGCAGCGTGCTACCTCTACTACACTTATATAGGAATATCAGAAACGGAGACTTTGCTAATCCATCTACGCCCTGTTCACAGGGGTAGTTGCAATGCGAGGTGCTGTTTCTAACAAGTCCCCAGATCCTGCTTTGCATGCTCAGCGTATCCTGCTGAAACTCCCAAGCAAGTTGCGACGTAGTGTTCTGACAAGCTCCACTTAGAGCTCTTCTGTCTCCAAGTTTTGAAGCGACAAAAACGACCAAAACTTGCAGTTCTCAGTAAGACCAAAACGACCAAGATTTCAGGGGTGTCGAGCGAAGACTCCTGTAACAGCTCTGAAATGTGACGGACGGTCTGTTTGAGGTGAGGTCCCCAACGCCTGAACAGCTCTTCCGTTTCCGAACTTCAAACGCCTTGATCATCAAGAAATTCCCTCTCGGAAGCCTTAGTTGCCTTCTTCGAGTTCCTTACCGGCAACCACGCTCCCGTCGAGTTGGATCCTTCAGTCACCTTCAAAATATTAGGCGTTACTTCAAAGCATCTCTTCGATTTTCACGTATTTTTAGCCACCGTGTACGCATGACTTCTGGCCACAATGGCGTGCGTGCAGGGACTGTCATAATGTTATGTTTGTCTAGCCTGCAGTGGGGTACTCAATAGTGAGTACAGCCCAACTTAGGGTTTCCTATATGTACTCAACTGCTTGCTAGTGAACCTCCTCTCTTCTTCATTCATCCTCTCGTTCTAAACTTCACATGGTATCAGAGCGACTACGCTCCTGGCCTGTGGGCCCACCTAACTGCTTCCGTTGCTACTCTGTGTACTACACGCCCTGTGGCGTGCCCCTCGCGGGACCCTTAGTGGCCCCGTCGCCACCCCCCGCGGCCCCGTCGCCGCCCTTCTCGGCCCCTCGCGGCCCCTTCACGACCCCGTTGCCGCCCCTTTCAGGCCCCTCGCGGCCCCTTCGCGGCCCGTCGCCGCCCTTCCAGGCTCCTCGCGGCCCCTTCGCAGCCCCGTCGGCGCCCCTATCGGCCCCGTCGCCGCCCTTCTCGGCCCTTGGCGGCCCCTTCGCGGCCCCGTTGCCGCCCCTTTCAGGCCCCTCGCGGCCCCTTCGCGGCCCGTCGCCGCCCTTCCAGGCCCCTCGCGGCCCCTTCGCGGCCCCGTCGCCGCCCCTATCGGCCCCGTCGCCGCCGCCAGCGGCCCCGTCGCCGACCCTAGCGGCCCCGTCGCCGACCCTAGCGGCCCCGACGCCGCCCCTATCGGCCCCGTCGCCGCCTCCAGCGGCCCCGTCGCCGCCCCTTTCGGCCCCTCCTCGACCCTACCCCGGCCCCGCCCCGGCCATGCCCCGTCGCCAGCCGCGGCTCACCGGGGGCACGTGCACCCCCCCCCCCCCCCCCCCCCCCCCTTTTCCCGTCGCCTGTCGAGGCGACCTGAGGGGGCCGCACCTGGGGGAGGGGGGCGAGCATCGCCCCTTCTGCCGCCTGTTTTGGCGCCCTGGGAGACCGCGCGTCGCCCCCCCCCCCCTAACCTCCCTACCCGCCGTCCCGCCCTGCCCTGTGTTAGGGTCTGGGGGTGGCGAGTAGGGGGTGACGGGTGTGTGGTCTCCCCTGCTCCTCCTCCTCCTTCGTCTCCCACTGCTGCAGCTGTCGCTGAGGGGGGTGGATGTGTGGGAGCCTGAGGTTTAGGGTTTAAGGGGGGTGCTGTGGGAGTGGAGCTAGGGTTTTGAGGGAGGTGGATGTGTGTGAGCCTGCGGTTTAGGGTGTAAGGGGGGTGCTATGGGAGTGGAGCTAGGGTTTGAGCAGGGGGTGTGTGTCGAGAGGTGTGGGGCAGCTGGAGGAGGTTGGTTGAACGGAGGTTGTCGTCGTGTCGTCAGCAGCACCAGTAGTCCGGGGCGCTGCTCCGGTAGCCCAGTCGTAGCCAACTGTGCCAGTCGCCCGTGGGTCCGTTGCTCGTCTGCCGCTAGTCTTAGCCGCGGAGCCAGTTACTCCAGTAGTCCGGAGCGCTGTTCCAGTAGCCGCTGTGCCAGTGTGACTCCTGTTGCCCGTGTGTCTGCAGCTTCAGCCGTCGCCTCCTATCTCCTCTCCTCTTACAGTCTCGCCTCCTCCTCCTCACTTGCCCTTTGTGAATGACTCTAGCTTTGCTCGCTATTGTGAACTCCTGCTCTATGCCTGTTTGCTCATTGTTGTGATTACACCCCACTTTGGCTATGGGGGTGTATCAGAATGTTATGTTTGTCTAGCTTGCAGTGGGGTACTCAATAGTGAGTACAGCCCAACTAAGGGTTTCCTATATGTACTCAACTGCTTGCTAGTGAACCTCCTCTCTTCTTCATTCATCCTCTCGTTCTAAACTTCACAGCGACACCATGGTTAGTACATAGAGCTTTGCTTCACTTTAGAGCCCGTTTTCCTAGCACTAACGAGACGTGAGTGTGTCGTGGTTTTGCAGGCGACTGGTTTGGCAGTCCAGCATACCCTATTATGTTGTATTTGACCTCAGTTGTATTCGTTTTCCCACAGTTGTTGGCAGCTAATTGGTTAGTTTCCACCGCTTATTTTAAACATCGTAAACTGCCTCCTGTTTTTTCAGGGTGGGTTGGTCGTGTCTGCCAGCTATCGATGATCGTGAAGTTTCATGCCTGTGAAGGCTTTTACCCATTCGACGGTTTAGAGTTGAGTTTAGTTGGTTGTGTTCTTGTGTTTTGTTTTATTAGTTTATACATTCAACTACAAATTTCAAATTTATGACTATCCACCATAGCATACGTTAATGAACAGAGGCGATGTAACATGCTTATAATGTACTATCAAAACGGTATTGCTTTGTGAGCATAATGTAATTACTATGTATATACTGCACGTTTTCGGGCGACTGGTGTCATAGTGTGAACCTCGTACTAACTGTAATTATTTGATGGGAGTAAATGCTTTCTGTATGCGGACCATGTAGAATATACATTCATAGTATGATTTCAAGTAAGTACAAAGCACGTACTGTATTGCCAGGTGAAGAGTAGCTTGTTTGTCGCAGAACCTATACTTACATAGTTCGTCAGTACTATGTGTGCTCTACGTAAAGACAATGTGTAGGCATTGTGTTTACTTAGTATTTCCGCCAAACATTTTTGGGATGATACTTTAGGATTTCAGAAGAACTTCAAACGCCTTGATATTTTAGGATGTGGAGCTGACACTCCCGTAACAGCGGGTGTCCTAAGTGGTGTAATGCGACGGACGTACTGTTTGAGGTGAGATCCGCGAAGAGCTCCTCGGTTTCTGGTGAGGTAGAGTAGCGACATGCCGATGAACTGCCCCGTAGAGAAGAGCACGCCGAACTTGAGGATGTTTTGCCGCACGGGAGATGGAACTCCAGACAGCGTCTGTCTGTTTACTACTACCAGTAAGAGAGGTGGAGAGGTGGGACGTAATGTTTGTGGTGAGGTCGGCGAAGAGCTCTTCGGTTTCCGGCATGAGGTAGAGCAGCGACATGCCGATGAACAGCCCCGTGGTGAAGAGCACGTCGAACTTGAGGATGTTCTGTCGCACGGGAATGAAGTACGGCACGAACACTCCCAGGAAGCTCGACCCCAGGAACACGAACAGCGCGCCCACCTTGTTCGCTGTCAGAGCGCTCGTACTGTCGCTTCCCTGGCAACAAAATAAGAGAGAGAGGAGATATGATCATTGGAAAGTGAGCGTCTGACATTTTTATTTTCTCTGCTCTCAAGTCGTCTTTTCTCGCACGGTTGCTGAAAAATGCAGCGTGATTGGACATGCCTTACATGGTAGAGAAAATCACCTATATCCTGCTTTTTCTTTCTTTCTTTCTTTCTTTATTATGTTTTTATGCCTGTTGCTTATTCACCTGTGACGAACTGCTGCTGCTTGACGTGGCTGCTACAGTAGCACTCCATAATCCCCCGAGAAGCGCAAACGCTATCAACCTGCTTCCGCGCTCCATGATGAGTGGGAATGCTCAGTAAACAGAACAGCACAAGGGCGACCGTATGCGCGTCGCTAGGGATAACTTGTAGCTTCTAGAGCGGCTGTTATGCACAAGCAACTCGATGCCAAACTCGCTCTCCGAGGGTCCGAGAGAGAGTCAACTTCACAGTGTGGTTGTAGGCAGGCCGGTCCATATCCAAGATTCTAGGCCCAAACGGGCAATGCCGGTACGTGCCTACCACATCCGAGACGCGACCAGGCACCCCAGCAGCCTGGAGCTAACCAAACGCTCAAAACCCCTCCACACAAGCTTGTGCTGATAAGAGATCGAGCTAAAGGTGCTCTTCGCCAGGAAATCGTAATTTGAAATGAAAAAGATGGCATCGGCATCGCGACCGCATCTGGAAACGGAAGCGGAACCCACCTCCGAGGTTTGGCCGTTATGCCGTTCAAGAAACTTCTGCGCCTGCGGTTGCAAAATTTCGCAACCGCATCGGGAACCTCCGTCCCCACCTTCCCCCCAATCCCCTTTGAACGGCAATGCGACGGCTGTGCCATCGCTGTGCTTCGAAAAACGCAGCATGGCGATGGCATGGCTTGGGGATGGAACTTTGCCTGGGGACGAAGTTGCGTCCCCGCTTCCATATGCCGTCGAGCAGTTCGTTTTGGTTGACAAATGGGGGCGTTCGCCAGACACCCACTTTGATTGTTGGTTTGGACGGTTGGGGAGGCTCGGCACCTTTTTTACGGGCTGACCAGGCTGACGGAGGTAAACGAACCCTAACTGACGGGATCACGAAGGCGAGACCCACCTTCCTGATCCCGTCGCTATCCCATGGTTTTTTGCTTCATTGGTGCTGGCGAACAGCCCCGAAGTGATGTCATTATCTTCCAGCGTTGGCCTTTGTGTTGAATCCTCGCTCTGTCCCGTGCTGCTTCGTGCCAGGCAACAGCTGAAATGAAATGAAGGGCGAAGGAAACCGAAGATGAAATGGATAGCTGGTCATTGGGCAATACAAGAAGAATCTGGACGGGTCACCTGACTGGATGAACCTGATCATGCTTCCGCCACTCTGCCTTATGGTCGGTGATCCCAAGGGCCCGAACCGAAACTGGCTTGGTGGTGTCAGGCTGGTCAAAGGCGACAGGTCGGGAAAGCGGGTAACTTTTATGGGCGATTATGGCGAGCTTCTGGATTCAGCTGTCGCGAAGGGAATCTGGAAGTGCATCGCTGTACGATGCTGCGTGACGTGGCCTTACAGCAAGAGCCGCCAGGTAGACGCGCGGCATGGAGAGTGAAATGACGGCACATGGTCAAAACGTGGAGCAGGTGTGATCAAGGCATGCCGTCAAAGATAGGAGCCATGTCTTTACGTGGCTGCGACTGATTCAACTTGTAAAAAAGTTTGTTAGTTAAAATGTTTGCTTGAAAATCTCTTGTAGAGAAATTTGGCGGTAACCGGTTTCGGCTTATAGCCTTCTTCAGACCACAAGGGAAAAAAGGAGCAAACTAGAGCTAATATACTAATCCCGAGGGCTCCACGCGAGGCATTCCTTCGCTGGGCCAGGGAGAAGCTGTACTGTAGGGCTGTAACAAACACTACACTACACTAACTCTTATGAGTAGAAATCAAATAATTTCCAACTCTTTTAGGTAACTTCCAAGCGACGATTGCTCTCCGTGTAGAAAACACACCGTGTGACATTGTAGCGAGTTGACTTTTGAGTCGGCTCAAAATGCACCCCAGGCGAGAACGGTCAACCAGCGGGTTGAGCAGCAGTTTCAGCACCAGGGGGCCACGGTTAGGAGAGTTCTGTAAAGAAGAGGCTGTGAGAATGAGAACAAGGATGAATGAACTATGAGTGAAGTGTGTACAAGTACTAACCCTAATTGGGTTGTTCCCCCTATGGGATACCCCACTATAGCCTACACAAAAGCATAAGCTATAATGTTCTAACACACCCCCATAGGCAAAGTGGGGGAGAACAAGGGGTCACAAGACCAGTCAAGCAAAGCAAAGCAAAGCAAGCTCAGGGTGGATCACAACGTCACCACACAGTCTGAGCACAAGGTCAAGGCCACAAGGCCAGTTCACATGCAGGAGGAGACATATATATATATAAGTCTAAACAAGCAAGAGCAGGTATATATATGTATATGCAAGAGTACAAGTAAGGTCAAGAGGTGAGCAAGTGAGGCAAGACTGGGACAAGTCCCAGCTGAGTGCAGAAACGCTGATAATCACAAGGCGGAAGTGCCTTGGTGAAAACATCAGCAGTGTTGGCCTCAGAGGCCACGTACGAAAGTCGCAACTGACCACGCTGCTGCAGCTCACGAGCAAGAAAGTAGCGGAGAGCAATGTGCTTCGTTCTGTGCTCCAGGCGCTGCTCTCGACACAAGGCCAGCATGGCCTTGTTGTCTACGTACAGCACTGGAGGAGAACGAGGCGGCTCTCCGAGGTCAATCAGCAGGTAGGTGAGCCAGCGAAGCTCCTGAGCAGCCATGGCCCCGGCGTAGATCTCAGCCTCACAACTGGAGCCGAGAACAGAAGACGAGCGAGTAGCCCGCCACGAAACAGAGCCGGAACCAAGACTGAAGGTGTAACCCTGCGACGACCGCTGCGTAGCCTGGTCGTCAGCCCAAGAAGCGTCCGCGTGCCCAGTGAGGACCACTGGACTCCGCCCTCCAAGCACTAGCCCCATGCCCGACGTACTGCACAAGTAGCGCAACACCCTCTTCGCTGCAGCCATGTGCTCTGGTCGGTGTCTCCCAGGAGCAACATAGCGTGCCAAGATGCTAAGAGGGTATGCAAGGTCAGGTCGTGTGCAGGTCATCAGGTACATGAGGCAGCCAACAAGCTCTGGGTACGGGCCACTCGACTCAACGGACTCATCCGAAGGCAGAGCTGAGAGCGAGTGGCGAGTAGACAGAGGAGTGGCCTAAGGCGAGGAGTACGTGAAGCCGAAGCGCTGAAGGACCTGATGCACCATGTGTGACTGAGTCAAGGTAATGGTGCGGCGTGCTCTGTCCCGAGTGATCAGCAAGCCAAGGTAGCTGCGCAGTTCACCCAGGTCTGTGCACGTGTGTCTCTTCTGCAGCTCGGACTTCACGTAGGCGAGTCCAGCAGTGTCCGCTGTGGCAAAGACCAAGTCGTCGACGTACACGAGGATGTAGAACGGCGGCAAAGAGGTGTCGGTGCGCAGAAACAACGACGGGTCAGCAGTAGAGGGAGCAAACCCAAGAGCCGCAAGCGTAGTCCTCAGTGTGTCGTGCCACTCACGCGGTGCCTGGCGGAGACCGTAGACTGGCCGTCGGAGGCTCCACTGGGTGCCAGGAAGGAAAGTCCCAGTGAAGCCAGGTGGACGGCGCAGCCAGATCTCCTCGTGCAGGCTACCCTGCAAGAAAGCAGTGTTGAAGTCAAGAGAGTGGAGCTCGTAGTCGCGCTGAGCGGCTATGTGCAGCAGCACCCGAAGAGTGGTCATCTTCGGGGTGGGAGAGAAGGTCTGAAAGTAGTCAACTCCCTGCCGCTGACTGAAGCCACGAGCCACGTACCGCGCCTTGAAGACAGGTGGAGAACCCGGCGGCCGCTTCACCCTGAAGATCCACATCCCACTGACGATGTTCACCCCAGGAGGGGGAACCGCGTCAACGTAGGTGCCTGTGGACTTCCAGGAAGCCATCTCTGCATCCATAGCTGCCTGCCAGTGAGAGGAGTAGGGACCCTCTACGGCCTCCGCGTAAGAGCGCGGAGTCGGGATGTCAAGTGCATCCGGGTCTCCCTCCGGGGCAAGCAGTACAGACGCGAGATAAGGTGAAGCAGCAGCCAGACACTGAAACTCCTCCTGCCTGTCCTCAAGGACGTCCGTGCCAAGAGCACACTCACCCCCGACGGACGGAGGACAGACAGACGCAGACTCAGCAACAAGACTAGCAGCGTAGTCTAGACAACAGCGAGCAGCAAAGTCGACGAGCTCAGCAACAAGAGCAGACGCAGCAGTGGACTCAAAGGAGGGGTCAGTGACGACAGTAGCAAGGAGACGCGTGACAGTAGGACTGGCAGCACGAAGAGAGTCCGACTCAGGGTCGGCAAGCGCAGGAAGAGAGGACTCAGGAGGAGAGGGCAAAGGGGCACGCAGAGGAGCAATGGACGGACGCAGAAACATCCGGTGCGTGCTAGGGACAGGAGGAGGACGCTGACGCGAACTGCGACCACTAGTGCGAGCAGCACAAACAGGCGACGCAGGACGAGACGCAGGCTCACGACGCTCAGCAAGACCTCCAGTAGGACCAGTGTAAGGTGAAGGAGAAGGCAGTGGGGAGGCCGGCGATAACTGTGACTGCGACAGGACAGGCGGTGGACACTCTAAGACAGGAGGAAGACCAAGAACCTGCTGAAGAAGCGGAACAAAGTACGGCCGAGGCCGCGCGGCAGCACCAGACACAGCAAGGACAGCACCAGCACCCTCAGCACCTCCGGCAGCACCAGCGCCAACAGCACCTCCAGCGGCAGGACCTCCAGCAGGACTAACAGTAGTAGTCTCAGAACCAACACCCTCAGCAGCTCCAGCTCCAGGCGAACCCGCAGGCCCAGCAGCTCCGGGACCGGCGGCACCAGCACCCTCAGCAGCCGAAGAAGCGCCAGCTCCAGTAGTACGCCTCCAGCGGCGAGCAAACCACTCACGCAGCTCCTGTGGAGAGAGTGGCTCCCGCCGAGACGAAACACCCGGAGAACCTCCAGCCCCAGTTACGCCAGACGCCACAAGGGGAGGTCCAGTGGCCGCAGGCTCCACACCTCCAGGCTCAGCAGCTCCAGACGCAGCACCCCCAGGCTCAGCACCCCCAGGCTCAGCACCCATGCGCGCAGCACCCTCAGATTCAGCACCCCCAGGCTCAGCACCCCCAGAGGCAGCACCCCCAGGCTCAGCACCCCCAGGCCCAGCACCCCCAGGCTCAGCACCCCCGGACTCAGCACCCCCAGAGTCAGCACCCCCAGGCTCAGCACCCCCAGCAGTACTTGAGTCACCAGCAACCTCGACCGGCTCGACAGCATCGACCTGGGACACACCTGAAGGGGCAGGACCCTGAGGGGGAAGGGGGTCTACCGGGGGGGGACCTGGCACAAGGAAGTGCGGCGGCGGCGGGAGGGAAGGAGTGCGGTAGGGGAAGAGGCGGTAGAAGGGGACGGACTCGTCGAACGTGACGTCCTGGGAGGACAGAACACGACGAGAGGAGGGGTGGTAGAACTGCCACCCTGGGGCGTCAGGGGGGAAGCCTAGGAAGACACAGGGAGCAGCACGAGGGGACAGCTTGTCTGCAGACAGGTCACGGACAAACGCCCGAGATCCCCAGACACGGAATGCAGACGCATCGCCGACCTTCCCCGTCCACAGCAGAGCTGGGGAGGTCTCCGGCCGGGAGACCCTGGGGTGAAGGTTGAGCTGATGCGCCGCGTACCGAACCGCAAACGGCCACAGAAAATGGGGGGCAGCCGCATGCATCATGGACGTACGAGCGACGTCCATGACCATGCCAATGCGGCGCTCAGCAATCCCATTTT